AAAAAATGCAAAAACTGCAATGTAAGAGTATACTAATCTGTAAAACCTAAAAATTTGGTTTTTGGTTATCTGAACGCGGGCGGAGCCGCAAGCAATGCTTGTTATACTATATATCTATCATATGACATATTTTTATAAAAAAAATTTGGCGCTCTTTTTATTACCTATTAAAATCTACTACGCATGTATATAATACAAATAAACATTTTTAACTAATGGTATGTTTTTTGATACTCACAGTAACAATAACAAAATACAATCGTGTGGCCCCACTTTTATTTGATTTATAGGTTCTATATTAAAATAAGTGTCCATGTCGCTCCAAACTAAGACCATCGCCATTATCATCTAAATCCATCAAGTAATTTAAGCTATGGAATCAACTCTAAAAATAGACGTACCTATAAGTATAGATACCTACATGATATTCTGCGATCGATTTCGAACACGGTGACAAAACTCACAGAGGCTTGTCAACTGCGCAGGATATATCATAATGTACGTGCAGATACAGAACAAAATTTACAACTAGCAGAACCCGCTGCTTCGCTCGCGCTATAACTAGAAAAAAATCTCTAAAAAGCTAGGTTTCATACAAAATTCCATCCCCTATTTTACCCCCTTATAGGATGAATTTCGAAAAATGCTAAAACACATATTAATTTAATTTTATTGAAGAGCATTAATACCAAGTTTCAAGTAATTCTCATCATAAATATATTTTTGGATTGTATTATAACGTGTTTTCCGTGGGAATTATATAAACAGATAATAAAAAAGTACCCTATGTCACTCTCCAGCCCTCCAACTATCTCCACACAAAAATTCACGCCAATATGTCACACCGTTTCGACGTGAAAGAAAGACAAACAAACAAACAAACAAACAAACAAACAAACAAACAAACACACTTTCACATTTATAATATTAGTATGGAGTTCACAAATACGATTATTATGTAATTACACAGAAAAGATCCATAGATGTATGACAATCTTATCACGGTCGTATGTATTTCAATTTTAAACGAGTAAATTTATATGAAATCTAATTAATTCTGTGGCCAGCACTGCTCAACTGATATCTCGTACGCGATTGGTCAAGACAATGCGGTTATAAGATGCCCCTATCGTCTAATAGCGGTAACAATGGCGGTGATAACCGTCTCACCCCATTAGAGCGGCACGAACGCTGTAGGAAAAACGCCGTATAATTTATATGGAAGTGGATTAGAAATTAGCTGTGTATTCTATATTTGACGATTGTAGGGAGAGGTTGGTTTGTTGTACTATTATTGATGTATTGAGAAGTTTCTTTATCTATACATATAATAAAATTGTAACTAAGCCGAATCTGTACAATAAATATTTTTTGGAAAATCTTATTGAAATAAACATTATAATCGATATAGAGGCCGAGTCTATTGTTTTTATAATTTTTGTCTGTCTGTTACCGCATCACAGCAAAACCACTGGAGGGATTTTGATGAAATTTGGTATGGTGATAGCTGGTTATCCGGGTCAACATATAGGATACTTTTTACCGCGGGAAAATATCTCATTTCTGAGAAAAAATACAAAAACTACAATGTAAGAGTATGATGATGTTCTCTCCTAGCCGATTCCGGCCACGGCGGCCAATCTCAATGAGATTTGCCAACTGCGCAGGAGATATTATAGTGCTCAAGTGTACGCGCAGACACAAGTGCACTCTCTATTCCTATCACTCTCATACTCCGGTGGGACCACCACTCGACACGACCGGTGAGAGTTAAGGCGCAGGACCGACGGCTTTACGTGCTCTCCGAGGCACGGGGGTGAAACACCGCCAACTTCCCAACTCCGGGCTGTTACTGAGACTTACTATACAGGAAAACTCAATAACTAAACTTGGCCCGACCCGGGACTCGAACCCAGGACCTCCGGGTGTGCAGCCGTACATGCTAGCCACTACACCACCGAGGCAGTTATGTAAGAGTATACTAATATGTAAAACCTAAGAATTTGTTTTTTGGTCATCTGAACGCGGGCGGGGCCGCAGGAAATGCTAGTACATTATAAGTGTTGCAGTAACTTTTTTGTCAGTTTTCCCACCTACTTCCCATTTAGTTTACCGGGATGAAAAGTGTCCTAGACTCATACGAAAAGTAGATGCGTTAAAGACAGACAAACAAACAAACCATCTAAATGATAAAGACATTTCCGCAATTATAATATTAACAGGGGTCCGAAGGGACTTGAAATGTTTGCTAAATTATCTTAGAAGTATTTAGCAAACACCTAATTGTAAATTTTAAAGTTTTTGCTTAATTTAAGATATTTGTCCCAAATTAAAATGTTGGTAATTTCACTCTATATTTATTTTAGTCATATTATTTTAAGCAATTATTTTGATGTAAGCTTAGAGCTAATGTCTGTTCATATGATTAAATACCGAAATATGGACATACTTATATACTTATGTCTTATGTTAGGTCCAAATATTTCGGAAGGACAAAAATATTTTACATAGTATTCCTACTATGGGTTACTTCCGTCACCCATTCTGTTGGGTTTCATGAGCCTATTATTGAGAATCAAACCTGCGATCCTCGCTCTAACAAATCACATAAATATAGATTGCATGATAATTAATTAATGATAGAGTAATCCTAAATTAGTTGTACAGGTATAATTTATCGCGGTCTATGTTTCAAGTCCAAAATGATTAGTGCCTACAAATACAATGAGTCACAGGTATTTGCAATTGGCGCCACCATATCTCAACAAGAGCCAGATAAGCCTGATGTGTTATTTCATCGAATAATATAATTAACTATAGACTAGTTTTCGCTTTGCTCAGACTCGAACTAATATTCTTCCGGCGTAAAATCAAATTATTACAGATACCTTATGTTATCTATTATATATTGCTACATAAATGTATACTACCGTGTTAATAAAAAAAATCATCATGTACATCCCTCTATCGGCCCGTACGTGTATACCATCTTAAAAAGTCTAGTATGTATAACTAAAAAAGTGAAAAAGTCGGACTGTTCACCAACGGCTCCGTACCAATGTACAAAATGTCGATTTTACGTATATTAAACTACGTATATTATACTACTGTAAAATCGATATTTTATGCAGTGTAAGCATTGATATATAAAATGTGATACACATTTCCTAACAAATATCTCTTCAAAAAGTGGCGTTGACATGTGACGCTAATTAAAACTAAAGAATAAAATTCAAAAAACAAAAGTTCTAACCATAAATTTGAACTTACGTACACCACATAAGTACTTTTATAAACGAAAAAATCGTGCGTTTTAATTTTGTCATTCAAAAATAAATAAATAAAAGAGATTTGGGAAAAGCTCATAATGTCCAATTATAATATGCTTCTTTTTGAGGACACTGGGATGCTAATTGGTATGCTAGTGAAACGGGTTTAAATCCCGCGTCTCGCACCTCTGATATTTTCATGCACGAATCATTTCCTACACGATTACCATTTGACTTACGGTGAAGGAAAACATCGTGAGCAAACCTAAATAGCTGAGAGAACCAACAAGTTTTAACAAAACGAAAGACGTGTAAAATTTGCCAACCCGCACTTGGCCAGCGTGGAAGACTATGGCCTGGTCACCCTTGCATTGAAAGAAGGCCCGTGCCCAGTAGTAGGACGTTAAAAAGGGCTGAATACATACATACATAATATATAATTGACATCTGACTACGTATGATTGACTACTCGGAGAACATATTTTGTTTGTCACCAAAATTAGCCTAATATAAGAAAAGCTAGAGCATGTCATTCAGTCATCATAATTAGATAAAATCACACCGCAAAATTGTTGCTTGGCGTAAATAGGTTTTACGTATCAGATGCAAACAAATCTGACAAATTGTAACTACGACATTATATCTTAATCTTTAATGACGCGATTAACTGCTTATGTTACTATTTCATCGAGATAGTACATTTCGATAAGGTGAGCCTGCGACGTAATAATAAGGAATGTGGTTCACTAGAACTAGGGCTACTTAAAGTGTTCATAATTGTCTTAGAGTCCTGTAGAATACTAAACATTAACATTAGCCATTTTGATTTTTTACAAATGGACCCAATCACTCATACACTTACAAATTTTGTCGTTTTATATTAGTGTATAATACATAGTCACTTTCAAAACAACAAGATGAACTCAACGATATATAATTCATGAAAATCAGCTCAACCAGTTACAGGGAAATATGGTGCCAGATATACTTAAATACAGGTCAAACGCATTATCCATCTTTTGGTCGCAGTCAGGTAATCGAAGAATCTAAGCTCAAGCCCCAATTTTGCCAAAAAAATATTTTGCTTATGATGATGACACACAGTTTAGACATTAGAAAATACCTAAAACAAAAAAAAGAATTTAATCAACCACAGACAAAAGAAGAACTAAAATATGTCTCTTCATATTTGCTTTTCTTATTCTCAAAATAAAAAAAATACTGGACGACAATACATTTAGCCTACCTAGATATCTATTTAGTGCCTTATAAGTTATTTATGTAGTAACTGAAAACAATTCCCATAAACGTCGCGAACTAAATACCATTAAAGCGTGAAATCCGATTATAATTTAGTACAATCTAGTCCTGTCAGAGACTGGTAATTAAGGAATTTCATTGTTTGAAGTGCAAGTTGCCATTGTTAATTGGTAATCTAAGTTCCTTCACTGCATTGTTCTAACATAGTTTATGTACTTAAGTAATAGCTACTATAGCTACAATTAATAAATCTACATATTACATTACTTTTTATTTTTTTAAAGAAAGTTCTACGATTATCTACATATTATAAAACAAAGTCCTAATGAAATGCAAAAGCAAACATTTGAGTTAAATTTATCACAACGAGTAATAAAGTAATTGGGCAATAAAGAATTTTATCGTTTTTTTTTTATTTCCGGATATTTTCAGTCTAAGCCTATTAACTTTTTATTTTTTCTAACAAGTACAATGTGGAAGGTCGTGTTATATATAACTTATGCTTTAATTGTTTATCACGCAAGAAAATCTCATGGATACCTTGTGGGGGCCGGCTGTAAGTTTTTATATAAGTAAAATTCATGAGGACGTAACGCCTTTACAGCTAAAAATTTTGGAATAAAATCATCGCGAAGTAAATGTGGATATACATACTCTTAATATATTAATGTATTCAGCCCTTTTTAACGTCCCACTGTTAGTACGTCCCACGGATCTCCCTTTAATGAAAGGGGAATAAAGCTGGCCAAGTACGGGTTGGTGGACTTCACATGTTTTTCGAAAACTTACTGAGTTCTTTTAGACATGCAAGTTTCCTAACGATATACGTAGTATATGCCATTTCTATAGAAATATTTAATTTAGTTCGAAGTGCTACGGCGTAACCATATTAATCGCTTTCTCGAATAATCATACTAAAAGTGGAAAACTAAACGTAAAGATGATAACTACTTGTTAGCAGACAACCTTTTTTTAATTGAAACTGATTTAAATATTTCTTTTTAGTAAATGTACGATTTGCTCAACTTATGTTTACTGACTCAAAATATCAAGTGCTGAGAGAAGAAATGGTGAAATCTAACACTCGCAATCTAGTGTATCACTGCCGAGCTGACAAGAGCGACTGCGATGCTGCTCTCGCTAAAATGAGATATAAAGCAAGTAAACACTTCTATGCTTTATCGAAAGCTGTTGTGGATTATGTGAAGTATAAGCGACAGGCGAGACCCACTGGCTATGTTGGTAAGTAAGGAATAGCGCCAGATGCCCAATCAACCCTTTTTTTATTTTAACGTTACTCGCAAAGCAAAGCCTACCTACTAAAACCCAACGGAACCTCCACCATCGCAATGAGTGTGATGCATTCAACCACAACGCCCCGGCGACAGGTCTGCCGAAGTAGACCTCAACAATAATAGGGTTGCTCCACAGTCCACTCTGCTATCAGAGAAGTACTAGGAACAATTCACATAGCACACCGCTTTCCTTTCTTTATTCATCTTTTCCCCCTGTTTCCCTTACTTTCCTAATACATATTCAAATGATCACTGACACACCTGGTAATACAATAATAATAAATGATGCCTTCCTGACCGATTTCGGCCACAGCGGCTTAGCACACTGAGACTAATCAACTGTAAACATTATATTGCACTACTCCTTACACAATGGTTCAAACACGCACAGAGAAACAAGTTCAGTGTCACAAATGACGGCCCAAAACACACTATCCGACCTAGAGCTCGATCCCGGGATCTCCGGAGCGTATCCGTACATGCTAGCCACTAAGCCACCAAGGCAATTAAAATCTATACTGAAATATGAATGCAGTAGAAAATTTAATACACACCTTTATAAATATGTCGGAGACGGTCATCAATACGGTCGCTAAACGAAGCGCGGCACGACGCCTGAGTGATGGCAGCACCTTCGGTATTATCGCCAACACTCGGCGAGCTTCGTGCTACGACGGAGCCTAGCTAAGGGAGGGGTGCTAAGAGGGCTGGACACTTGCCTTCGAGCCGAGCCAAGTTTAGGACCGCTCCACTAGGAACTGTCTTGCGTTCCGTATTGTCTATACGTGGTAATAGTGAAGTGAAGTGCTTGCTATATGGTTGTGTAGTGAAGTGCTGTGTAACTATGTACAAAGTGATTATTGTTAATTTGAAATACAACTGTGATTGCATCGACTTTCATTTGAACCAACACTTCCCATATAACGCCCACTGTATAATTCATGATAAAATAATGGAAAATAATAGAGAAAATTAATGTTGCTTCGATATCAGAAGTGGGATCAGTGTTGGTTCAATTGCAAAAAGAACTTACTGTGAGTGAACAATGGCGTGCTATGTTTGAACAACAAAACGTCAGTATGTGATCTCTTATCGAGGCCATGCAAATGCCTCGGATGAAGAAGAACGTCATGTTACACGAGTTTGACCCTGACAATATGGATACGGGCGCAAGATCTTTGTTTGCAACTGCAGATTTGTGTTTTGCCGAATACCCTCCATACGGCGGCCAGCTTGTTTTAAGTCAGTAAGGAATTAAAAGGATAAGGTTCGACGTGGCTATCACAATTTGTATACCAGAGAATAATATAGGAAGAGTTCAAGGTGATTTTCAAGGCGAGGTTTGTTTCCACCGAGACATTGGCTGGTACGCTAATTAATTTTAACAGTGACAAACCAAATGAAAAAAGTAACTCGTTACGTACGCAAATCGCCTGATGACGTCACTGAATAATCGTTGGAAAGACGCTAGCAAGAATCAGATAGCAATTACGACTGTCCTTGCTCACTTATGTTAGTTTAATTCGAAATTACAACGATTGGCCTTTACTACGAAAATTGCTTCGCGAGATCGACTGCAGCAGGGATTGCACGCATTCTCACATTTGAAACGCAAAGCTAGTTTATCTGATGATTTTTCAAAAGTGCCTGATGCTAAACGAGCCAAGCTAATGTTAAAATGTTATAAGTGCAGAAAAGTGAGTCATAAGCGGTCATAGTGTAGAAGCAAGGTAAATGACAGTGTGGAACGACCTTCGATGACAGCAACGGCATTGCAGCCTGCAGTGAAGTCTCTGGTGTGCTTCAAATGTGGCAAGCCTGGTCACATAACGCTGCGGTGCATAAGTAGTGCCAGTCAAGTGGACGGCAGCAATATGGGTGCAACACAAAGGGAACGACGCGTGGATGTATGTGTTGTACAACCATCTTCGAATGCTCAATGGCATAGAGGTAATCTGTATTGCTTTTGTTATGATCATGATGCTGAATATTCGTTAGTAAGATAACATTTAGCAGTCAAATTGTGTAGTTAACGATTTTGTCCTTGCAATTTCTAGTATTGATCAAAACAGACTATTCCGCATACAGTAAAATTTGTTTTGTAACAATTAACGGTAATTCTCTTGAAATCTTTTGAAATATCATGTTTTGCCTAATTATTAGTTACAAAATGGTATCATGATAGAACATGAGATATTGAAAGGTTTTCTATTAACATGACGGCTATAAATTCTTTACACAAAAATTCTAGTAGGTCATGTACCAATAGAGGTTGATGTAAATAATGATCATCATGCCAAGCAAATGTTTTAATGAAGTCGATGGAAACCGATGTAAGCATTCTGACGGCCGTAGTAGTGTCGACCGTACTAGTAACTATTACGTAGTCATAGCCTGGTAAAAGTCGGTCTTTTGAGGAAGCTCAAACTAAATAGACCGTGGGTGTGTGATGTGCGTTTAGTTCTGGCGGAGGTCGGGGTCTGTTATGACCATAGTGTGTAGTCACCGAGAGGGTGATACGTTGATCCTGTAGTGGATGTGTCGACCGTACTAGTAACTATTACGTAGTCATAGCCTAGTAAAAGTCGGTCTTTTGAGGAAGCTCAAACTAAATAGACCGTGGGTGTGTGATGTGCGTTTAGTTCTGGCGGAGGTCGGGGTCTGTTATGACCATAGTGTGTAGTCATCGAGAGGATGATACATACGGTGATCCCGTAGTGGATGCACCTGGATTGTGGAGCAATTGTGATTGCTGGTTGGCTTGTAAAGCCGTGGCCTAAGAGGGGTTTACAGAGGTGCTAGTAAATTTGAAAATTAGTTTGATTACTGAAGTGTTGAATGATGTTGGTACATGGCTCTGGATGACTAATGTTATTAGTTAGATTAGAGATAAATAGTGACTTGGAGTTTAAAAAAAAACAAAGGTGTTAGCGTTAAAGCTTTTCGTCAGATTCAAAGTTAAGTTTTATCTGGTCAGGATTGACCGAGTCGAGCAAGTATTTTCGTTGATTATTTGGTTGCAGGCTAACACACGGCTAATACACGAGGGCGTGTGCACGCAGGATGGCCGTGTCGGAGACGGTCATCAATACGGTCGCTAAACGACGCGCGGCACGACGCCTGAGTGATGGCAGCACCTTCGGTATTATCGCCAACACTCGGCGAGCTTCGTGCTACGACGGAGCCTAGCTAAGGGAGGGGTGCTAAGAGGGCTGGACACTTGCCTTCGAGCCGAGCCAAGCTTAGGACCGCTCCACTAGGAACTGTCTTGCGTTCCGTATTGTCTATACGTGGTAATAGTGAAGTGAAGTGCTTGCTATATGGTTGTGTAGTGAAGTGCTGTGTAACTATGTACAAAGTGATTATTGTTAATTTGAAATACAACTGTGATTGCATCGACTTTCATTTGAACCAACACTTCCCATATAACGCCCACTGTAGAATTCATGATAAAATAATGGAAAATAATAGAGAAAATTAATGTTGCTTCGATAAATATTTTCTCCATTACTACAGTTAAAGTTTTCTGATACATCAATAAAGTCAAAGAAAAGACTGTAAAATATGTCCTATTACCTATAAAATACAAACCTGTATTAAAACTATTTAGAACACATTAAAAAATAACGAAAAGACTTCAAAATATATCCCATAAAGCATAAATCTAAAAGTGTCCTATTAACATTATTTTATTATACTTGTAGGTACAGCTACGTTCTGCCAAGACAATATTTGCGTGCCCGACACCGACCCTCCCATAGTGTATGGGGGATGCTTCACACTCATATCCTGTGGTGGGAACCAGACCTGGCATCTCGACCCTGTGCTCTATAAAAAGAAAAAAAGTAGATATTATTAAGAATGCTTTGTAATAAATCTAATAATTCATTTGTATGTATTTCTAGTGATCCGCCCTCGCTCTGCAACCTTGAATTACATACTGAATACTTCAGTAACCTTTATTTGACAGAGACATACTTGATCTACCAGGATTTTATTTAAAACTAGCGACATACCCCTGCTTTGTTTTAATTTTTTGAGCGGAATCCAAAATCTTTAAAAAAATAAAAGTAGCCTAAATTACTCCTTATAACATCAACTACCTGCCAGTGAAAGTCCCGTCAAAATCGGCCCAGCCGTTTCGGAGATTAGTCGGAACAGACAGACAGACAGACGACAAACAGACAGACAGAAAAAAATAAAATTGTGTTTTTCTTATAAGTAGTATTAAAGAGCTCTTATTTTGACATTACAAACAGATACTTCAATTTTATTTATCTGTATTGAAGATTACGGATGGTACAAAAAAATCAAATCGTATCCTTTTTTTACTCCAAGCGTAATGAACATAATTTTTAACTACAAGAATTAAATGGTAAAATAATATAAAAAAATCTATAACTTCATTTTTATTTACAGCTTTTTATTTTTAGCCAGTTTTCAAAAATTGAATATTTGGAAGTCATTTCAGTCAGTCATTCAATCAGTCAGTCATTTTGGAAGTTTTTTTCACAATTTCTTATTCCTAATTGCTCTTAATCGTATATATTGTTTAAATATGTTGTCACCTTCATTTTGATGCCCCACATAATAGATTTAGATAAAAAAACACACAGACACAACCCATTCTGGTTTTTAAAACATCCATATATGACAATTAATTCGTATTACGGTTAATCTAATGACATTTAAATCATCATAATTGGTTAATATGTTTGTACATTGTATGTGTTGTTCATTTTTATTCTTAAAATAGTTTTGTAATTGCTAAGCAATACAATTATAAATATACCAAAAAAGGTGTAATTTACAAAGGCTTTGATACTTTGTTGCTACGAGTATGTGCATAAAAGTTAAGTTTAAACAATATCATTTAAAAGCCGAGTTTATCTGCATCATACGACTGGTTCGTAGTGTTTTATTAGCACACAGACAAAAACAAATCTATCCCTCGAAAAACGTACTTTTTTCCGGGATAAAATGTAAGTAGCCTGTGTTATTCCAGACTATAATCTATCTCTGTGCCTTTCATCTAGATCTATTCAGCCGCCGTTCTGGCGTGAAAGAATAACAAACATCCATACTCACAAACTTTCACATTTATAATATTAATACGGATTATAAACTTCAACTAAATAAACAACATTTTTCTAAAGCACTCATTCCAATTTATGTAACATCTTTGGTATTATAGGAAAAAGTAAAAAGATGCCGGAACACCTGTTGTATTGTGCTGAAACAATGTAAATTACACATTGTTCAATGGGTAATAAATAGTCTTAACTTTAAAAGAGCAGTCTAATCATAAAAGTGGTCTATATGAGTGGAAAAATTTACAAAAAATGTTCTTGTGCTAACAAAAATGAGACGTCTCATACATTTCATTACGATTATCCTAGTTTGTAAAGGTGTTACTTTAGAAATAAGAGGAAGTGTTATGGTTAATAAGTAAGTACAATTTCTAACTGATTTGTCTATACATATAATAAAATTGTAACTAAGCCGAATCTGTACATTAAATATTTTTTTGGTAAATCTTATTGAAATAGACATTACTATCGATACAGAGGCCGAATCCATATTACTACTATTATTATAGTTATATACTATTATTATAGTTATATATTAGTATAGTTTATAGTTTCCGACTAGTTAGTATATACTAGCGACTCACTTCGCTCTGCTCGGGTTTGTCCCTAGTTACGTATTAACGTTTAGTATAGATTTCTCAGAGATGAGATATTTTCCCGGAGTAAAAAGTATCCTATATGTTGATTTGGATAACCAGCAAATCTATCCAGTCTCCAGTTTTCTCGTGACGCGTTCCCAGACAGCCCGACAGAAATTCTAAAAACTTTGGATTCATCCTCTGTATCGATAATTACGACTATTTCGATAAGACTTTCCAAAAAATATTTAATGTATAGATTCGACTCAGTTAGGATTTTATTATAGATATGTGATGTCTGTATATATAAATGCATGTATGTATATAGGTATATCGTGAATCGTAATAGCTGCTTACAATTTAACGCATTATTTATAATTTAACGGTATTTACAATTTTACGGTAACATAAATTCAAACAAGACTACACAGAGTATATTTAATGTTCATATACATATATAATAATCTTTTTACATACATAAAAGTCTTTGAAAGTGAATATTAACTTATCTATTTCTCATCTTTTCTTGTTTAGTAACACTAGGTCGAAAATTTTTTTTCAATAAAATTTATAGAAATTCTTAAAGATTCAAGAATTAAATTATTAATGTTTATTTTTAAGTTACTTATAGGTATATATTTTAAATGTTATTTTACTCAAACTTATCCGCTGCTCCCGCCCCGCCAAGTAAGCGGCCCTCGAAGGGAGGGAAATGTTTTATAATTAATATATATGTTAGTTTTAAGGTATATATGCTATGGGTCTCTGTTTACATATTTAAGATCCTTTTGTAAATATTGCCTGAAATAAATGATTAAATAAGTAAAAAAACAAATTTCAGATTGATAAAAGTAAAGCCAGTGGGTGAGATTGTTGCTAAGAAGTTTCTTCCTCTGACCGAGATCCCACCGCCGTCTGGTCATAAGAAGTCTGGAAGAAGGCATCTCGAGGACGATTGTACCAAACGACCGCCCCCTCGCGTAGTAAATGAAGGGAAAAACATAGATATTTTGGGGGACTATTACGATGATAGAGTCGCCAAGACAGTAGCTACTGTAATAATACCCGACCATATCGACTGTAAGTGCAGCATTATCTACGTATATACAATCTATACAAATAATAAAATTGTAACTAAACCGAACCTGTACATTAAATATGTTTTGGAAAATCTTATTGAAATAAACATTATTATCAATACAGATGCCGAAACTACAGTTTTTAGAATTTTTGTCTGTCTGTCTGTTACCGCATTACAGAAAAACCACTGGAGGGATTTTGATGAAATTTAGTATGGTGATAGCTAACCAGCTATTTTTTACCGCGGGAAAATTTTTCATTTCTAATGATGGAATGCTAGTAGGTATATCTCTAAATTTAATAAAAGTGTTATTGATCGCTGTCTGTACATGAAAGATATTTGAGAAAAACTATTATTGGGGGTCTTTATTAACGTAATAGAACCCAAAACAATGATTTTTAGAATTTTTGTCAGTTTGTTTGATTGTCTGTGTGTTTGTGCGGGTTAATCTCATACTAGGTCGATGTAGCAGACGTGGGCGCTTTCGCGTGGAGTATTTACATATTCTGTCAGTACGACTAATGAGATCCCCAGTTTTATATCAGAGCACGTAAAAAAGGCAGTTTAAAACTCACAAACATACAAACTCTCCAGCATTTTTAAATTAGTTGCACACATGAGTACCTACCTCAATCATTTATTTACTTTGTTTAAATTCGATCTCGAAACTAATATGAAAAACGTTTTTTACAAAATTTATACGAATGGTTTTTTATAATAAAGTAAAATAGTTAATTTATTCTTGTAATAAAAAGATAATTATACTTTTTTAACTTAATAGACAAATGAACTTAAAAGTTACTATAAAAAAAATCATCCTTGTGTGGGGAATTTACTACTTATAATTTATACGGGATCCCCATTTTGTATCGTTCTGAGACAATTCAAATCATTGAATTTGAAATCTTTGTAAAATAATTCAAATATAAGGCCTAACCTGTCTATAAATTTATAACATTTAATTTACAAACTCAAATTTTAAACTATAGCCTAATTCCATTACAGACAAACATTACCAGGTTACAACCCAAGTGCCATACCTCACTCTTGGACCAATAGAAGCTATCGGCTATCATCCCAGTACACTAAAAAGCGAGCATCCCAGCGAATGTGAGAAGATTTACCAAGACCATATAGCGGAAATGTACTCAGACGAAACCACAGACTATTCAGAAGAGTCCTTAGAAATGGCCAAAATGCCTATGCAACTCATGGCTACGACAGAAATACCTTACGGTGATAAATTTCACTTTTATGACGACATGGATTAATTTTTTTTATATTTTTTATACTTTGTATAGTATATTTTGTATATAAAACTTCTGGTTTTTCATTTTGTTTATCGATATTATTAAGGCACCATAACATTCTTAAACTATGCGATAATTTATATAAAAAACATGTTTTTTTGTACATTTAGTAGGTACTCTAGATCCTCACGTTACTATACTTAAGGATAAGGAGGCTAAGGATATATACGATGAGAATTCGATCATTAAACTTATTTTTATTTACTAGAAAAGAAATCGCTCATCAAAACTTATTTAATTTAATAATAATAGGTTTACCAAAAGAAAATTCCTTCGGCATTTTATTATATCTTAAGTAAAGTTATGATACAAGCTGTTTATTGCACACAATTATTTCCTTTGATGCAATAATAACCATCGACTTAACGAGTTACACTTGCTATGGAAATTTATAACAACTACTATATCGCTCATCGCTGTATAATAAACATGTCATATGCTATAAAGATAATTAAAATAACAATATGAAGTCACGTGTATATAATTAACTCCTTACTACCCTTGTAATCGGGGGTAAGATTCTTGCAAGGAATGCTTAAACAGACCACATAAAAAACACCCAACAAGAAGTTCTTCCAATCCAGTCTCATCACGCAGACAATTCAAAAATTAAGTGTGAATATAAGTAATTATACTATTTATAGGTATTTAATAGGTAAGAACTAATCATAAGTCAAAATATAAACCCTCTAATATTAAAATTGCGTAAGTTTGTAAGAAAAGTGGAGTGAAAGAGTTCTATAATTGTTTTTGAAACGTAGACATCTGACTGAAATGAATGGGGATAGCTTATTATAGCTATATATATATATATATATATATATATATATATATATATATATATATATATATATATATATATATATATATCCTGAACTTGTCCGTATTACTTTCTAGAATTCACTTCTAGAAAAACAAAAATAAATCTATACTACGGGAACCGTTCATTTTTCCGGTATAAAAAGTAGCCTGTGTGTCATTATGATATATCTATACATATATTAAAATTCTAACTAAGTCGAATCTGTACATTAAATATTTTTTGGAAAATGTTATTGAAATAGACATTATTATCGATACAGAGGCCTAATCTATAGTTTTTAGAATTTTTGTCTGTCTGTCTGTTACCGCATGACAGAAAAACCACTGGAGGGATTTTGATTAAATTTGGTATGGTGATAGCTGGTTATCCGGGTCAACACATAGGATACTTTTTACCACGGGAAAATATCTAACTTCTGAGAAAAAATACAAAAACTGCAATGTAAGAGTATACTAATATGTAAAACCTAAGGATTTGGTTTTTGGTCATATGAACGCGGGCCAAGCCGCGGGCAATGCTAGTGAACTATATTATTGTAAAGTTTCAATAAAATCCATTCAGTAGTTTTTGCGTGAAAGAGTAATAAACAACCATGCGTCTATACATCCACATATCCATACATCCTCACAAACTTTCGCATTTATAATATTAGTAGGATTTGTACCGACGCGACGCAGATACTTAAGAGTGCCACATAAGATTCACAGGTAAAAGTATTAAAGGAATGAAACTTGGTAATGTAGGTACCACGATTCAAACCTTTAACTTTATGTGCCTCTGATATAAAAGAAACGTGAATTTTATCAACCTCGTCTGGGTTTGTCCAAATGAAACTTAAATAATAAAAATGAGTTTTTATTAATATTACTATTTAAATTTTAATTTTTACTATTTAATTTTAATCTAAACTTAATATTTATTACACGGGTCCAGCTTGTAAATTGTATTTATTGAGTAATTTGATATCTTTGTCTTTTTCATCGAGTATCTCTTCTGTTTCGTCATCATCAAAGTCATCCATATCTAAGGGATTTCTGTAATTATAATAAAAATCACTACATTTTGCTCACAGTCCTGCTCACATGATTTATTTTTTCATAGCTCTTGTCCTAAGTCCTTATAGCGGGATGTCAGATAGCCTATAACTTTCCTCAATGAGAAGGCTATAAAATTCTAAAAAAATTCATATCGGACGGAAGTAGAGACGAAAGCATCCAAACAAACAAAAAATCAATCTCTACTGTATTATAATAAAAGTGTATATTGTTAGTATTGAAAGCTTATGACACATTAAAAGCCTTGGAATATTCTACAAATACATATTAATTATACATATGTATGTATGTATATGATAGATCGATCATCTAACGCCTGCTCAAGAAATGATAGCAAACTCTACAGAGAGAAAATACACATATTGCAAGTTCTTTATTACTTCCATAAATATATAATACTTTAAATCCACAATTAATAAAGCATAAATATGATTTAGGGAATGGTAGCCCAGTGATAATGCGCTTGCTTGGGAAACCGAGTGAAGCGGGTTCAAATCCCGGGTCTCGCACCTTTGATATTTTCATGTGCGAATCATTTCCAACACCATTACCTCTTGTCTTACGGTGACGGAAAACATTGTGAGGAAACCTGCATGTCTGAGAGAACTTAGTAAGTTTTCGAAAGACATGTGCAGTCCGCCAACACACAATTTGCCAGCGTGGTGGACTATGGCCTGATCCCCCTCGTATTGAAGGGAGGCCCGTGCCCAGCAGTGGGACGTTAAAAAGGGCTGAACACAAATATAATTTAAAACTAATTGTAATATTCATAATAAATTAGGTACTTACTTATTCCAATCGATTTTATGTCTTTTTCTAAAAACAAAATAAAACATTTATTATTAGATATTTATAAATTTTCCAAATAGATTAATTAATATAAGGTAGGTATATACATACCTATTTGTTGCAATGTAATCTTGATCCATATACTCTTCAGATATCTCGACGGAGAGAGGCTGACCTCTGTGATCCTGTAATATGCCAAAATACCTTGGTGCTCGAGTCACGCTGAATAAAAGACCTATTAAAAAGAAATTCAAAATATTATAATTATGTCTAAAGTTTTTACTAACAAAGTCAAAATATTTTCCGATTTATTATAACTTTTAGTTAAAATAATAATTTTATTCTCCCTTAGTTAAAATGATATGAGAAATAATTTAGGATACGTTATTTGCTAGGATTATTCTATCAATTTAATTAATATGTAGATAGATTAGAACATATAAGTATTAGAAATAATTAAATTTCTTGTAAAATTTATGTATGATCTATACATATAATAAAAATCTAACTAAGCCGAATCTGTACATTCAATATTTTTTGAAATTTTTTATTGAAATAGTCATTATTATCGATACAGAGGCCGAATCTATAGTTTTTAGATTTTTTGTCTGTCTGTCTGTTACCGCATCACGGCAAAACCAATGGAGGGATTTTGATGGAATTTGGTATTATGGTAGCTGGATATCCGGGTCAACATATAGAATACTTTTTACTGCGGGAAAATATCTCATTTCTGAGAAAAAATACAAAAAGTGCAATGTAAGAGTATACTAATATGTAAAACTTAAGAATTCGGTTTTTGGTCATCTGAACGCGGGCGGAGTCGCGGCCAATGCTTGTATATTATATTTTTAAAACTTACTGTCATCAACCGCGAGTAGTCCCTTCAAGGCAAACGATAAAACTATTAAAACAATCTGAAGTCTTAACTGCTTCTCGCACATTATAAAAAAAATTTCCCTTAAAGAAAGTTTTTAAAATTTTCAATTAATGAATGAAACTTTCAAATAACAGCATACCTAATGGAATGAGAATAAAAATTTAAAAATGAGCCCCTAAACTTTACTTTTCACTCATAACTTCCTTGTATAGAAGTTTAGAAAATAATAATTGTTTCCCAAACTATTCTATTGTTGATTTCATACTCGCTAACACGTGACTTAAAATAAACGATTATACAACGCCTCGAAAGTTACATGATACTTCTCCAAGTACTTGTAAGAATGGAAACAAGTACCTAATGGACTAAAATCCCGCTGCAAGATTACTACGTTCATAACGTATTTAACCAAAATCATTATTTTATATACAATAATAAAAGGGACAATATGTTTTGACCGGGGTGCCTATTAAAATGTGCCCGCTAGTATGTTTTATTAAATAAATAATAATTGACTTTTTGGAACAAAAACGATGTATTTCTTATTAAAATGAATTATACACAGAAATATACGTACAGATCTTGAAAAGTGATAGCTGCCGTTGCGCACTTGGCTGCAACCTCTTCGCAGCCAGGTGTAAGCAGGTCATATTTTGTTACGTTTTTACGTTCATGACGTATAGTCATCCTTTATAAATCAAATTAAAACTAATTTTTTTCTGTACCTGATAAACTACCTCTCACCTATGTAAAAGTGGCCGCAATGGAAAGAAAAGAAGGAAAGAATATAATATTATAGTATATCATTTGTCACTTTAATCTATCTTTGCCATGGTAACCGTTGTTATTGTCTGTCAAATGATATATTATAATATTATATTACTTACGCAAGGCTCGATCAAGGTCATGCGTCATTTGTCCGTCCGATTGTCCTGAATTAACGTATTTATTTAAGAAAATTCTAAAATTATCTGTCTGATGGTTTGGTATATTTACAACCAGCGGCTCATACTCGCTTCGCTCGGGTGCGCTGCTAGAAAAACAAAAACGAATCTATCCCACAGGAACCGTACATTTTTCCAGGATAAAAAGTACCTTATGTGTTATTCCAGACTATAATCTATCTCTATGCCAAATTTCATACAGACCCGTTTAGCTGTTCTGGGGCGAAAGAGTAACAAACATCCATACTCAAAAACTTTCACATTTATAATATTAATATAGACGTGTGTCTCTATGACGGACACTTTTACAAATAATAAAGATTTTTACTACTTGCATTTAGTGTATTCATAATATAAAGAGTACTTAATCCTTAAAAAATAGAAATTAATTAATAAGTAAAAGCACTGTAGGTACATATCGATTAAATGAGCAATCTCGAAATCCGGCAATATAATAGCATTACATCCCTCTATCTCAGACTAAATTCTAAAGAAGTTTAAAAAGTTTGTACATATCTATAGTATGGACGGAGCCCGCCAAAAATAATGTCAAAGTCAAATATAGTAGCGTAATTTGCTGTTTTAGCTACAATTCTCGATTTTGGCATTCAAATCGTTGATTTTCTTTAAAGAATAGGGTATATTAGTCTACTCTATTAGTCATTGATTTACAAATGTTGTGAAGAAGATATGAATTATAAAAATAACACTATGTTGCTTTTTATTTTTATTTCTTAGCCTATTTAATTACCGTATTTAATTAGTTTTTATTATAATAAAATCTGTTTACCATTTTTATTTATTAACATTTATTTAAGTAGGTACTTATCACAGTACCTACTCATTACATTTTTCATTATTTTAAACCATTATCGTTTGGTTTCATGTTTAGTTCTATAACACTGTCTATATTGTTCCTTAATCTGAAAAAAGAAATTAGACTAATTCATTTATAGCAGGGACAAAATATGAGTTTTTTGCTGTCTATTTTAACAACTCAGCATTAAAAAATATTATTTAATTTAATTAATCAAATAATTGATTCACATTTTGATTTTTAACACCTCCAGGTAAAATTCTAAGAAATTAATTAAAATTCTAAGAAATCTATTGTTAACTGACACGCCGGCGTGTCCGCGGTCATAGAGGGATTAAAGGCGTTGGAATAATAAAGAAAAATATATTTTTGAAAATATTTATTTAACATTTTATCATACAATAAAATATTTACTATCTGTAGAACAAGTTGCCTTCGCCTCCCCAAAGCCTCCGTCCACCATAACCGATGAGATCTTGACGTATTGAATTATACTTTTTGAAGAATAACTTCTTTAAAATTCTTTTACGGCGTTTGTCCTCTTTTAGACACGATTCAAGCTTATCCATGCAGACGTCCTCTCTGTAAAACATTTTATTTATACGTAAAATAACTATAATGAGAATTAAAACTAACTAGTTTTTGACTATTTCGCGATTCCGCACAAAAGGTCGGTAAAAAACAAGATAAGATAAAAACATTGTGAAGTGCGATCGCCATCTGCCTGATGATCATAATATTTTATTGCTGTCTAATGTGTCTATATAACCAACAGGCACTATCAAAAATTACAGATATATTCCCTAAGTATTTTTTATGGTATTCAGTGACAAACGAGCAGACAGCCCACCTGATGGAAAGCGGTACCTGTCGCCCATAACACCTACGGTTCGTGCACTTAGGTTTTATGTTACAAAAATACAGAACCGCAGGTGCGTCGACACTGTGAGGACTAAGATGATATGCCTGTAGCCTGTAATTGCACTGGTTATCTTATCCTTAATTAGATTGAAAATTAAAAAAAAGAATCAAAAACCGACAGCGTAAAAAACATTTTTTTTTATAACAGCACTTTAGTTTTGAGGCAGTTCGCGGTTAGACATTTGGAGTTTTATGAAATAATTTCTTGTTCCAATATAGCTAATAACCGTATAAGTTGTATATAAGTTAATAATCTATTACTTGTAATTTTGATCTAAAAGCAGTTTGATCGGCTCCGTCTTAGTATATTTGTCTGGCAGACGAGCGCCCGGCGGCATTTTAGACAGTTCCTTCATTACGCCCATTATCGTGTTTTCAAGTTGCGCTAACTTTGGAACCATGAGTCTTTTGATTACCTGTAAATAAAATATAATTAATTAAATTATTTTTACGTTTAATGTAATAATAAATTCTGCTATTTTCCAACAGCTATATAAAATTAAATATTTTTAAGTAGGAAAATTAGCGAGAATGGATGTTAACCAACTTTAAATCATTATATATCCCAAACTGTTATTTAAAATGAAAAATAATTAAAAAAACCTAAAAATGATTTTTAAATACCTATTCAACGATATCCCACTTGACATAGTTCGGCGATTTTCATTTTTTTTCTTTTTTACATTATGGAATCTAGCAGCTATTTTTTTTCATGTCACCTATCTAAGAACACTTGGACTAATGAGACGAATATAACGATACCTTAATTAAAGAAATCCATAGAGTGGTTTGGAAGATATGAGGGAATAAAGAATATTACAAATAAATATACAAAGATAGGACCGAAAAACATAACCCTTTCCTTGCAGTCGGGTAAAAAAGAAAGGAGTGAGTGGGATTCATAGCAGAATACTACTTTATTAACATAATATATCCATCCGGGTGCGATACGAAGAAATGTACTGGAAAACGGCCCACCTCGGTGGGCGGTGTACCATGCGGGTTACTCCTGGTACCTCTCTGATCGCATAGTGGACCGTAGAAGGAACCCCATAGTTGTTGTGGTCTACTTGTAGACCTGCCGCCGGGACATGTTTTATTATATGTACAGATAAGTATATTTTTCTTCTTCAAGCGCCTCTACATTACTGAAAACCGGCAGTCATCCCCCTAAATCTTTGTTCAGGGCTAGCCTAAACAGATCTACAATCCTATTTTATCCTGGTTCATTGTCGGATGTTGCAAAGTAAATATATTAAAAACACAAAATTGATCAATACCTTTCCACATTTATTCCCTGTCTTACATGGGATCCTAAATCTTCTGCCTAGATCCATATTTGGTAAATTTTGAATTTGTGTGATGACATTTGAAAATGTTCCCACCGCTGTATTTTGTTCTGTTAAAAAAATATTTCTACTGAATACGGTTAAGATTACGGTTGACTTATTTAAGGAGTTAATCGAATTCTTTCACTTCTTTTTTTATTACAAATAAAAATGAAACAGGATTCGATGATAAACGCATCACTTGAGAACGACTGGGCCAAGTTCTCTTAATTTTTTTTTATACTCTGCATTTAAAAGCATTTAGGAAAAAAAGTTGGGAAACTACCCAGAAAAATAAGGAAATTTAGGAAAACAAATTCTATAGAATAAGATATATAAGATCACAAATTCATTCTGTCTGTCAGCCTGGTCAGTAAAAATATTAATATTCATATAATAAAATATAGATACATACTCATTTTTTCCTTCTTTGTTTTTCCTACTCCAGGCATGATAAACTCATCTGATTCTTTGGCAACTACAATATATTCAACTATAAGAATATAGGTTAAAGTTAGATTAAATAAAAAATTCTTAAAAATCATTATAGAGGATTCAATTGCAAAGAACCTAAGTGTACGATCGAGGTAAGCGAAGTAGGTACAACATTTCTTCTATGTATTTACAAAATATTTTCTTACCTATGCTATTAGAAAACTAGGAACAGGGGCGGCCTTAGCCATTGCGAGGCCCCGGGCAGTAGATCTTTGCGAGGCCCTTGTCCTTTATGGGATTTATGTGAATTGAAAATATTTTTAATGACGATGCTTGACGAGAAATGCAAAATTATCAATAAATAAATTTAGAGTTTTAAAATTGTATATTGGAAATTCAGAAAAGTTAACAAGCACAAAGAAGATAAATTTATTATTTTGTTAACATTTTTAGTCTTCGCGTGACTTGCCATTATTCTATAAGCTCATTTTGAATATTTTTTCCGAGATGTTGATATTATTTTTATTTCTTTAGAATTCAAGGGCTCGGAGGAGCCCGGCCTTTTGGGAGACTTGTGTTTCTCAGGTTCAACACGTAGAGACCCCTGAGATTTAAGCGTTTAACATGAAGCATCAGCCGGGATCTATCTCCGAGTAACCCATAAGGAATTGCTCAATATGATCCGGATAATGCGTAGGGACTATGGAAAATATAAAAAACTAATAGGGTTTATGGAATGGAGTTTGGATGGGCTACAAAACTGGGCTATTGGATAAGACTATCGGGCGTCGTCCGCCTTCTCAACAGTCTCAGATTCAATATTTGGCGTACGGTTATTCGCCTCCAACTCGCGGTATAATGCCTCGGGCACAGCATCAGCGTGGTCGGCTAAAGGTGTCCAGAAATGTGCACCGGTTTCACCATCGCAAATGCTCGTGAGCGGGTTTCCTCGTTATTTTGCATATTGAGCATTTCTACTCTTTCAAGCTCTTGGCTCTTGCGCTCCACTCTGGAGGGCCAAAGACTTCAATAGATGTACAGCTTTTTTAAGCCAGTCTCTAAATTTAACCATCCGTTCACACCCGTTCTCTAAATTTAACCATTTTAACATACGATCTTTTTGCAGTCGACTAGATTAATGAAAGTTTAAATATTTATCCAAGTTTTCCCAATTGAAAACTTCTGCACAGGACCTAATTTTTTATATTCTATTCTGAACAATTGACAGAGAATGCAGTAAATGGCATATTTTGTTTGTGAATAAATCATCCAGTGCCTGTCTAGTTTTTCGACATTAGCTAATATTTTATTGTAATGATACCTATTCAATGAATGAGTCTTTCTGTATAGTGAGTCTCAGTAACAGCCCGGAGTTGAGAAGTTGGCGGTGTTTCACCCACGTGCCGAGGCAGAGCACGTAAAGCCGTCGGTCCTGCGCCTTAACTCTCACTGGTCGTGTCGAGCAGTCGTCCCACCGGAGTATGAGAGTGATAGGAATAGAGAGTGCACTTGTGTCTGCGCGTACACTTGTGCACTATAATATCTCCTGTGCAGTTGGCTAGACTCAATGAGATTGGCCGCTGTGGCCGGAATCGGCTAGGAGAACATCATCATCATCATCAATGAATCACCGTCCACTATCGTTTGAAAGAAATTCTGTCTTAGAACGGATTAGACCTTTCAATGAAATCTTAGTTCGGTCTGCATTAGTAATTATTGATGGCCATAAATTTGGGTCATTTCAAGGATTCAGATTTTCAATGCCGCCACTGGATGTAGACATAGATTTAGATACGTATTTTTGGCTGGATAGTGTTAACGACGGCGGCGGCGGTGGAGTAACAATGATGTTGCTTACTCACTGTTGTTGTTGAAAAAAATATTTCAACTGGGTTAGGGTTAGAATGCAATAACATGTCACTTTCAGTCACTAAAGAGTATCATGGACTTAGAAGCTTCTTGACCATTGTCTTTTATATATTTGTACAAATACACATAAAGATATTCTCTAAATGCTTTCTTTTGATAGCTTGTTGCCTTTTTGAACTATCGAACTAATTTTTTCTACTGGCATCACAATCGGCCAAACTCAGTTTGAAAATCTTTTTTGCACATAAAATTAATAAAAAAATTACAAGCACTTTTACGCAATTTTTTTACTAATTCACTTACTTTACTATTATTACTTATACTTGATAGTGCAAGATTTAATATTTATAAAGGTTTATTGAAAGATATGTGATATGTGCTTGTACTTGCACGTTGTGGGATTTTTAATACACGGTGTAAGGCACGAGATTCTAATACATTTGGGTTGTTGTGCGAAGGCGCGAGGCCCCTAAAAGCGCGAGGCCCCGGGCGATTGCCCTGCTCGCCACCCCCTAAGGCCGCCACTGACTAGGAAATAGCGTCAGCACGATTGTTTGTAAACATCTTCTAAACAGTTGGATTTTGTAATAATCAATCAGTTAGGTACATACAAAGTTTTACGGGATTTTTTAACCCCCGACGCAAAAAGAGGGGTGTTATAAGTTTGGTGTCGATGTCTGTCTGTCTCTGTGTGTATGTCTGTCTATGGCATCGTAGCTCTCAAACGGATGGACCGATCTCGATGCGATTTTTTTTCATTTGAAAGCCAATAATTGCGGTGGTTCTTAGCTATGTTTGGTTAATATCGGTCCAGCAGTGTAAGAGTATCAGCTCTCTTCCAAAATGATGTCAGGAATTTTGAAAGAAAGCCTAATTGACAAAAACTAAAAAGTAAATAAAAAAGTATATTATAAGAATAAAAAACCCGACTGTATAAATACAAACATGTTTCATCTTTGCCGCGAGATCACGAGATGTACATAATATTATATCTGTTTCCGACTGCTTATTACTATATTCCTTCATCAACTTGTTTTTACCTTTTTAGTTTTTTTTTTTAATTTTAGCTGTTATGCACTCGGGTTTTTTATTTTTTTATGTTTTCTACTTTGACTTCAGTCAACATCTTTATAATAAAATTCCGTTTAGTACTAAATATTTAAAACCTGGATGTTTCCGTCTCTCTGTGAATAATGTACGGACATTGACGAATATATATTTGTTCCGATAATATGTTTTGGCTTAACAAAAATTTAATTATTTCTCCGACTATATGCCTAATTATGGCTAGGTAAGTGGTAACAATAATTCCAAGTTAACTTTTGGTATCTTATCTTGTTTTGTACATTACAAAACGATTCAACTCTTGACAGTTGGACACTGACATATACTACTCACAGGACACATTTACTCAGGAGGCGGGAGCACTCATATTTGACACTGACAGTCTGACGATTGACACATATTTATTATTTTTGGAATTTGGACTACTCGAGTTCCTCTTTCGTGGAGACTCTACACTGAATATTCATTCTATTTAAGTTTTAATACTGCTTTTCATTTTTCAAAACAACCGCGTCTTCCTCACTATACCACTGGCAGGTTATGCCTATTGAAATTCCAAGCAGTTACAGAAAAATAGTGTTGAGTACTGAACACTTTTCAAACGTGCTTCTCATTTCTCTGCTCTCAACGCAAACAATGAACAACAATAAGTTTTAATTTTGTGGTTTTAGATATAGATTAAATTCTCAGTTTGTCAAAACAGTGCTGTTTATGTTGTTTTCTATTTCATCTAAATGGAACAAAGCGAAGAGACATCAATTTCCAAAAAAAATGGATTTATCTCAAAAACAATAATTAATGATAACTTAACTGTGTTAGATTTAAGTAACAAGAATATTTATTTTTTTGATGATAGTATACAACTACCCGTGAATTTAACTGAATTGTACTTGGCGCACAATTATCTTGTAGAAGTACCACCTACTATACAAAATCTAACGAAAATACGAACTTTAGATTTATCATTTAATAAAATAAAATATTATGATGATGCACCGCAATTTTACCAGACTATAGAACGACTAGACATATCTAATAATAAGCTATTAGGTCCTCCATATTGGATATGGGCTAAAAAATTGAAAAACTTAAAAGAAATTAACATAAGTTGCAATTGCGACATCACATGCTCCTTAGTAAATGGTTATTTTGAAGAACTGTTAAAATATAAAACACTAGTCACACATATAATAATTTATAATTGTAATTTAAAAGCCCATTTAAAATTACTCCATACATTTCCAAAAGCAAAGTTACTTCATTTAGGAACACCCGAACTGAGTAATACTAGATTTGCGAATTATATTGAAGAAATTCCATGCACTGGTTTAGAGGAATGTTGCGATATTGAATCTTTAAATTTAATCAATACAGGTCTTATTAACATTAAATCAAATATATTAATATATAAAAATTTAAAAGAAATTGATTTGTCATTAAATGCTATATCATATATTCCCCCAGAATTTTGTTGTCTGGAATATTTAGAAGTGTGTATTTTATCATTTAATAATTTATTATATCTACCAGATAATTTTAATAACTTAGAAAGATTAGTTAGTCTTTGCTTAAATAATAATAATCTTTGCATGCTTCCTGAAAAATTATGTGAACTGCCATTTTTGAAAAAACTAGATTTATATGATAATAATTTACATGATTTACCTGAAGGATTTGAGAACTTATTAGAAGTAGATTTAGCACAAAATTACTTTGAAGAACCTATCGATATAGAATATGTAAAGAAAAAGAAAAAAATTCGGCTCAAGAGTCCTGAAAGATGTAATGGAAGGTAAATTTTATAATTAACTTATTATGTTTACATGTTTTTAAAATATTGTTATAACATAAGACATTTAATGTAACATTAATATTTTCAGGAAATTAGAAGTAGAGAGAGCCGAAAGTGAATATTCAAAAGATACTGATGAAGAATTTTCATGTTGTTCTAAGAGTGAAGAGAAAGGTATGGTAACTTTTTTAAAAACCATACTTTTAAAAGGATATTAAACAATGTTTACTGCCTAAAAGAATAAAAACGCTATCTATTACACCAATTAATGCAAGTAAAAATGTTAACTTCATTTTATTTTTATGTGACAAATTAATGTAGATTTTTTTTATTGATCGATTGATAGATGCTTTTTGTAAGATTTCATCGTTTTCATTAATTGTAACATACAATTTTCGTTTGAGACATTAATTTACCATAGACGCTATCTATTAATTCGATAAAATATGGACGCTGTACCGTTTTGCATTTTCAGTTGGTTCGATTACCGATTCAGGTCACGTCTTTAAAAAAAAATTAAATGCAGTTAATCTTATTTTTTTAAATAAAATAATGTTTCCTTTGAGTGAAACTTAATATTTTCAGTGTTTAAGACACTTTTCTTCCATGTCCTGTGCGTTTGTACCATGATGTTAGAGCTCATATGTATTTATTTGTAAGATTTCATAGTTTTCTTCAATTCTAAGATGCAATTTTTGTTCAAGAGATTTTATCCTTCCCATAAACCCTATCGATTAATACAATAAAATAGTGACGTGTCCTTTTTTGCGTTTTTATTTGGTTTGATTCCCAGCTTAAGTAAGCTTTTTTTTTCCATGTCCCATTGATTTATTCCATCCTGTACATAATATTTATACTAAAAAGTAAAACCCTTAATTACAGATATTGAAAACAAATCTGTCTGTTCATCAGAAGACTGGGATTCTGATACATATTGGATTCCTCATTTTTCTCATAACACTACAACATCACAATCACCATGGCTTTTCTTTGTAAAAAGAAAAATGGAAGAAGGAAATTTTTGTCCCATGGATGCCCACCAAGTGTCCATAGCTGATCAAGTAGAATATGAAAAATTGTGTAATCCAAAAGTAGTATATGAATCTGATGGACAATTTGATGACTATTCTAGTGATGAAAGTTGATAATAGCACTGTTTGTTTTCTATACAGTAATACCCCGGACTTACGCGATAGGTGGGACCGAGCGATAGCCGTGTAAGTCGAATTCGCGTAAGTTCAACTTTGCATATAAATAGTAAATACATATAAAGTACGTTTAATCGGACCAGAGCCTAAAGAAAATAATAATTAAGAAGAAACATGTTTAATAAAATGTTTAATAATAAAATAATTTATATTTTTAAGAATAAATCAACGTATAACGAAGTTATTTTGATGTCGAAGGATTCATAATATATTCTAACAATGTCGCCTGACGAGTTAAGTTTTGACGTCCGTTGACGTCCGATCCGTTTTGATGCTTGATTCCGGTAGGTCAAATTTGTTTGCCAATTCACAAATTGTTATTTTTGTTCTTTTAGATGACATAATTAAATGTTATTAATAAAACGCACTGTGTACGTAAAACAATTGCACGCAGAACACGTTCAAACCTGTCGTAAACGGAACACTAACAGGGCAGAGTAGGAGAGCAGATGCGCGCGGCCGTCAAAAAGAAAAACCGCGTAACTCCGAATTCGCGTAAAACGGGGTAGCGTAAGTCGGGGTATTACTGTATATGTATTTTTGCAAAATCAATGCATAATTTTAATGCATAATCAACTCATTTGTAACAAAACAATTGTGATATGAAATTCATTTGTTCAGGTAAAAATTTATTTTAAATCTAAATAAAAATACAATTTTGAACTAAGTTTGGATGATAAAAAGAAATATTTATTCTTCAAGTAAAGTTACACCATTCATGTACCTCCAGAATATTTCAAAGGCATAATTACAATATGAACATTATTTATGCATGCATAGTGCATACTTTGCTGTACTTAAATGATTGAAAATTCAAAACTACAATATAATAAATGTATGTATATGATTAATTATTATGTATACCTAATTTGTTATTTGTAACATAATAATGTTTATTTTCTTTTACTATTCCTGAGAAGTTTGTTACATAAAATAATATTCTCAATATATATGTTAATAACATATAATATTAGAAGGATAAAAATTAAATTAAATTGTATGTGATTTGGTTACTAGGAGTGTTTGTATATCTGCTGATAAAATACTGGCCTCACATGTTAATAGTAAAAAAGTAAATGGAATGAAACAATAAAAAAATATGCATTATTATTTAACTTTAATTCTGTGCATATCATCAATAGCTCATATTTCTTAGCAATAAAGACATTTATAATTTCATTACAGTCATCATTTCATTTAAAATTTCTTCATGAATATGATTTCTATTCTCTCTAGTAATCTGAAAAGATTTAGATTAGATTCATCAAAAGTTTACTATATAAAATTTTACTTTAGTATAACATTCATCATTTTGCCTTTTTTTTTATTATTACTAGCGACTCAAACTCGCTTTGCTACGGGTTTGTCCCTAGAGAAACAAATTATCCCACAGGAACTGATACATTTTTCTGACAATAATCTATCATGGTGCCAAATTTCATCTAAATCCATTCATCTATTCTGGCATGAAAGAGTAACAAACATCCATCCTACCTCACAAACTTTGACATTAATGATATTGATTAAACCAAGTCAAAAAGTGAATAAATTGACACTAATACTTTATTACGTTATTCACTTCTTACACTTACAATAAGTAATTTAAATTTACTCACCATCCAGATTTTCGCTCTGTTATTATTTCTTATCGATTCTATAAGAGGGTCACTTTTTCTTACAGGTATTGTAGCTAACACAATATTTTTAGATTGTGAACTAAAGATTTCTTTTATTCTGGATTTAAAACTTTGACTGAAGAACTCCATTTTCCCAATTTCATCTATCACTAACACAGAAGAATCATCAGTCTAAAATGATAATTAATTTTAACTAAGTATATTGTGTCATTTGATATTAGTTTTATAATTATAAAATAATATTACCTTTTTTAAAGATGGTAATGCAATATTTTCAAATTCTTGGACTAAAACACCATATTTTCCAACTGAAAACTTTACAGGACTAGGAAGTATGGTTTGGTCTCTAGCCAGTCTTCCTCTATCTCCATCTAATGAAACAATATCAAACCCTTCTCGAACTCTATTTTGTCTCACTTCTTCAGTGATGAAGCCCACAGTTTTCACGCCTTTAGAGCTTAGTAATGAATATATTTTTTTAATCATAGTAGTTTTGCCAACACCTAAAAAGCCTCATAAATTAAATTATGATAAAATAAATGTATATAGGACTTTCTTGACTATAACATATAATACCTAACCCGGGTCACCAGTAAGTATAAAGTATTTGATGTTTTGTGCCATTCCACAATTGCTATAATTTACAATATTATGGTTTATGTATTTATTGATATATATTTTTTCCATTAAAAAACCTGAGTCAATATTTTACGTATGATTTTAAGACGTGTCATTCAAGCCCAAATTCTTCACTAATTAAAATTTAAAACTGATAGAAAAATCAGAAAAAAAATGAAACAGTATATCTACAAAGAAATAAAAATATTGTTGAATTTTTCGCGACACCAATTTAGTAAATTACTAACTAGTAAATAATGTTCAGTGTTGCCAACACGGTGTCAGGTTTTGGGGCTAAATGGAGTTCTAAAAAGGGCTAGATGGGGGCTAGATTTGGCCACGGAGGTTCTCCTTCCATCTAAGCTCCGTGACTTGGCCAAAAAAATTAAAATAGGAAAAGTTCGTTTTTTTTATTGAAATCAAATAAAATAAGTAATTTTTTAATAATCGTTTAATATTAACCAAAAAATTAAAAAAATCAACTTTTTTTATATAAAAATACATCTTAAAACTCAATCTCCTCATCGGAGGAGGATTCTTCGCCGTAAAACTCACTTGTACTTTGCGAAGTTGATGGTTGAAGAGGATTATTAGTACTAGCAGGGGCCTTGTTCAAAATAAATTTATATTTTTCTTTAGATCCAATCTTTTTTAAGACATCTATTGGGATATATGTGTAGCAAGTTTGTCCGAATTTTATAAGACCAAATCGTATATGTAATATAGAATTTAATGTGTCAAAGTTCATTCTATTTCGTAATTTATTTTTAATTACGTTCATTGTGCTGAATACCCTTTCAACATCTGCGTTTGAGTGTGGCAATACGAGCATAATAAATGCCAATGAGCAAAGTTCTTGATACGGATTATCATTACCTGCATCTTTATATTGCGATACTTTGTGCCAAAATTTTACGGTGTCATTAGTGTGTTCCCATTTGTTAGTTGGTATGTTTTTCCAATGTGAAAGAATTTTGTCAATTGTATCCCCATTCAATCCAAAATGTTCAGCTAATTTAATTATTTCCATGCCCTTGTCTGGTTTTAATACATGATCAACGCTCATAATGTTCATATTTTGAAGTGTCTGTATGTTGTCGGGAAGCCGTTGCTGCAATTCTTTAGTCAGTTTGACGGTGAAATCAATGCAACGCTTTCTAATCATCTCTTTATCGTTTAAACTGTAAGTTTCAATTATCTTTTCAAAGTTATAGCCAAGGTATGGCATCGGATCTAAATAATTGGCAATATTGTCTTTGAAAATATCAATGGAGTGTCGTCTTCCAGGAATCACAATTTTATCGCACAGGACCTCTAACAATTTCACTAAAGATTTCAGCAGTTTTGTTGGGTCACTCACTGGTTTGTCCTTCAAATGACTTTAACGCGTATTGTACTTGTGCAAGAATAGCTTTTATATAAACCAAATATGCCTTCCAGAAAGGATTGCTGTACATGTTAAACAGCGTTTCAGCCGTAAAACAATTATTTTTACTTTTCGCAATTTCAAAAAACAGCTTTAATTCATCCCATTGATCCAAAATTCGCTGCACGGCAGGTTCTATAGAAAGCCACCTACTGGCACACTTTTTCAAAATTTTTAATGGTTTTTTTCCGCAATTTATGGTTTCATAAATTTTTGCATACTGGAGACGGCGTTCAGGTGACAAACAAAACCAATTGTAAGTTTCTCTTATTAGGTACTCGATGTTTCGCGGAATCGTTTCCTCTGAAGCATGACTGACTGCGAGTTGCAACGAGTGACAAACGCATCTTACCAAAACTAAGTGTTTTAGACCATATTCTTCTTTTAAAATTTGGTAAACGCCATTATTTATTCCTACCATGACACTAGCATTGTCGGTCCCCAGGCCTACCATTTTCTGAAGGTTTAAACCAATGTCTTGAATAGTTTTCACGATCCCATTTACAATTCCTCTGGCATCTGCAGTCTCTAATTCTGTGATTGAAAGAAATGTTGTATTAATTTTTTCCATAGATCTGCTATAGTACCTGATTACAAGGCCTAAATATTTTTGAATAGAAATATCGGTCGACTCATCAATTTCAAGACTGTAGTTGGTATCACCAATATCCTCCCTTAGCGCCGATTTAAAATGGGGCGATAGCACATTTCTTATGATTTCACTACATTTAGTACGATGTAGTTTCATGGCACAAGCAGCGTTGGAATCTGGAAAAGCTTTAGCACACATTTGACTAAGATGATCGACTTGGACAACAGCTGCGTGCTCTGCGATGTAGAGCGAAAGGAGTGCTTCTGCATTATGTACACTACCTTTGAATTCCGCTTCTTTTTGTATAGATATCGTGGTCTGGCCCGTCGAGAATGGTTTAAATTTTTCTATATGTTTTTTCGACTCAGAGTGACGCTTCACTTCGTATAACTTTGCTGTAAATTCAATTTTACAATGTATACACATAGCTTTGGATTCATTTCCAATGACTGGTTTTAACCATTTTTTAAATGCAGGGTCATTTTCCCATTCTTTTCTGTAACGTTGAGCGTAATTAGTCTTCTTTTTTAAAGGAACGTCCATTTTTGCAATTTGCACACGTAATATCACCAAGAAAGGTAAGAAATCTCACTGAATCACTGATTTCTAACTAATATAGTCAAAACAATAAGAAATGAACTTCGCAATTCAGTACTTCGGTACGAAAAAGAAATGAATTAGCTATATTGTAAAATTGTTAATGTAAGACAAGGATAAAATCGTAGTTGGATTTTCAGGGAACTCCCTGATAAAGCCAAGCAAGCGGCTACCACCCATAGACAAAGGATGTCAAAGACGGACGGTGTGGCCAAAAATGAAATGTCAACGTTGGTGTGTAATAGTGCTGGGATGGCTGACATATCGACAGTTTTACTGACATATCGACAGTTTTACTAACATATCGATAGTAAAACTTGTGATTACCTGCTCAAAGTAAATTTTTTGAAAATTATAAATAAAGTCTCAACCACCACAAAAACGAGGATTTCTTTGGCAATTTCAACCTCATCACCGTGCAAATCATTACCTATGTTAACATATCCATAATGTTTTTTGCCTACTTTTTCGGGCTCTTCTCTAATTTTTATTTCATCATACGTTAAGCTGAACTAATTTGGCTGGCTTTTTGATGTTTGCGATGGTGTTTAAAGATTCTGAAGTAAAGCCTGGCTCGCAATCTAATCTCGAATACCATTTACGTAGAGTATTGACATGTGGGAGACATAAATCGAACTTGTCTCTGATATACACATAAGTTCTAGGACTATAGAAATGAACTGTTAGAGCAAATGTTTTGATTTCTTGTTCATAGTGTGTTGTGTGGCTAATTGCACCCGTTAATTTACCGTTTACTCTATCGACTAATTTCTGTAGCAAGTTATTTTTACATGCTATTAGTAAATAATTTCGATAATCTTTAAGACCTGGCGTATTGTGTAACTTCTTAACGACTGCTTGTAAGGTTACTAGCCTGTTACGCATTCCTGTTTATTAAAAAACATAAAACCCAAATGCATTTCGAAAAGGATAATGCATTTCAAAACCGACTTTGTAGTAAAATACTAAGTATTTCGTCGTGATGTAATAGATTTTTGAAGTATGAACCCGCGTTTTCCCAAGGTCAAAAGTAGCCTATGTTTTAATCTAGGGTCTAAGCTACCGTTTGAGCGTGAATGAGCGAGAAAACAAACATACATCCATCCCTAACATCAATCCATACTCACAAACCTTCGCGTTTATAATATTAATATAGTTAGATATACAAAAAAATAAAACCCTCTTTCTTGCGCAGTCGAGTACAAATGATATTACCGCTACTTTCTAATTCTGTAATTTTCGCATTACAATACTAACAGGTACAAATAAGGTAGGTATTGATCCCTTTCTTAAAATATTTCAGTGTTTTCTCTGCACAAAATATTTGGCTTCAAAATGTTTACTGCATATAGTAGAATTATTTTTGCTGCCCAGGTTTTTCTGTCTATAATCCGTAGCCATTTTTTACGCATTATGGAATCAGTTGGAAATCTGAGGAAAAACAAATATTATGACTTGGGTATACTAAGCTATATAAGCTAATATATTTATTAAATGAAAGCTACACCAAATCTTTGATTAAAAAAAAACCCTCTTTTAATCTAAAATATTCAACTAAGTATTTTGTTTGCTTTTAAGCTCATGTCTTGAAACGTACTTTTAAACTCGAAATAACTATATTGTGCAATCACTTCTAACCTACATGTCAAACGTGAACTATCGACTTCATCGATACAATTATGACGTCAGCACTTAGTCAATCCCTACCGTAAACAAGGAATTTTTATTTTTACACAAAATATCCACCAATTCCTCATTTAGCAAATAAATTTGATGATAATTGTGATAGAAAACCTATAAGCTTAGACTTCTATAGTTTTTTTTATCATTTTCAAACAAGAAGTTCGAAATTATGGGTTTCTACAAATGTGAAAAAATACTCGTAAATACCTGTGAAACGTGTATTTATTCGGGTTGTTGCGATGTGTTGCATCACAATTAAACACTGAGCAAGACACCATGACTCGTAATTATAAAATTGAATATTTTAATACAAAAATTTACAAAACTAATTTTGAACAAAACTGATCGGGCCTCTTAGCCGCGAAAAACACGGCACACTGTCACCTTGTGTCGCTATCTCTTTTTCACTCGTGGCAGTGAATGCTGATTAAAACCTTTCGCTCGCACACTTCAGCTGTCTGTGTGAGCGAGCGAAAAGCGAGCGAAACGCATACTAGGTCTGTGCTACCATCTATCAGTGTCTCTACGATTTATGTAAGAGGAATAGAGACAGGTAGTCTGACTTGACGTGACGTTGTGTGTTGCCTGATTAGCTTAAGTGCGTTTATTTAATGCTTTGTTATGTTTAAATTTCTTTCTCATTGTATCGCATGATTTTTTAAAAATTTGTACTGTGTGCCAGAATAAAGTTTTCTTACACGGTTTCGGGGCTAGAAATAGGGCTAGGGGCTAAATCATCATTTTAAGGGCTGAATAAGCCAAAAAAGGGCTAGATCTAGCCCCAAAAGGGCTAAGTTGGCATCACTAATAATGTTCTTGGTCTATGAAATAATTGTCATTTCATTTGTCAATTATGTTTGCGATTTTCCTAACCACAGGGTATATTGATAATTTCCCGTCTATGACTTAAGGCCACTGTACAGATTTGCTGAGAGCTCTCGCTGAATATTGAATAATGTAAAACGAGACGGGAAGTTGTGATGGGTCAGAAGTATACCTAACTAAATTCTCGATATTGTTATTCGTCAACATTTGATGTATTTCACTTCAATAATGAAATAAAATATCAAAATTTAGTTACTGAATTTTAATTCAAGATTTATCTTGGTTATTACAGTACTTAGCATAATTATTGTTGAAAAATAGAAAGGCGTATATTTTTACACAATTAATATATATAATAATTTATTGATATATTATTTTATTTAATCATTCATTTCTTTATTTTCATTATTCACACATGAGTATGGTTTTTGTCGAGTGGCATAGTTAGACGTTTGCTACAGGAACACTCTCGCGAGACACTCACTACGGCGCGGGTTTATATATGTAGCAATATACTCTATGGGCGCGGGCGCGAACGTAAGTGCGGTCTAAGTCTTGTAACTTGTTGTTCTTGGTCTATGGGTCTAGATCATGGATGACAAATAAAAGTCTAGATTTTTGACTTATGAGGTATGACGTATGAGTTTGAAGTTCGAACACAATATTTATTATCTGTTATGTACTTCAAAGATTATTTATTTTATTTCTTTATCAAACTTCAACCAAGTTATCACTCGAAGAAATGGTATCAAAGTTCAACTTGTAAAAGAGTTTATGTTAAATCAGTTTATTCAGTTTCATTTCTGACTCGGTAGTTACAAGAACGAGTAAATAATGGCATCTGTCGCAGCTCTAACGCGTGCTATATTAAGCACAAATGTAATAAATGCCGGTCGTGCTTCAGCGATATCACATACCGGTTTTATTAAATTCTACAGCACTGGTAATTGTCATATATTTATTAAATATATACTATTTTCATTCATATGATGTATCTGTAAGTTAGACTAAATGATTCATTATTTTATATTATGAAGAGTTTAGAAAAATTAATATATTTAATTTTGGCTGATTCATGCATTGCCAAATGCACGCATGCACTTCAATAAAATTTTAACAAAATATTGGATATATTTTAAAGGCAATTAAAACCATCACTTGTGTTTATAAAGTTAACTTTATAACAATAAAGTGTAAGAAATTTGTATTTAATTTTCTATAAAGGTTAAAGTTAAAAAAACATCTTATGTATAAACTGGTATATTCAAAGATTTCAACTTATCATTATAGATATTACATACAGATTTTGTTACTATGTGCTATATTATGGCCTTGGCATTTACAAACATACTCAACTCTTATCAATTATCTTAATATGCCATAACGTACTTTTATATTTCATTTTAAATAATTTTATTTATGTTACATGATAGCATGTTATCAATAAATAAATATTCAACATATATAATCTTCTCAAAAGTATTATATTTCTTTTACTATAAAATATAACTACATATATAATATTATTTCTGGATCTTTTAATTTAATCATATAATAAGTATAATTAAGAAAAATGATAATACTATCTATCATATCACTGAATTGTTGTTTTTTTTATATGTAATTAAATTTTGGAGTAGACAGATATAACATACTCATAATTTAATTTAGTTTTACTTATCTGCTAATATCTATATAGAATATATGCAATTTTCCTAACATAGTACATTGTCTTGAATAAATTATTTATAATGTTCTAAATTCTGTAGCACTACATCTTTGCAGGAAATGCAAATTTGTGACTTCTCAAATAATTATTTTCAAAGGGGTTAGATCTGGTCAAAAACTACTTTAATATATGTACTAAAAATAATACATAACTCATTATAATGTTGCAGCCCCACAATATGAAAATATCAAGATAGACATTGTAGGTGAAAAGAAGAATGTAGGCCTGATCCAATTGCACAGACCAAAAGCATTGAATGCTCTTTGCAATGCTCTATTCAAAGAGCTCGGCCAAGCAGTCAAGGCCTTTGATGCAGATGAAAAAATTGCTGCTATTATCATTACTGGTAAGTGGAAAAAATATTATTAACATTTATATGTGTTAGTTTTTAGACTTTTGTTTTATAGAATTCAATTCAAAACTTAGATTCAAATATAGACAAATATTGTTATTACATTAATATTTGTTATGTAACCAATGCATTTATTATTGTGTCAAATAAATTAATCTTACTAATATTATGTAATAGTTTAGATGTTTGGATGTTTGTTACTCAATCACGCCAGGACGGCTGAACGGATCTGAATGAAATTTGACACAGATATAGATTATAGTCTGCAATAGCACATGAGCTGCTTTTTATCCAGGAAAATGTACGGTTCCCATGGAATAGATTTGATTATGTTTTCTAGAGGCAAAATCCGAACGAAATGAGGGTGAGCCACTTAGTTATATACCTACCTATAAATGAATTAGTTGTTTTTTACTTTTATGTTTTTTCTTCTATAATTTTTTCTGTCATAAATTATTTATAATCTTTATTTATTAAAAATAACAAGTATGTTTTAAATGTATGATCATTTTAATAACACATATAATAATAATTATCGTCAGGTAATGTCTGCCCGCGACTTAAGACTTTTAACTTTTAATGTTCATGGATGGAGCGCCATCTATTGATAATCTCTCTGCTATTTGGTAAAGTAACATTAATGTCGAACTAGTATCCCATGGGAACATACAAGTGAGAAAGAATATTCAAATTTAAATCATTAATTTACATTAATTTATGTCATATCAAAAATATATAAAATATATTTATAATATCCTGCTGACCGATTTCGCCCACGGCAAAAAATCTCACTGAGACTAGACAAGCGCAGACACATAAGCACTCTGTTCCTGTCATTCTCAAAGTCCGATGGGGCGATACTTCGACAGACCAGTGAGAGTTGAGGCGCAGGACTTACGGCTTTACGTGCTCTCCGAGGCACGGGGGTGAAACACCGCCAAATATTGTTTCCAATACACCAAGAATTTCTTGAAAGAAATACTCAATAACCGAACTTGGCCCGACCCGGGAATCGAACCCGTACCTCCGGATCTGCGGCCATACACACTAGCCACTAGACCACAAAGGCAGTTAAATATATATTTATTTTAACTAACGAATCTCGAATGTTCCTTCTTCTGATCATGCAATTTTTTTTACACCAGGTAATGAAAAGGCATTTGCGGCTGGTGCCGATATCAAAGAAATGCAAGACAATACTTACAGCAAAACAACTAAAGAGGGATTCTTGCAAGAATGGGAAGATGTGTCCAACTGCGGCAAACCTATCATAGCCGCTGTTAACGGATTTGCGGTATGCACATTTTTGGTCTGGTATATATATATATATATATATATATATATTGGCATTTTCTAACAGCGTCTAAACGCGCCAGAAATCTCCAAGGGAAGTTTTGACAAGTACATATGTAGTTGTCAAAACTTCCCTTGGATATTTAAGGACGGGAATATATATAGCCAAAGTAGAGGACAAAAATTGGGAATATGAATGCTATTGAAAATTAAAATTATATTACGTTTTAACATTAGTATAGATTTCTCAGAGATGAGATATTTTCCCGTAGTAAAAAGTATTCTATATATTGACCCAGTTAACAAGCTATCATTATACCAAATTTCATCAAAGTCAGTCAGTGGTTTTCTCGTCATGCGTTCCTAGACAGATTTATTTTATAATATTTTCAGTTTAGGTTTAATAAATAATATCTAGATATAAACAATATATGCGATATGGCACATGACCTGTTGATTTAACTGCATACGCAAATAAATGTTAATATTATTTTCATTTAACCCTATATAGTAAATACAAGAAAATTGATATTATAATTTCATTCCAAGTCACTAGTGTTAAATAAAACTATCTTTTCAGATTTTTTCTCGGATTTATTTTGATTTATGGTTCCCTACATTTCGAATGCTTCACAGCAGTAATGGTCACGATAGAGACTTAAGTTTTTAGACGTCTTAAAGTTCGTTAAAAATGAAAATAAATCTGCGAAAAAATCCGAATAGATAGTTTTATTTATAATCCTTACTGAATAGTAAAACATGTAACAATGCACTCTTCGTGTTTATTTTTGTTTACTTGTAAAATGAATAATTTCCATTTCACAAAGCTCGGTGGTGGCTGTGAATTAGCAATGCTCTGTGACATCATATACGCTGGAGAGAAGGCCAAGTTCGGTCAGCCAGAGATCAACATTGGGACCATTCCTGGCGCTGGAGGCACCCAACGCCTGCCAAGATATGTTGGCAAGTCCAAAGCCATGGAAATCGTACTGACTGGCAACTTCATTAATGCTCAAGAAGCAGAGAAAATGGGTGAGAAAAATTACCAACTTCTTTTTAATTTTCCTGAATTCCTGAAAAATGTATGTAATATGTACTCTAGTAACGCCATCTTTAATATTATGTTAACTTGTTATAATTTTATACAGTCTGTCATTATATGAAAGTGCACGCGTTGTAATAATAATCCCATTTTGGAACTTTAAATAATTGGAAATTTCAACAAAGTATTAGCAATGAAGTTTCTAAATTCTTATATGTATTGGTTTTAGATATATTTTTTTTTATAAAACTACAAATTATTTAGTTTATGTGGTTATTATTTAGCTTTTAAAAAAATATAATTTTTCAGTAATATTAAACCAAATGAAGATAGCTGATAAACCTTTTATTTTAAATTAAAACATCAGTTTTTAATGAAATTAAATTCTATTTTTGCTTTAGTTTAGAATAGTTTTATCATCTCATATAAATAAATGTTATATTTATGATATTGATGAGAATACATATTACTTTATGCTAAATAGCGAAAAGATATTAATTTTTTGACAACATTACTTATACTTGCTGTGCCAGCGGTCGTGGGTTCGAGTCCCGCCGGGGACATTCATTTGTGTGATGAACACGAATGTTTGTACTCCAGTCATGGGTGTTTATGTTTATAATATGTATGTACTTAAAGTTATATATGTGTAGTGTATCAACTATCTGGTATCCATAACACAAGCCTCTTAGGATATAATGGAACTAGATGGTGCTAAGTGTTAATGTCCCAACATATTTATATTTATTTAATTATTTCTAACAGGTCTTGTGAGCAAAGTGTTCCCGGTAGAGAAGTTGTTAGAAGAAACCATCAAACTTGCAGAAAGGATTGGAACACACTCACCATTAATAGTCAAGATGGCCAAGCAAGCAGTAAACCAAGCATATGAAACTACCTTAAAATCTGGGCTACAATATGAAAAATCTTTGTTCTATGGAACTTTTGCTACGGTGAGTTGCTTCTTTATCGTTAACCATAGGAATGATTCTTTTTTTATTCTGTTGGAGGTGTGTCAGGGGTGGTTGAAATATAAAATAAAATAGGGAAAAGCCAAAAAATGGCTGGATCTTCAAAAAGTTCAGAAATGTTTATTTTGCACGGAAATCACTACTTCGAATTACTTTCAATAGATGGCGTTAGAGGCGGACTTATCTATACATATAATAAAATTCTGAGTCAAATCTGTACATTAAATATATTTTGAAAAATCTTATTGAAATAGACATTATTATCGATATGGAGGCCGAATCTATAGTTTTTAGAATTTTTGTCTCTCTGTCTGTTACTGCATCACGGAAAAGCCACTGGATAGATTGTAATGAAATTTAATATGATGATAGCTGGTTATCCGGGTCAACATATATAATATTTTTTACTGCGGGAAAATATCTCATCTCTGAGAAATCTATACTAAAAGTTAAAACGTAAGCAGGGATAGGCAGTGGTAGCCCAGGGGTAACACGCTCGCTTGGGACACCGAGTGAAGCGGGTTCAAATCCCGGGTCTCGCACCTCTGATATTTTCATGTGCGAATCATTTCTAACATGATTACCGCTTGCCTTACGGTGAAGGAAAACATCGTGAGGAAACCTGCATGTCTGAGAGAACCTAGCAAGTTTTCGAAAGACATGTGAAGTCCGCCAACCCGCACTTGGCCAGCGTGGTGGACTATGGCCTGATCCCCCCACGTATTGAAGGGAGGCCCGTGCCCAGCAGTAGGACATTAAAAAGGGGTAAATACAAGCAGGGACGAACCCGAGCGGAGCGAGAGTGAGTCGCTAGTCATCTATATGTCTCAGTTTAATTTACAGATTCGACTCAGAATTTTATTATATGTATATTATATGTATAGAATATAGAACAAAAAAACTATTTTTTTTTAATTGCAGGAGGACCGCAAAGAGGGTATGAGTGCATTTATTGAAAAGAGAGCACCTACATTTAAAAACAATTAAAACCATGAAAACATGTTACAGTATGCTAGTTGTTATGGTCATGGGTGTTGGATCACTATTGTAATACTCTGCCATCATTGAATTTTTTATATATCTACTGTAGAAAGTAAGGGAAAATGAATTTATATATGTACTTTTTTTTTATTGTTATGTATATTAAAAAAATATATTTATTTATTTCATTTCGTGTTTTAATTCAGACCTACCATTAAAATAAAAAATAACGTGTGTGTATATTTATGTACGCACGTAAGAAGTTATACTTCTTTAGCGTAACAGAACAAAAATAGCTAAAGATTTCATTCCGTATGTCACAACTCTCTGTTTGTAAAAGGTATGCAGCTAACTTCATCATGTCACTTTTTGGCTCATAATTTTTTCCAAACGTGCCAGTAGAAGTATAACTTCAATAAATTATTATTAATGTGAGGTCTTTCTTGTAGTTCTTTCAATTGACTTGAAAATTTACATATTAATGTTGAAGTACAAAAAGTTACACGCATGTGTAAGTGGATTATAAATTCAAATAAAACATGGTAAAAGCATTTGAAATTCAGATTTTTAAATATATTTTAAAATGATGAAATCCGAAATCGGCTGTAAAATTAGGATGAGAGAGTTCAATTAGAAGTTTCTTATGTGGAAAATTGTTTTTTCTTTGTATCTTACTAAAAATTAACTATAACTTAAACATTGGATTTCTTTATAAAATAATCGTACTTTCAAAGCAATGAAGGTTACTGAGGTTTCTATTTGTCATAATACGATGATATCTTGCAGTTTCAGTGTAAAAAGGACTTTAAAAAAAGTTTTTGTAAAAAGGCAATGTTATATTAAAGGAAATTTAGATTTGTACAGTATACAAATAAATGGTTTTGAATTTCATTCAATCCGTCATTTATAAGGAATGGGGAAAAATTTTGCCTTTTATTCCCGCCACATGTCGCGATCACTATAGCCCTGTATAGCCCACTATAGCGCTGTAGAGCTTTATTATATATATTATAAAGCTCTATAGCGTGGATGGTTTTCTTTTCACTTTATTTAAAATTTAATTAAATTGACAAATTACGCAATGCCAGGATGCAAGGAAAATGAATATCATTTGTTCTCAAAGCCAAAACTGAAGAAATTATGAACTAAACCAATAAGTCGACAAAAATTGCCGAAATCACAATCTTTATATTGAAGGCGATAAGTGGACATCATTTTAAAGAAAGTGGTTTTAAAACTTTTAAGTCGTCTACAGGTGAATATATATTTTTTATTTATTGTACTTTTTATATATTAATTACCGTTTCATAAAAATGTTCATCCCCAATTTTACCCCCTTTATGGGATTGAATTTCGAAAAATGCTAAAATACGTATTTATTTTGTATTGAACAGCATTAATACAAAGTTTCATTATATTAGCATTTTACGCGAGCGCACCGTTTCCCACAATTCAAGACAGTAGAAGATGAAGCGGTATTTTTATATCATTTATATTTACAACCAATCACATGATAAATAAAACTAAGATTTTAATTTGCTATTGTAACTTTTTAAGTGTAAATATTTTTATGTAAGCATTTTTATTGGTGGTCAGATATATTCATTTTTATGGAATTAAATACAAGGAGTCACATTTTTTGTAATAAACATTCTACTCATTCTACGGATACTACTGATTTTTAAAAGGAGCGCCACAAATTATTAGAGTAGGATACAAAATAAAAAAAGGAAAAAAAAATTGTGAACAATAAAAGCATCAAAATAACAAAGATGTATCAACAAAATTTCTTAAAAATAAAATCACTATGTACGTTCTTTCAGGAGTTTCACAGGTTTTAATTACTACAGTTTACAGGAGTAATTTACTAAATTACATTTGACTACATAAATAGTTGAGATTTTAAATACTGCATATTTCTTAACTACAGAAGTCAAAAAAAATTAAATTTTTCAACCCAGCACACTTCACTCTGTTTAAAACTGCTAAATTCAGATCTTTTCAATTTCCTACACTAGCGCTATTTCGGTAAGTGTTCGAACATTCGAACAATAATTATTTGATGTTTACAAGTGGACACTTTTTCAACTAATCCCGTATATAAGACGGTCCTCCTTACTTCTACCCTCCGTACCATTTTCGAAGAAAAAAGTTGGACTGTTGGTCGATACAACTGTCAATGTCAGCTCACGGCTGACGGCCGTCAAATTGTCAAATGTCATTCGTAAAATATTAATTTTGAGACGAAAAATTGATTTTTAATGCACTAATAAATAATAAACAAATTGCAGAGAAAGTGACTTCTAAACTATGACAAATCTGATAATGATAAAATAAAATCAGAAGAAATCGTTTAAATGAATTAAAAATTTATGAAATTCTGAAAACATACGTGTGCATTGACGACAACAAATAAAACGAAAAATATTATCAAGTTATTTATTCATAATAAAACTTTAAGCAATGAAATAAAATTGCAATCTCGCGTAGATTCAGTATAATAAATTGCGATTATATTTTATAAATTATAGTGAAAAGTAACACGGAATTATTCTACATGTTTTGGGATCATGTATACCGCAACAGGCACATTATGCAAGAGTTTGAGGATATAGAAGTCCATAAAACAAGCGTTTCGGTATTTGTGGCGCTTTTTTATTTGGAAATGCTCTATATTTTGATCATGACGTTATCAATTCTGAATAGATTAAATCAAAATATATCATCTTAATTCCAGCATAATATAAAACGTGAGTTATGTGTGAAGACTTGCATTAGGTATTCTAATTTATACATAACATAGGGCTTAATAATTAAGTTTGTTATTTGCAGTAAATAAAAATGATTGAAATAAATCAAAATGTTAAGTGTGAACGGTTATACCTACAAAGGGAAGATAAGAATGACATCTTTTTAGATAATTGTCAAATTATAAAACAACATCAAATAGAAGGATTGCGGTTTCTTTTCAAGCAATTTAAGAAGGTAAAAAAGCTTCCTCTATTTCAAACAAAATTAGTTTTTTCTTTACAGTTTCTTCATAATATGAGTATCTATATTAACTTGGGTAAAATGAAATATTTTCAGAATAATCCTGCAGCAGTAGTGAATTTTCCTCCAGAATGTGGCAAATCAGTGACAGTTGCATTATTTCTTAAGGCTATACATAACTTATTAAAAAAACCAGTCCTTATTTTGTGCAATAATAAAAATGAAATTGATACTTGGAAAGACACTATTCTTCAGTGGACAGAATACACAAATGGCAAGTATAGTAATTTAAAATTATTGATAATTTTTTCTTTTAAGAATTACAAAAATTGAAAGACCTTCTAATGTTTTGTGTTAAGTATGGATTTAATTTCTCAGATGATATAGCTATAGAGTCATCAAATGTGTATATAAAGAAGAAAATTTTTCTAAAACATTTAGAAGATATCTTACCATACCAGCGTCGCAGTTGGGACATACTTATAATTAAAGATGATTTAGACAAAAACACATTGAAACTTGTCTTTGATGCAGATTTTAAAATATGGATGACTTCTTTTGATGTTAAGGTATTTATTTATTTTTTTGTTTTATAAGGAAATCTGCAAGCAGTATTTACTTTTAGCAGATATGTTATACATTTTTTTTAAGGTATTTATATAAAAAAAGGTATTTATGATGTACAAATTATTATAATATGTAGTATACTTTATTACGATCATTACAAATGATGACATCCATACTTAATATTATAAATGTGAAAATGTGTTTGTTTGCTTGTCTGTTTATTTGTTTGTCTGCCCTTCTTTCACCTTGAAACACAGAGTGATGAATTGGTATGATTTTTTGTGTGAAGATAGTTGGAGGGCTGGAGAGTGACATTTTGCCATGGGAGATCTCATTCCCATATGAAATCATGTTATAATACAACCTAGAATAACTCATCTAACATATATATAATATATAAGTCTATCTATTCCATTCCACCATTAAAACATACCTAGGGAAAAACACAAGTGAAGCGAGAGTGAGTACTAATAGTTTTATAAAAGCAACAGCCGTTAAGTTTGAATAAAGTGTATATATTGTGCTTACTAAAGTTAAATTTAACGATAAAACATATTGAAATGACAAGACTTTTTGAAATTTTTCAAGCCATTAAAAAGAAGATTGAATTGGAAATGAACATTTAAATTTAATTATAAAGCAATTTCTGTGTACTGATTTATTACAAAAAAAGATATTAATTCAAATAAATTTTTTGAAACCTAATATTCAGTGAATCTACTGAGAAGAAATCTTTGTTTACATTTATGTGTATTTGTAGCATTCTGGTTACCTATTGTATAATTAATAGATACGGCACTCAGCCCTTTTTAATCTCCCACTGCTGTGCACGGGCCTCCCTTCAATAGGAGGGGTATCAGGTTGTAGTCCACCACGCTGGGCCAGTGGTTGACCGACTTCACATATCTTTTGAAAACTTGCTAGGTTCTCTCAGACATGCAGGTTTCTTCACGATGTTTTCCTTCACCGTAAAACACGTGGTAATCATGTTGGAAATTATTCACACATGAAAATATCAGAGGTGCTTGACCCGGAGTTGAACCCGCTTCACTCGGTTTCCCAAGCGAATGCGTTACCACTGGGCTCCCACGGTCTCAGATACATAATATGAATAGTATGATACTGATATGAAATGAGAGAAATAAGGTTTCCCTGAACAAATAAAAATAAGTCTTAAATAAACATTTTTTATATAATTTATAAAAAATAATTATAATAATTTATTAAAATAGTCTTGTTAATTACATAAAAAAATATATTTTAGAAAGACCTCAATATGCTTTCTTTGACCTATAACTGGTTTACAAAAGGAGCAATGAATGCCAAAGACTTTTTACCCATAGAGAGTACACGGAAGGAGAAAATTGAGAAAGCTATTCTTCTTGATTCATTTCTTGAAGACTTTGTTATACAAGAAACTAGAATAGAACCATTAAAATTGAAAAAGGTAAGCTTACATCTTGTTTATGTTTATTTGATTATAGCCCAGTAAACAAGATCAAAAACATGTTAAGTCTTGATCAAGCTCCTAAAAATATTCCATTCGAAATGAAATATAGAAAAATATATCTCGAGGATTTATTAACACATAAAAAATTGCCATTGATATTAATAAAATAAGATGAAAAAAAAGTTATTTAGTTTTTCGTTATTCGACAACTCAAAAACTATTAATGTTTAACAACCTTTGAATAATTCTTAAAGAGGAGGATATTTCTAATAAATAAAGTCGGAACTCTCGGAACTCAAGCACCATTATTTATATTTTTATTTAACGTCAAAAATAGAACTCGTGCGGGCGTTACCTTGTACCTTTTAGGAGCTTGATAAAGAATTAACACGTCTTTATACTACTCTTCTGTCTGTAAGTCTTTAGACTATGAAGTGCTTAAATACCAGATTTATAATGAAAAAAAAACTGACCTACTGCTAAAGATTTCTACTTAAAAATATCTAATAACTCTTTTGCATCCAAATCCACCCTTAAATTAGTTTCTATATATTTTTTCATTATTACTCTGGTTTCTGATATAAACTATTTTGAGTCTGACAGAAATCAAATAATAAATATACTGTGAGTTCATGGTTTATTCCATATTATAAAATAATGTTTCTTTTGTTCTGTAGATTTCTGATACATCAGAAACTAAACTGAATGAAGAAAAATCAATGAAAAAGTCTAGAAAAAATAAAGATGCAAGTGGTACCAAAATTAAAAGATCCAAGAGGGTACTTGGAGATCATGACATGACTGAAGTTAATCAAAATGAAGCTGTGAGTGTAAATAATTATGAAATCCTAAAAGAAAATAATGATCATCTAGAAATAAATAGTCCTGAAATTGGCATAAAAATCAAAAGGTCTAAAATGGTACTTGAAGATGATGATATTACTACTGAAGTCAATCAAAATGAAGCTGCGAATGTAAATAATGATGCAATTTTCAAAGAAAATAATGATTACCTTAAAATAAACAATTCTGAAAAACAATTTAGTTTTGGTGCTGCTGTAGAAGATTTAGTGAGAAATGAAAATGTAACATCAAATAAATCAACTGAATCTTTTGATGAAAGTACATCAAATATAAGCAATACTATTATATGTGATGAAGAGTTTATCAATGATAAAGAATTTGATAAGAAAAGTGATAAATGTGTTGATAAGTGTGAAATACAAGCAGATATTGTTGATAATATCGGGGAAATGACTGAAAATGGTACTAATTTTATAGATGAAAGTGATATAAGAAATGTAAGTTTAAAAAGTATTGAAGGTATGAATGTGGATGAAGAAAATGAGTTAAATATTGTGGAAACGGCAAAGAGTGATCTAGTTTTACATGAAAGTATAGATATAAAAGAAACGGGAACAGACTTAGAAATAAAAACAGAAGGTCACAAAGATATAGACACTATGATAAGCGAGTTGGAAGAGAAAGCACTTAAAAAGTTTAAAGGCTCTCTGCTCGATAGTATATTTTAAATATTAGATAAAATTATGTGTTAGATTAAAATGTCAGCTTTGAATGTACTAACTTCATTTTTTGGTATATTAAAACAATGTTTTTGGAAATATCTTCAAGTTATTATATAATTATAAATGTATTTATATAAAAATATAAATGAAAAAATAACATTCTTATACAAATTTTTTTATATTATTTTTTTTTTTTTTAATTATTGTTGTTTATTCGGTAAAAATGATTTTTGTTAGACGTAACTTAAGGTTTAATAAAATAAGTATTTAATGGAGTTGGAATCGTTTTCTTCTAAACTGATATACTATTTTGCAATTTTTATATCTTCATATTACATAAACTATAATTGCTGTCGCTTCTTAGTGTATGTGTAGATATAAGTTATTGTTAGGATTTTTTTTCATTTATGTATCTGCATGCTTTTATACGCATTTTATTCAGCACAAGATATATGTAATATCGCATATGTAACACATTACCGATGTAATAGTATTATAATAATATAAAACTGAATAAATATTGTTTTCAATGTCTGTTGTATTATTATTTAACTCCAAATATAAAAATTAGCTTTTTACGCAATCGGTTTTATTTAATTTCATATATACATATATTTTTAATTTATTTAATTGCATGAATGTTAAATTAGTAAGAAACCACGCCATCTAGTAGTACTAGAGATATCATTTTTGATTTTTCTAGTACATTGTTTTGATGTTTGACCTATGATGTACCTCTTAAGGTTTAGTCAGTCATTTTTAATTGTCCTGTGCAAATTAAAGATTTTCTTGTAGTAAAAGATAACCTAAATGTTTACCCAAGTAATACATTATCACTACACAAAATTTAGTGAAAATCGGTTCAGGGCCTCACAAGTATCTCCATACTTGTGAGGACCATCTCAGTGTATTGAGAAGTGTCAGTTGAAAGGAAGCAAATTAAGGTGGCGCTATAGTAGCACGTCGAAGAATTTTAAAAGGAGCATCACAAATATATAATAGAGTAGGACACTAAATTAAAAAAGAAAGAAAAATTTCCGCTTTATTACAGCGCATTTTTTTAAATTATTATAACATACAGACAAACATGAATATGGAATACAATAATACAGTATTTTTAAGTACCCCAATTATTTGTAAATTAACTTATTATTATTTGTAAATTATATTATTTTTTTAAAATAATATTATTTGTAAATTATATTAAATTTTTCAACCTAGCACACTTCACTCTGTTTATAACTGCTAAAGTCATATCATTTCCTACACAAGCGCTATTTCGGTGAGTGCTCGAACAATAATTTGCTGTTTACAAGTAGACACTTTTTCAACTAATACCCCATACAAGACGGTCCTCCTTACTTCCACCCTCATACTCACAAGGTATGCCGATAATGTCAAATATCAAGAAGAATAAACAATTTAACAAGAGTGGAATAAAAATATTTTGTAAATACTGTTATTATATGTACATATGCAATATGTACTTTAAAAAAATGAACCGTTGCTAATCGCAAGAAAATCGGACTAAAGAATGTTATTTAAAAAACTACTTAAAAATAATCCGTCACTAATCGTATGAAAACAATAACCAAAACATCGGACGAACTTATCTATACTTAATATATAAAGTTGAAGAATCTGTGTGTTTGTTTCTTCAAACGCGCTAATTCTGTATTCGTATGTTCGTGGTTCTGAGTTTTGGCCTGCACAACCTACCTACCTCGGTACGCGGATATTGTTCAAAATTCCATGGGTTTTTATTTTTTATCTTTTTTCTTATTTTAAAATAAAAGTAGCCTAAGTTACTTCTTCTAACGTCAGCTATCTGCCAGTGAATGTCCCGTCAAAATCGGCCCAGCCATTTCAGAGATTAGCCGGAACAAATACAACATTTTTAAAACTGCTTTTTCTTATAGGTCCCGTTTAAGTGCATATGCATTTAGTAAAAGGCTGTTATTTTGACATTACAAACAGATACTTAAATTTTATTTATTTGTATGTACCTATAGATAAATTACGTAATAAGGAAGGCTATCACTCTATGACCTATGAGAGCGTTATTCTACAAAATTAAAAGATGCGGGCGAAGCTACGAAAAAACGATATTAAGAGGAAAACTTCTAAAAAAAAATCTAATACTAGCATTGCCCGCGGCTCCGCCAGCGTTCAGATGACCAAAAACCAGATTCGTAGGTTTTACATATTATTATACTCTTACATTGCAGTTTTTGTATTTTTCAGAAATGAGATATTTTCCCGCGGTAAAAAGTATCCTATAGGTTGACCCGTATAACCAGCTATCACCATACCAAATTTTATCAAAATCCCCCTCCAGTGGTTTTTCTGTGATGCGGTAACAGACAGACAGACAAAAATTCTAAAAACTATAAATTCGGACTCTGTATCGATAATAATGTCTATTTCAATAAGATTTTCCAAAAAATATTTAATGTACAGATTCGGCTTAGTTAGAATTTTATTATATGTATAGACCATGTCGCTCACGATATACGGTTCGACTTGTTTGAGGCCTAATGTGGCACAGATTGACAGGATTCGAATTTTTGTGTCAGAGTTAAAAATCTATCTATACATATATTAAAATTCTGAGTCGAATCTGTACATTAAATATTTTTTGGAAAATCTTATTCAAATAGTCATTATTATCGATGCAGAGATCTAATTTTTAGAATTTTTCTCTGTACCTACATCTGTGCATCACAAAAAAACCACTGGAGGGATTTTCATGAAACTTGATTTGATGATAGCTCGTTATCCGGGTCAACATATAGAATAGAAGAACCTGAGTGGAGTGAGGGTGAGTCGCCAGTTAAAAATAAAACTCAAGTAGGTATGCAACAATAGTATAATATATATTTGAAATTCATTACATAGATTATAAGTAAAGCTTTGTATACAGGAATGTATATAATTATTTTATTTATTTACATAATGTATTTAAATTATCCCATAAGCAATCTTAATATATTTTAGAGCCATGTATGTATAATTTATTACAAATCATTAAAAAAATGGAATGTCCATGAGTTTTACAAAATTGTAGAATATAAACATTTAACATTAATCTATATACTATATAAAACTCGTTGTGTGTATGTATGTTCCCTATGGACTCCAAAACGGCTGGAGCGATTTTGATGAAATTTGCAGGCTATCTTCAGATTAGCCTAGTTAAGAAGTTTGAACGCGAGCGAAGTCGCGGGTACTGCTAGTTGTAAATAATCATAAAATTATTTTATAATATCTAATATAAATAGTACCAATTCAAAAGATAACATTCAAAAGCGCTTAAAACACTGCACATGATATGAATCGCAGATAAGGATGATTTCATAAAAATCGATTTCACATAACTTTACGTAAGTACATACCTACGTTGATTTTTCATATGATTTTTTTTAAATTTAGGCTTTTGAATACAAGAATATTCGTTGTACGTTAGTGATACAGTAAAGTAAAAATAAGGGCCACCCACACTACAGTGCCGATCACAGTCCCATCTCGGTCCGATATCGGTCTGGTAAAGTATTTCTATACAAAAAACCTTGCTGGAGCGTCATTCGGCCGGAACGTGAGTCTTACTGATAGTGTGAATGCACTCATTGTTTCTTGTATAACAATACTTTACCAGACCAATATCGAGAACGGACTGTGATCGGCACTATAGTGTGGATAGGGTCTTATTAGTTTTCTTTGAAGTCTCATTTCAGGGGCTCAATTTTCCATTATATTCCAAGAAATTCAAAAGAAGTGGACAGCCTAGTGGTTTAATACAAATATGTCAAACTGAAAGATTCATTTAGATAGTTTATCACGCATTGCATTTCGAAAGCTTATTGTGCTTAAAAACTTGTAATATTTTGATATAAATCTAATTAATTGTACAACGCAGCATACAATATTAAATATATTAAGTACTTTAACTTATTTCTACACATTTGTGAGTTCTAACTAAATATAATGTAATATACGTCTTAAATTGTAACAGAACATTTCAACGGCACAATTTGAATACAACCTTTTTTAGGAACATAAGTTAGCAATTGGAAAACTCAATTTTTAAACAGTCAATCAATTAAATTTTAAGAAATCAAATTACATACACAAAAGTTCACATTTTCAATTAAATTTCAAAAAAATATATTTTCCTATTACAATGTTAGTAATCCAATTTATATTTAATAAAATGTAAGTTACATTAATCTATAAAATGTTAAATATATATTTTTAAACCTCAGACTAAGGAATATTATAGACAGTGTCATAGAATAAGACATGAAGCCAAACAATGTTTTAAAATAATATATGTTTTAAAACAGAATCAGTACCGGATTTAGGCATAGATAGGCCCGTGAGGCCCGGGGGCCTAAGGCGGCAAATTTTGAGGGGCGCTAAAATTTTTAAGACGACTAAAATTAAAAATCAATTGGGTTTTCAGTAAACTGTAAGAACAAATTTTAAAGTTTATTTTCTTGCGCTCTTACAATCATAGTACCATTTCAAAGGTAGAGTTTCCTTCTTAAAATAATTAATCTATATAGGTACTGTTACGAAAGAAAAAGGGCGCCATATCGACTTGGGCCTAGGGCGCCATCGAACCTCAATCCACTATTACAGAATACAAATATTAATAGAATATTTGATAAATAAATAAATCTTAATAAATAATAATAGAGACGGACTTTATTATAATAAAAAAATATATATAAAACAAGCCAACATTATGCTGTCTCTCTTTCAAGGAGAAGAGAACTAATGCTTAAAAAATACAAAAGTTACTATTTTTTTATTGCATATTTATATTTTCTTCTCAAAAATTGTAAATTAACTACTAATAACTATGAAATTTCTCTTATTCTTTAAATAAGCTAAACGACAATGCATATAACATATGACAAAATCGAAAAATAGCTTAAACAGATAATTACGCTATTTTTGACTTTGACATTTTTTTTGGCGGGCTCCATCTATATAATTTTTTAGTCTGAGTTTTAAAAAAAATTGACAATATATATATATAAATATTATAGGCTAACAATTTTGCTACAACATATTATCCTACAGAAACAATTACAATGGCCCACCTAACAAAGGCAGAATTGTCGTTAACTTTAGATTTATACAATTTAATAAACTTATCTCCTTTATATTATAATTAATATCAATAATCTAATTTGAATAATTTTTTTGAATAATTTCAAGAACTTTATTATGAATCTCTTGAATATACGTTAATATTATGATAAATAAAAAGCTAATATCAATAATCACAAGGCAATTTCATAATGTATACTTACATCTTTATATTGTGTAATATATAATAAAAAATATTGTGAGTAAAGGCGCCTGCGCCACTATTTCAAATATCTTTAAATATTTATGTTATACGAATATATTTTAAGAACTCAGCACGGGTACACGGTTGTGCAGTGCCAAGTTCCGTCCACAAAAATTAATATAATATCAAATTTCTAACCACTTACGTTTTAAGGGGAATAACCGCTCCAAAAAGGTATTACACGTATCAGTCATCATATGCGATGGTTTGGTCTATATATCAAGTATGCGAGATGCCAGCGCCGCTATGGGGTCACGTGTAAGTACTCGACAACAAATACTCGTAATATTTTGTTTAAATTGTCTATAGTATTGAAGTCTAAAGCGGATACGTCATCCCGCACCGTGTGCCACACACTCGGGAACGGGTTCGGGATGATGTGTAGGACATCTACGTCTAAAAATAAAAGATAAAATTAGTGTGTTTATCCTAAGCTCAATAATGATTCTACTGTAGAAAAGCTATTGAAAATTGCATGGACGGAAATTATGGTAAAGGTATTTGTTTAATATTTGTTGTCTCATAATAATTTTAAAAAATATCTAAAATTCGAGTTTAAATCTCTTCTTACTAAGTAACTTATAGCTGAAGCTCGGTTTAATATCGTAAATTTTTCTATTTAGTCTACAAGCATTAAACAATAATAGCATAGAAATGAAACTTATATATGCTAGTAAGTCATGTTTCAATTAATGAAACGTCGGGAACCAAAAATCAAAATATATTCGCGAAAAAATCCGAAAAGATAGTTTTATTTAACATGTTTAAATTATTAAGAGTAGAATGAATAAATTCTAACGAAGCCAAAACATATTACGCAATTCAGTACTTTCAGATCTATGTCACATTATAAAATTTCCATTTGTATTGAAAACCTTTTATGCTCCATTACTTTTATGTCAACGTGTATTAAACAAACTCCGATTAAGCACTAGGTGGGTAGAAAGTGTCTTTTCTAATTAATCGTCGTATGTGAAACAGACTATGATATTAAGTTATTTTAGGTATTTCACAACACTAGCCCCACTAAACTACCTAATGATGATGGGTTCAGAACATAAAAAAAAACATAAATTTTAAACTGCGAAAAATTTGGGTATAAATAGTAAATGAATAAAAAAATAACATAAAATATCTAATCTGGACGACATTCAGCGTTACGTCATACTCATTTTTTCCAAACGTTTTAAAATATTGTTATTTAATTTGCCTCTTTTCTAATAAAATGTTATTTATTGAATCATAATACTTTTTTTGTGTTCTAATAAAAAAAAATAGATTTTGATTTATTTAAATTTTATAAAGTACAAATAACAAAACTATACTAACCTCTTTTATAAAATGGTACATGATCGTCTTCAATTACAGCATTGGACGTCGACAATCTGAAATACGTTTGATCAGCCTTCCCTCGAGAATACGAGGAGAGTTGCCCTAATTCGGACAACCTTTGTTCCGCACTTGCCATACGAATGTACCATTTTTCTGTAGACTTGAAGTAGCTGTAGAACACCGGATCTGGACAACCGAGAAGGTCTAGAAGAACAAGCACGTCCTAAAAGAATAATCAAAATTAACATTATATTTGGTACGCTAGTGGAAACGTGTAGTGTATGGAAGAGTTTCTCAAGGTTTTTCTAAGTGGGGTGAAAACCCTTAAGAATTCGTAGATGTTTAATAAGTAATCAAGTTTTTTTATAACTTATAAACTTGACTAAATGCATATTAATGAATATTAGTAATTCTAGATATTGTGTCTAGTAAAGACGGAGTGAAAAAAATTATCATATAAATCAACCTAGTTATAAGAAAGTTTTGGACACTCGTTTTTCTTGTATAAAATTGTTTGGGTATATTTTTATTGTGACAATTTAAATTAATAATAGGTTATATTACTCATCCAAAATATAAAGCTATATTATATAACTTCACATGTATGTATATTAAATTACAATATGAAAGAATATCCAATTTATTACTAATAGCTCATGTCCTTAGTGTAACAATTAATTAAACAATATTTTTTACGTGATATCAACGAAAAGGTCAAAGATCAAGCTTTGGATAATGTCTCTAATAATCTCAATTTGTGCTATTTTAAAGATATTAAAAATATATTAGTAGTGTGTTTCTCTTTTAAATATATACAATTAAACACCATGACCTAAAAAAGGTACAATAAAATACATTCATCTAACATAACACGCTGCACAGTTTGCAAATAATAGACGTCATTATTTCGTCTATTATGCCTCAGCTATGTATATTGTAAATCATAACAGGACATGCCACTTTCCGCATGAAACAAAATATTCTTTATATAGTATATCTATATATAATAAAAATCTAACTGAGCCGAATCTGTACATTAAATATTTTTTGGAAAATCTTATTGAAATAGTCATTATTTTATCGATACAAAAGTCGAATCTATAGTTTTTAGATTTTTTGTCTGTCTGTCTGTCTGTGACAGCATCACGAGAAAACCACTGGAAAGATTTTGATGAAATTTGGTATGATACGTTACCTGGTTATTCGGGTCAACATACCTATAGGATATTTTTTACTGTTGGAAAATATCTCATATTTGAGAAATCTTTACTACACCTTAAAACGTAAGGAAAGACGAACCCGAGCGGAGCGAGAGTGAGTCGCTTGTTACCTATATTAGACGATAGCTAATAATTGTCAAGGTTAATAATTTCCATTTTTGTCCACGTGTTCTTAGATTGAATTTATTTTTTCCTTCGATCCGTAATATTTTAGCTATCAAGTTTCTTTAAACATATTTTTTAATTACCGATGGTTCGAAAATACGTCCAGGTGATACTAGAGAAAATCCAAAAAGAATAAATTCATATAATTCATGTTTATGTTTACATAAAAAATATCAATTTTATAATTTATAATACTTAACTTAAACAACATTTATAAGACGAGCTAATGTCGCATTCTTAGTGCGCCATTAGTTATTCAATGAATAAATGATTAATTAATAGTACATTAATGTGAAATAAGAAGATTATGAGATGTCATCATAATTAGGTCATAGGTATATTATTTAAATCATTGCCTCCAAATTAAATATAACTATAAAATATTACAATACGATAAGAATAGACGCCATACAAAGAATGAAAGCCAAAAATTAAACTACAAAATGCTAACATATTTCATTAATAAGCAAAAGATTTTCCATAAACAGTAACATTTCGAAATGTGAACGATAAAATGAACTACTTAATGCGTTAAAGCTGATAGGTCATGAACTTTGGTAAGAATATCTTCTATATATTTTGTAAGCTATATATCTTATTACGCTATCGGAAATTCCTTAAAATGATATAAACTACTTAATGGAAGTAAATAATTTCAACAATAACACTAATTGAATTAAGAACTTATTTTTATAATTATATATTATGTATAAACTTCATTTAGCTTTTAATTCTAATTATTACAGTGTAAAGAAGCCATACCCTTTGGACTTAGACAAGATATCATTCTACAATTATTAAAAAATAGAAAGGGTTTTAGAAATTGTATGACATAAAATCTGCGCATAAATAATATTTATTCGTAGCATGAAATGATAAATTTATTCGTTGTGCCATAGAATCAAAATGCCAGTCTTATTTATTCGATTGCAGAATGACACGTGTGGACGATTTTTCCCTCTTCAAAGGCAATTTTTGCCTCTTCAAGATAGCGACTTTGTTTTATACTATGATACAGATATTCATATACTAGAAGAGAGATTTGCGCTCTAACTAAAATCTTGTTAATCTTAAAACCATTTTGTGCGGTAAAAGGGATTTTACCGCACTAAATTATTAAGTATGTTAATTTTTTACATTGCTACTAATCATTATTGTGTAATAAAGTATTGAAATTTTTGGATAAGAGACAACTCGGCCGAATCAGTTATTGTTTTTCCGTGGGAATGAGAGATTTTTCTGTAGTAAAAGGTATCCTAAATGTTGAACCGAATATTAATTTATTACTACAAAAAATTAAAATCAGTTCGTTTCGTGTATCGTTTGTTACTAATTTTTTATAATATATATAGAAGAATATAAGTTGCTATACAATTCGACACAGAAAATCAAACTTTTTAGTTTTATTGTATTCCTTTATTTTATTTTCCATAATCGTGAACAAAACTATATTTATCGATGTTTTAAATTGAACTTGCAATGTTGTTAAATTGAGGTTCAAGTGCCAGCACTTCAAGGAAAATATTTTTTTATTCCAAGACTCTATAATTTTAGTTTTTATTAAAATCATCCCCGTGAACTCTTAAAAAGCCTTTTATGCTAACACCTATATTTTCGAATGTCGTTAACCGTGACCGTTTGTAAAGTATAATATTTATATATTTGTTTTAATTTAAAGGGTTAATTAGATCTGACAAACATTTTTATTGCGGCAAATATATAGGAAACTTGACTCACTTTTACCAAGTTTTATTTGAACTTCAGAAAATCAAATTTTAAAGATTATTCTCCTGATAACAGTTTGCGATAAACAAAAAATTGATAAAAGTAAGAATTTTCAATCCATCAATGTCAATAAATAATTTTCCGTGCTAGGATCTAACAAGCTAACAAGGAATGAATAAAACCAATTAGATTTAAAATAGATTTTGTATGCTTATGCATACCTGTATTATTACAGGTTCTTACTTGATCGTAGACATTACCAACGTGAGTAGACATAATTCAATAATTTTCAATCGATATAAAACACGTTTTGTATGTATAGATATACCGGAATAAATGTCTTGAATATACATATCACACTATACTTTTTTGATTTTTGAAGATTTAACGACTAACTTCACACTGTAGTCTAAATGTGTCGCAAAAAATTCACCCTCATTATTCTTTTATAACGCGCCAAAATTGTTGTAAATGTTTTATAGTAATTGTTAGTATATGTACAATAATAAAAGTAATTTGAATCATAATATTATGTCTGACGAAAATCACTTCAAAATAAATTTGGTTGTAAATGAATATTAAATATTACCTATATAATTAAAAAGATCGACATGATTCTATTTTATAGATATGTACATTTATAAGTTTCGATTGTTATACTGTGTCAGTCACGTAATGGTGATGACTGATGACGAAGCAATCTTTTAAGATCTGTCATCTCCTATGTCATCTTCCTTTCACCTATTATATCCAAATATTCTCCAAACCTGCCTATTTTCTCCAAACCTAGTTTAGTTTAATAAATGTGCCACTTGTAAGTTGTAACGCAACGTACATACGTTTAATACTAAAGGAAAAGGCTCGTTATGAGGTTTTTAAGAAGATTTACTTTACATTTAGAATCATATAAAATTATAGAAAAAAAAATATTGAAAAGAAATTGTACGATAATTAGATATTCTTACTCAATAAGAGTATCTTCTTCTTCCCCTTGCCCATTTCCCAAATCACTTGGGGTCGGCGCAGTACATCTTCAGTGTACTGCTGATAGGATTTGGCAAAAGTTTTACGACCGGCCGCCTGCCTGACGTCAACCCTCCTTGGGAATAATACTTAATAAGAGTATCAATATACTTTATTTAATTATATAAGGGCAAAAAAAAGATAATAATAATTTTTCAAGTAAAAGTATACTTATTACCTACCTATAAAAAGCTTCCAAAAAAAGTGTTTTTGTTTATAAGTATAAAGGTAATTAGGCGTTTATATCGTTTTTATTTTTAAGAACACATTGTAGGTGTAACTTGTGGGTATTCCCTTCCGCTGGGAAATTACCTCGAGAAAATAGTAATAAGGGCTTTATTCCTACTTTTGAGGAAAAATATTACGATAAAACCTTTTAATTTTTATATTTATGGGAACCGACCTAGTAGAGGTGGTTTTATATAAATTTATGTCTTAGACTTATATTCAAAATCTAAAAAAAATACTTACCATCCTCTGCAAATGATTAGCTCCATCCTTATAAGGCGTTCCGTGCCACATCTTAGCTAAATGTCTGGCGCCATATATAGAATCCTTAGGCCCCCACTGTCTGAAAGCTTCTTCTCCATCAAAGAATATAAACATAAGACTTGGAGATGAGTTCTTCAGTCGGTCCAATTGTTTGGACATGACGGTTGCAAGGTTGATCATCATTGCACAAGGCACTGCTGAATCCGTCGCTCCTAAAATATAAACGTGCTTAGAATGTTATGAATGTTGGGTACTATGTAAGTGCATCGAAGGCCGTTAGTATTGTGGATGATTATAACGTGTTAGGATAACTGTCGGCGACGGAAAACTTATCTTCGAGTAACGTGTGTATTAATATAGGGACAATGTCATTTTAGCGTATTATGAATAATTGTTGTAAATATGAAATCTCATTCTTATTAGATTTATTATGTTAAATTAAGTTCTAATTAGTGTAATAAGGTTAGTTTAGAGTATTTTTTGCTTATTTGAATCATATAAGACTATTTAACATTAATTTGAAAGGAATAGGTACGTAAGTAAAATGTTAGCATATAATTACGTAACTTGAAAATGAGATTTTTTGTTTCTTGCAATAGCATAATAGTTTATGTTTTAAATAATAGATTTTATTATAAAACTTAAAATAAAACAAGAATTAGGTCGATAGGACTATCCGTTCAAAAGTTATAAGGGAAAATGTATAGTAAAAATGTAGCAACCTAGAAATTTAGATATTTTTGTTTTAAGACTTTTTTAATTAATTATTATATATTGAATATTATGTTTTAATATTGTATAATAGTATGTAAGGCATGTAAATAAATAAATATGTGTAAGGTGTTTTACTGAAAACATAAAATAAAAGGACTCTCAAGGTTTCGGTTTAGGGAAATTTTATTCGAAAAATGAGCTCAAAGTACGCGGCTCTCTGTAAGGTATTAACGGGCCAAATAAAAGGCGAGCCATTTCTCGATTCGAGTCAGTCGCAAGACAGCCACCGAAGAGGCAACAACTAAAAGGAAAAGGAAGAACCGAAACCAAGAGAGAAAAAAGGAAAAAATTGTGTTTTTATTTCATCGCCTCTAAGTATAGTCTCCTGTCAACGAAGAAACCCTAGTGGATCGGGACCCAAGCTACGCATTCAGGGGTGCGTGGTGGCGTACATTACCAGCGAACGGACATACTGCCGTGTACGCCAAGAACGTCTGGGAGATTGTCCCAGGTCGACCTCCGGGTACTAGACATACCCTGGTTCTGGTCGTCCGAAACAATAACGTTTTGTTCTTCTAATATATACTATGAGAATATTTAACATTACTTCAGCGCCATTTTTGTTTTCTTGCAAGTTTTGTAAGATTTTTTAGACATCGGTAGAAATAACTAAGGCTTTAGAACATTAAAAACCTAAGTCTTTCCGTGACCATGTTGTTCTGTGTCTGTGTTACTATGTATGTAAATTAATTCAGTATGTAAAATCTGAATCTAGTTAATTAAGCTTAATAATAAGTTTAGACTTACCAACAAAAACGTGTTCCCTTGTGTACTTGCTATCATAATGGCACGCAAGCACTAGATACCTATCCGCATTAGGATTCAATTTGGCAATGATATTTCTGAAATTCAACGTTCCAAATACCGGGGTTTGATCAGCAAAAACATCTTCAGTGACGTCCCAACCTAAATTCTTCATCTCATCCCTGATGTAATTACCAACTTTTTCATGGTTCTCAGAGCCAACTACACGTGGTATTAAAATTTCGTCTAATACTTTTCGGAAGTGCTGCCGGTCCGATAGCTGGGCTATGTCTTTAATATTTTTATCTGTCAGTTCTTGGGCTTCGTGAAAGTCCTATGAAACAAAATTCTTGTCGTGATTAGTTGGTTTGAGATCTAGACGAGATAACCATTACCGTGTGATTTGTAAGTCAAAATTATGATAAAATAAATACTTTCGTTATTACAATGACCTGTACTTAACTTATCATCATGAGGTCCTTCGTAGGATAAAGAGTTTCGGGTTGGGTCAAAAGAGTGGAATAGGTTTTCCTATCATAAAAACCTTAATGTACGGAGGAGTTAAGAAATTGACGATCCTTCTTAGGTAGCCTCGTTAAATTGAGATAATCGTAATAGTTAGTGATCCTACTGTACTATGAGAGTGAAGGAACATAATAGCAAAGATGTATACAGTATATTATCTTAAATCATGAAAACTATCTTCTCAATTTAAACACTTTGCATTATTATTAACATTTTCAACCGACTTCAAAAAGGAGGAGGTTCTCAATTCGACTGTATGTTTTTTTTTTTATGTTTGTTACCTCAGAACTCCGTCATTTATTAACCGATTTGGACAATTTTTGTTTTGTTTGAAAGGGTATACTTCCAGATTGGTCCCATTTAAATTTCAAAAAAAAATACCACCCCTAAGGGTGGAAAAACAACTAATAATGAATTTAACCTACTTCTAATTGTCGTATTGACTTGAAACTTTGCAAGTATTTCTATTTTCGTTGATAGTACAGTGGTTCGGTGTTGTTGACCTGATCTGATGGCAAGGCCAGAAGGTGGATAGGTGGAACTCTTCAACGGCTAATAGTAGATACTTTGAGTTTGGGCTTATTTTGTTTGATTTGACAAGCCTAACACGTTAGAATCTTTACTTTGCTACTACTATCTACACTAAAAAGGGAAAAATAAAAACTTTTTAACAAAAAAATAAAAACCGACTTCAAACAAAAGCACTAAAAAGTGAAAAATAACTGATTGGTAGTTTTCATTTACTATACATACCTAATCAAATATTTTCGAAGTTGGTGTGCTTTGGCTAAGTAATTAAAGCCTACCTATTAAATACATACCTAATCAAATATTTTCAAAATTGGTGCCAGCCCATACAAATTCAAAGAGACAAATCAATAAATATGAAATAAAATCAAATATATATTGGAATGTTTATGGTTTAAAATATAAAATACATTTAAACCAATATTTTTTGCAAATCCGTCATATCATACATTAACATAATGTAAACACATCATGTAAAGTAATATTACACTCCATTAAGTAAATGTTTTCAATTGTTTGGCCATTTTGCAATAACTATAACAAAATTAGTAACTTAGTATGTTAATTATAATTAGAAACACAAGAAATATATGAAATAAGCTACTACCAATATAAATGGAAGCTTAAAGTGTTTAAAAAGTGTTGTGTATTTATGAAAATGTACAGTAAAAGGCTTACTTTAGTTAGATATATGTACAAACAAAAATAATATAATCATTAATAGACATTGAGCTTAAATCAAGTGCAAAAGTGAATGTGTCCTGTGCCTTAACAAGTCATAAGGTCATTTAAAGAATGCGTAATTTAACTAGCTAAATGCAACACTATATTGGATGTGATAAGATTCATATTCTATTTTATAAATATGTTGTTTTAAAAATCATTCTATTTTTAATTAAATCAAATGGCTCATACTTTCTTGTAGCAATGGTATTTTATGTTTGCATCAAAGTAATATATAAATATGAACTAGAAAGTTTGTGAGAATACAGTTAATCTAATATGTTTTAACAATTCAACAGGTTTAAGTTACATTTAAAATGGAAATACCATATATTGGGCTTTTTAATGGCACACCTTCTTTATGACCTCAAACCATGGGTAAAAACTAGTTGAGTATAATATTTTATTGAATTTAAAATGTTCAAGTAATGACTTTATTGGAATTTACAAGCAAATTAGACTATTATTGTGAAAACCTAGAATAATAAAGTTACTCTCATAACAAATATTGAGTTTAATGTAGAAGATTTTTCTCCTATTTTATATTATTTTTTAAGATATCTTCTTATAAATAATATTTAAAACACTTAAGTAAGTAAAGTTAGGTTTAAGCAATAGTTTATATTCACATGAATATATAGTATTATTATTAGACAGTCATACATAGATATTCTAATATTTAATTAATAGTGAAAATTAAATTGTTATAAATTAAAAAAAAACCTTTATCTAATAATATTAAAGATAACATAAAAACAAAAATAAGCTTACAATAAATTTTACAAATTATGTCAACTTATCAGTGAAAGTATTTAAAAAAATATGTTTAAGTTAAAAATTTATTTTCAATATTATATACTACTAATATCTAAAGAAATAATTAATTTATAGCCTACATTTTATCAAATCAAAAGATAGGTAATGAAATACAGTTACAGTTATGAAATACAATGTAAGTAAAAGTTTCGTTTAACGTTAAGTTACAAATCAAACTTTGCTTACCTTCTCTTGGTAAAATTTTAATGGTGTGTCTGTATTTACAAAAGAAAAACTTAAAACAGCTACTAACAAACATATTACTTTAGCCATATTTAACTTAATTCACTTTTTATATCTTCTAATACATATGGTAAAACATTTCCTTTCTAATCAAATCGTATGTTTACACCAAAATCATATGCCAGACTCATTCTGTTTTTAACTTTTTACACCTCCTCCTACTCCTCTTGGCTCTTAGGCGTTTGACAGATAGCTTTAATGTTGCTAGGATATATGTAATATTTTGCCCATTTATTTTATATAAAAATATTTACTCCCATTTCCACATAATATTATATTTTTTATTATTTTACCGACTAATCCCCCTCGTATCTTCTCCATAGGCTATTCGACTGGTTTCTAGAAACCTTTTTAAATTATTTACTGGTGTATACTGAATCTACGAAAAGTGTTTATTTTTAATGCTTATAAGTAGGTATTTTATCAAAAAATTGCAATTAAAAAAGTACAATTCAAATAGGCCGTTGAAATACTTTTTTGCGCATCATGGCGTCAGTGACGTCACAAGGAGTTATAAACAATCAACCGAGACAACCCAAGTTGCGTTAGCGTTCATTTTTGTTATTAAGCATTATATCCAATAAAGAAAATGTATAAATGGTGTGTAGTGCCAGGGTGCACAAATTCCTGTTGAAAAACACCAATAGAATCCCATCAAAAGCGACAAAAGCCAGAGAAACCAATAAATATGTATTGTGACGTCATTATACGATCAACCAATCCAGATAGTTTTTAATTTATAACTATTTTTTTAGGTAAATTACAGTATAAATTACCTAAAAAATAGATAATAATATAAAAGAAAAACAATTCAAGATTATTTAATATTTAATACGTTCTTCAAATTTATAATCATTTTCCCCAAATATGGAGGCACGTCAATAATTGTCGTTACTACTTATTCAAAGAATAAAAAATGTAAAACAGAAATGCCTAAATACAAAGAAGATTAAAATAGTAAGGATAAGTATAATAAGCATCAAGCAAGTTAATTGTATAATATTATATTTATTATAGTTAATTTAGTATATTACTTTTTGGGGAACTTAGTATTTAATAAAGATACTTTTAATAAATTTGCGTGTTCTCATGTGTATTATATGGATAGGTATATAATTTTAGAACTATATGTACAACTAATAAGTAATTATAATATAACTAGTTTTTGATTACGTGTATAAAAGTAACATACAGACTCACCTACTTTAACATACTCGTTATTTCGTTAAATATACCTACCAGATGTTTTTCAATAGTTGATCTTATTATGATTGTAATTTAAAAAAGAAAAAAGAATAAAATATTAAAACATAATTTATAATTCAATATTTGAAAATGTTTCATATCTTTAATCTTTAGAATCTACTACCAAGAAGATGACGTCAATGAGCGTGACGTAGTGGCTTTTCCTCCACGAGCTTTACTTATTGACCGCCTCAAAATAATCTCTATTACAATATGCTAAAGTTGAAAGTTTGAAAGCCAATCTTATGAATTACAAGTAAAAAACTGCGCCCCTAAATATTTTATGTATAAATGTTTACTTTAATTTCATTGAGAGACAAGGGACGTTTACGTCGTGTGGGTGAAATGATATTAAAGTCCAAACACTCCAAAGAACGCTCTTGGGATAAAGCTGTTATTTCTCTAACGTAAGCAGAAGGTCATTTCTCAACATTGACAAATGTGAAAAGTAATTTCTATGTTAATTAATCTTAGTAATATTATCCGCTTTGCTCTTTCTCCTTCTATGTTTTGTGGGTGTAAAATAGTGTATTAAAGGCTGTGAATTGTACATAGACTTTTATTAAGTTCTCGCCAAAAAAATACACCAACACGCAACCAACACGCCCCACAAACATGTTTAGGTTGCGCACTGTTTCTATATGAATTTTCTCAAGATATATAACGAACTTTGGTTAGAATTTTTATTTCCACATTGTTTCGACTTTAGAAGAATACTGCGTAGATTTCAAAAAGTAAAGGGAATATCCTAATAAATAGATTACTGATTAGGTATGAGAAAAAAACAATTTAAATTTTAGAAGTTATAGTATTTTTATTGAGATCAAAGTAGGTATGCAGTAACTTTTAAGTATGTAAATTTTTCTTTCTTTACCCAAAAATTGTGACAATGCCTATTCTTTGCCTGTACCTTTCAATAGTAGGTACCCAAATTATATGTATACTAGCGACTCACCCTCCTTTCGCTCGGGTGCGTCCCCAGGTACGAATAATTCCGTAACACATGGTTTTCATAATAACATTATTGGAAATTTTAATGAAACGTAAGTTCGAATCTTGAGTATTTTTAAGGGTTTTCGATTTTCTCGCTGGAACCCTAAGGCCAAAATATTACAGGTACAAACCATACCCTATGTAACACTACGATAATATCCTCACCCCCGTCTGCCACTGCCCGGCCGCTGTCGTTGACGTTAACTGTTAACTAAGATATTATTATTATTTTCATTCTGTGATATCTTCTTATTTATTCATCTAATTTAAATGGTCTAAATGTCAATTTTAATCTAAATCAAGTGCATAAATTGTTTAACATAATATTAATTTATTTATTTATTTTTTCAGACAGACAGACGCAGTGGGGGATTTTGTTTTATAATATGTACTAGCGTGTAGCCATATCCTCGCTCCGCTCGGGTTCGTCCCTGCTTACGTTTTAATATAGGTAAAAATACGATTATAAATATTATTATACGATATTAAATATTATAGTATAGATTTCCGAGAGTAGAAAATAATGTTAGTACTAATATCGCTATTAAAAATAGGGGTTTGTGGTAGAAAAAAAAAGGAAACTTAAGGTTTGTAGGTATGAGTTTTTTAATGCCGAATCACAAAAAAATTAAAATGAATAATGTTTTCAAAAAATAAAAAATATTTTTTTGGGGTGGACCACCCTTATCACTTAGGGGTACGAAAAATAGTTTACGTCCTATTCTAAGACCTACTGAATATACACACAAAATTTCATAAGAATCGGTCAAGCCGCTGCGGAGGAGTTTTGTTACAAACACTGTGATACGAGAATTTTATATACCTACTTATTAGATTACGACGAGATAGATTTTTAATCGACTATGTAGGTATGTGTAAATATGTATTATGTACATGTGTCATGTACATAATGTATTAGTATTACATTGTTTGGATTTTATTATTTGTATTATTTTCTGATCACTAATTTTTTATAGTAGGTACACACAAATAATTTTCGTAAATCTAGCAATTCAATATATACTAATTCAACGTTTTATAAATACTTATAAGTTGTAGTCAATCTACATATTTCGTAGAAGCTAGTACTAAGAATTAAGATAATTATAATTAACGATTTGATATAATTAAATATTAGGTATTCCCAGCTAGAGTTTCCAGAACATTTGCTATGTACATAACTAAAACACAATACGTATAATGTAAGTTTGTGGGAAAATCTGTTTGTACGAAATTTTAAATACTCGTAGCGCTCTAATTTTGGATTCTGGTTCCGTTTGTTCAATTAATGCTAAAAATCTTAATAAAAATTATGTTATATAACCTAAAAAGGCTTACAGAGAACTTAATAATTTTGTCCTACGGCTTACTAATATATTAAAGTAAAGAAACTAAAGAGTTTGTATTTCGTTTAATTGAAATCCTTTATCTGTGGAAGTTCTTCCAGAGGACAAATTTATATAGGTTTAGGAGGTAGGAGCCATTAGTAATGTAATTAATAATTATACAATATACGAGCCAACCCGCACTTGACCAGCGTGGTGGACTATGGGCTGATCCCCCTCGTATTGAAGGGAGGCCCGTGCCCGTTGGGGGACGTGCCCCAGTGGGACGTTAAAAGGGCTGAATACATACGAGTACCCACCAAGCAAGAGGTGCCGCAACAAACGCTAAATATCATAATATTTTACTTATAACTAATGATATAAAAATGTTTTAAAAAAATCATTGAGGCTTAACAAAAGCCACAGAGGGACACTAGTGATATAAGCAGGTAGACAAGACATTTTTTATGGGGTTTTCCCTATAAACCTTTAAAGGGAAAACCTTGGAACACATTTCGTCGGAAAGAGTGTGTTACCTACATACATAATGTTACATATTACTGTACATACTTTTATAGGTACCTTCTTCGAATTAATTAGTGTTAGCTAGTTAAATTTAGTACATTATTATTCATTTATGCATGTAACTATGATAATTATTTTTTAAACCTGTGTTCTTATAGAGAGTTTGAAGTACAAGGAGCATTTACACAGTCCTATGAAACGATGATGCGTTGCCATCGTATAACAGCAGATAATTATTTGGTAGGTAGGTACCAACATTTTTGTACAATTTAAATAAGAATTATGTTTTAAAGGGAAAAGTTCTGTAAAATATTCCAAATATCTGTTATAAATCAAATCAAAAAAAATAAATTTGACATTAAATTTATTACCCATTAAAATATATACCTAATTATCAGAAGTTAGTTACTACGTGTGCATCACAAAATTCTTTAGTCGTTGGACGAAATCGTTATCAAATCCAACACTCCTTCGTAACCTGTATTGCAAAATATAGAGTTGTGAGTTACCAGCAACGCGAACTCGCATAGACTTGGGATATATGCGGCTAGAGAACACAACTTCACCATCACCACAAAACACTTCTATAGAACTTGAATCTAGAAAGATTCTCATAGAAACATGACTAACAGGAGACCAATAAGCGCGTCGAATACCATCAATACCTCCGCGGTCTATACTTATATATTGAAGTTCTGCTGAATATGATATTGTAAACATACCTAATTTCCATTCAAACACCAACCCTACATCCGAAAAGATAGATGTTGAATTCACAATCAATTCAAAAGATTTGCTTTCTGCTGGAAATATTTCCCCAGGGCTGTACCATGCATTTTCTAATAATTCCACTCGTAATTCCTCCGTTTCTTTTATAGGCGTCATAAGGAGCATACCGTTTTTATTTAAACGTAGTTCACGCACTATTGTTAGCATGCTTGCCCATCCAGACGAAGATTCCTTGAATTCACTATCCCACATTCCCAACCACGCGATAAGAATTCTTCTCCCATCACTAGTAGTCATGGTTTTGGCAGCATAGAAATCATGCCCATAGTCCAACTGATTAAAAGTAGCAACCGATACTTCAATATCATCAAATTTCCCTTTATAATGGTTAAAATGCCCAATTATGTAGCCCGTTTGGTATAAGTTTCTGAATCGCCAACCATCGACCTCTATACCTTGTGCCGAAATTATTAAAACGTGATAACCGTCTAATTCGAAAAGATCTGGATTCTCCCATACATATCCCATATCTCCATAAGATCGTACTAAAGTGCTATTTAATTTCCAATTAAACAAATCTTCAGACGTATATAATAATAGTTGACCATACCTTTCTCTTGACGTAGTTCCCAGAATCATGTACCAAAGTTTGCGAAAATGCCAAATCTTCGGATTTCTAAACTCGCCGACACCATTCGGTGATTGTCTTATAATCGGATTGTACAGATATTTCTGAAATAACACTCCATCTCCACTTACTGCGACGTTTTGGGTTTGAAAGGTTTCATTTTTAGATACAACATTTCCCGTATAAAATAGCATGAGGAAACTTTGGTTTACAACAGCTGAGCCAGCTAAGCAGCCATGTCTATCGTAGTACTCTCTAGGCATTAATGCATTTGGATAGTGTACCCAATCTATCAAATTATTGCTGACTGCATGACCCCAACTCACGTGGCCCCAGGCCCCGTTGTATGGGTGATACTGGTAAAAGACATGGTATTGCCGTTTATAAAACGTAAAGCCAGTTGGATTACTGATCCAACCTTCGGGTGCTGTAATGTGATAGATAGGCCGATATCGTTTCCTTAACAAATGGTTCTTTTGGGCAAGAAACGACTCAATGTGGCCAATATCACTGGGATCAGCGAGTACAGCCCAAATAAAGGAAATAACAAGTACAGCTACTGTAATCAAATAGAGATCCATGATTGAATAAATTACGAGATGCAACATTTAGGAAGGTTCATGTAACAATAGGTAAGATTTGTTTGTAAATAGACGAACAGCTATAGTTTAGAAATTACGTAATATATATGACTACAACTCTCTTACGACTATCACACATATCGTGACATAATAGCAAAAGAATCGCAAAAATGCGAAAATTTGTATGTTTGTGTGTTACTTCTGTAAGGTTGCATTTTTATTAAAAGAGCGTTTTAATGGAAAATAATATATTTGATTAATTTGTAATGATTTATTTATAAAGCATTCAGTTATGTGACCTTGGCCGATAGGAATGTATGTATTTAAAAAAGAAATAATAAAGTATGCGGATATTCATTGGTTTTCCCGCGCTTTTACACAGATGTCAGTCAAGGTGTAAAAGTAACGACAAATAGCTTACCCGTATGCATTCGTTACTATAGCATCAGTACTCGTTACTTTTGATACCCGATAACATACTCGTAGAGCATCGTATCGAGTCGTGTTGCGTATGTATTGCGTACGGTATAAATTATACGATATACCGTATATCGTTGACGTCGCGTTGTTTTCTGTGGAATAATGCACGATCAACAAACCATTTCAATTGGAGAGTTACATGATATCCAGAACCCGTAAATTTTGATTATTTATAAATCTATATAATTTTTAAAAACTTTACTAACAATATTTTTTTATTAATAATTTTTGAAATTAAATAATAAATATAAAAATAGGTATTTAAAAATGAATAAGTAACGGCATCTATCACGTTAGTGTGACGTCGTAATACATATTTTATTTAAAATCAATTGCGCGAATGATTTATCAAATCATAATCTGTATGTATTACACATAATCACATGATCATGTCTCACGTAGGATAAATAGATAATTATTGTATTACAATATTGTACACAATTATTATTTTAAAAGAGCCGTTGTTGAGTTTCTCGCCGGTTCTTCTCAGCAGAAAACTTTATTCCGAGCCGGCGGTAGTTCCTAACGGACTAACATTTAATTTTAATTTAAAATGTAAAATTGACGATTTAAAAGAGCTTGTAAAAGTTTATTTGAATAAAATATATTTTGGTTTCATTTGACATAATCATTTAGTAAACATTATAAGTATTTGTTGGATAAAAAACTAAAAATGTGTTCTAAATATAATGGTTGTTTCTAATTGAAAATTGTTTCTAAACAAAATTTCTAAGATCTGGAAATCATGCAACTCGAAATAAATAAATAAACTCTCTAATTTACTCATCAATGGTTTTAAGTATTAACTGAAAGTTGTATTTTGCTGAATAAAAAATCAATAAAAACATTAGTACGAAAATATGTACGGAAAATGCGAGTAACGAAATGCATTCGTGAGTAACGTTTCGGTACTCGGTACTAGATGGCGTACCCGTTACTCAGTAACGAATACATACGGTTTGCTACAGCTCTAGATGTCAGTACTCGGTACCACCCTGTAGTGACTAGTCATGAATTGTTAGTAATACTGAAAAAATATTGTAATAAAATATGTAGATAACTCGTTATTTGAGAGTAACTAGATATTGAGTTTCTTGCTGGCTCTTCTCAGCAGAACGGTTTTTTGTGCCGGTGGTAGCTTCCACACGGACAGATGTACTGATTATTATAAAAGTAGGTACCTACTGAATATAACAACATATGCAAGGATTAAATACGAATAAGTTATTCCACAATTGTAAGTGGATTGTGGGTCATTTTGAAGAAATTATTTTACTAAGCGTTATTACTTATTATTCACTAGCATTGCCCGCGGCTCCGCCCGCGTTCAGATGACTAAAAGCCAAATTCTTAGGTTTTTCATATTAGTATACTCTCACATTACAGTTTTTGTATTTTTTCTCAAAAATTAGATATTTTCCCGCGGTAAAAAGTATGCTATATGTTGATCCGGATAACCAGCTATCACCATACCAAATTTCATCAAAATCCCTCCAGTGGTTTTTCCGTGATGCGGTAACAGACAAACTGACAGACAGGCACACAGACAGACAGACAAAAGTTCTAAAAACTATTGATTCGGCCTCTGTATCGATAATAGTGTCTATTTTAATAAGATTTTCCAAAAAATAATTAGAAAAATTGCTCTTAATTAGGTAATAAATTATTTTAATTTATAATTATTTAACAAATCATGCATGTAAATTTATGATTAATCTTTAAAAAATAATATTTAAAGTTTGATTTTAATATATGTAGGTATGTATATATGTAGTTAATTAATCACTAACTTTTGTAAAAGTCATATGAATGTTCGTATGTTTGTCCTCTATGCGTTCCTAAACGATTGATTCGATTGTGACGAAACTCTGGTGGGTTATCCCGCATATATGCCTGCGAAAGTTAAAAAGAAAAAGAATTTTTCTATGGACGTTCAAAAAAAGAATTTTTCTACGGACGTTTGTCTCTCATGCGTTTATAAATCATCGTCCATCGAAGCGTACTGACACGAGCGAAGCGAGGGTAAGTCACTAGTATATAACTTTGTAATATAAGTAACGACATTCAAAACAATGAATTAAGCTTCAAAACATAAAGCTTTTTATTAATGTTTGTGTTCAGTCCTTGGAATTACATTATAGATTAGCATTTTTGTAAAATAATTAGTATTTACAAACCACTTATCTTTAACTAGTAGAAACTAGAATCCGCGGCTTCAATCGCGCTAAAACTATAAATAAAATCTCTAAAAAGGTACGTTTCATACAGACTTTCATCCCCTATTTTACCATCTTAGAAGTTGAATTTTGGAAAACGCTGAAATACGTAACTCATTATTTTTGCCATACTCAATTCATCCGAGATTTCATGCAAATATGTCCTAGGAATAAAAAGTTTCATACAAACTTTTATCCCCTATTTCACCCCCTTGGGGGTTGAATTTTGAAATATCCTTCCTTAGTGGATGCCTTCGTTATATGAGGAATACGTGTGCGAAAATTCAATTTTCTAGCCTTAAGCTTAAGCCTTGATACATCATACATCAGTCTAATCACTTTTGCCTTTTATATATATAGATTAAGTTTTTTATATATATTTCTAGTATTATAAGACCTGTGTACATATTAACAGAGGCGTTAGTATAGAGTAAGGTCTCTAGAACTATCAAATGACACTGAATGATAACTGTTTGCTAACTTTTCATCGTGGATGTTCACTAATTATTGTAAACATTGTGCCATTCCTGATTTGATTAGCATACACGGTACGGCTCAACAATTGTTATTGCTTTAAAAGAAGAACTAAGAAAAAGTCAATATTTTATCTATTTGGTCAATATATATTAATTACTAGCGGCTCACCTTCGCCTCACTCGGGTTCACCTCTAGAAAAACAAACTAATCTATCCCACTGAACTGTACATTTTTCCGGGATAAAAAGTCTATACTATTATATAAGCCTATGTGCTATTCAGTATTCCAGACTATAATCTATCTCTGTGCCAAATTACATCCAGATCGGTTCAGCCGTTCTGGCTTGATTGAATAACAAACATCCAAATATCCATTTAACTTTCACATTTATAATATTAGATGTAAAACAAAATCCTAATAAACTGGTGCCGCGTTTAGAATTATTATTATATTAAATTTATGGCCCTGCCGCACTTAACACTTTTTAATGACAGCGAAATGACCTTACTCGACAGTGGCGCCAACTGATCCCATCAGAAACGATAGCCTTAATTGTACTGTCTTTTGTTGTACGTCCAAGGTTTATTAAGGATTTACTCCCTTTTTACATGTTATAATTTAGTATAGTTTAATTAATAATCTTATTTTAGTGACCAATCTCCTGCGCGCCTTCTCCATTTTACGTGACATTGAAGAAATAATCTGTGCTCAACTGGCACGCTTTGAAGCCACACAAGAATTGAATTGAAACATGAATAAAAGGCACCAAATTAAGAAACCAATTAATGAAATAAATAAAAGAATATATTAAGCGTATATATTTTTAATATGACAAAGAGGGTAAATATTTTCTTAACACTAAAATATTGCATTACACTTATACTAAACATTGATATTCCACGTATCACAGTATGTGTTTAAACTATTTGGTCTTATATTTCTACCTGCCACCAATAGCTGTATTTATTCATAAGCTACTTTGATATATAAAAACATAGATACACATTTCTTAACAAATATCTCTTTAAAAAGTAGCGTCGACATGACGTTAAGTCAAACCAAAAAATAAAATTGAAAAACGTTCTAATTGTCTAAACACAAATTCGAACTTACGCCCACCACATAAAGTACTCTTTTAAACGAAACAACGTGCATTTTAATTTTGTTATTCGAAAAACAATGAACGAAAGAGATTTAAAAAAAGCGCATTATTTCGAACTGTGCACTTTTTTTAAGGACACTTTTGGGAAGCTAATTGTGTATCTTGAGTTTTGTATATCGATGGAAAACTTTAAACTACTTAAAAAAATAATTTTAATACAGTCGTCGTCTCAGTACTTATTTGTTCAAACGATGAATTTGCCGAAAGAGTTTTTAATACAGAATGATTTCAAAATGTCAATTTTATTTGTATAAAATACACGTTTTACTGTAAAAAAGGTGGAAAAAAGTCTATAAAATACAGCTGTTTTTTTAAGAAATAGAGGAAAAAATCTCTTTACTGTAAAGTACAACAAGTATTGGTAGTTGGAACAAATAAGCACTGAAGACATTATTTCATATACTATGAATATTTTTAAAAACATTAAATATTCTAATACATATGATTGCTAATCATTTTAACATTTTAAAAATAAAACCTATTATTAAAAATTATACTAAAAATATTTATAATCTGCAATAACGTCTTACTAAATACAATTTTATAACAAAATATTCAATTTATTATTAAAATATCACATAAAACTAAGAAGAAATAACATTCGAGTAAATCAGAATCAGACCATTGATGGAAAGCAATGTTGCCATAAAAGGCCGCATGTCGCAATAGCTTTTAAATATTTAATATAAGTCACAGGAAAATTAATGAAACATTTAATTACACTGTAAATAAAATACCTCTCAAACTACATATTTTTTTTAAATTATTGATTAAAGGGTAATGACTAATGTTGGACAATAAAAAAGGATTTCATATATGTATAGATAAGCTTTTCTTAAACACACATATAATAAAATTGTAACTGATTGTACATGGAAGATATTTGAGAAAAACTATTATTGAGGTTCTTTATTGTGCAATAGGACCCAAAATAATGATTTTTGGAATTTTGTCTGTTTGTCGAGCTGCGTTTGTGCGCGCTACACTCAAAAAAGACTAAACCGATTTAGGTGCGGCTTCCACTAATATACTATGGTAAGCTCCACTTAATATTTAGTATATGTTTTATTTCAATCGGTTTATAAATAAAAAAGTTATGTCAATTTATAAAATCACCAAGGGACAAACACGAACGAAGCAAGAATGAGTCGCTAGTTTTAAATAATTTTAACATAAAACTGGTATATAAGTTAACATAGACGTTTCACGCGACTTTGTTCGCCTGTATTTTATTTAATTACCATAGCTTCATAAAATTCCTTCAGAATTTGAACCCATGACCACCAGCCCACTATGCACTGTCATATACGTTCATAAATTACTTCGCTATGGCGATCGTCATTCTATACTTATAAATAAAACTTAATGGTAGTATGAGATTTTAAAAATATACCCCATATAATATGGTTATTTAAACGATAACATTTAAAAAAATGTCTGTGTGCTTCTCTTAGTCAATCTTCGAAACGGGTAAATAGAAGTTAGTGGGGTTCTCTCTAAGATCAGCCTAACTAATGAAAAATGGATAAAACATTGGGTAGTTGACACCATCAATCAATTGACATACTTTTAATTAGCTTTTTAAATAAAACTATATTTTCTGATTATTTCGCGGATTTGTCTGAAATAATCCGAAAAGATAGTTTTATTTAAAATAAAATGTCAAATATTCGCGTGAATCTAATAAAGTATTTAGTTAGGTAATAATTATTTGTTAATTTTCTTAGAGTGCGGGTGTTGCAGCGCGGCGTGCAGGTCCGCCCACAGCGCGGCGGCGCGCGCGTGCGCCGCGCCCCGCGCGCGCGGCAGCTCCGGCAGCGCCTGTAGCGCGGACAGCGCGTACGCGCGGGCTGTTCTCGCTTCCTGCAATCCATAGACCATATCCATACTTAATATTATAAATGTGAAAGTGTTTGTTTGTTTGTTTGTTTGTGTGTCTGTCCTTCTTTCACGTGAAAACGGAATGATGAATTAGCGAGATTTTTTGTGTGAAGGTAGTTGGAGGGCTGGAGAGTGACATAAGCTACTTTTTACCGCGGGAGATTATCTCTTTCCCACGGGACACGTTATAATTCTGATCATATTTTTTATCGGTTGATAAAAAATATTTATGATCAGAATTACTTGAAACTTGGTATTAATGCTCTTCAGTACAATTAAATAAATACGTGTTTTAGCATTTTTCAAAATACATCCCATAAAGGGGTAAAATACTGCTTGAAAGTTTGTATGAAGCCTACCTTTTTAAAGTTTTTTAAGCGACGGTGAGTCGCTAGTATTAGATAAGCGTAAATCAGGCGTAATTGTACTAGGCGTCCATAACTGAGTAAGAGGTAGTACCTCGACAGCGCACCGGAGCGCGTATCTGTGGCGGCTGCGGAGCGCGACCGTGGCGGCGCAGGGCGGCGCGGCGGAGGCGGCGGCGGCGGCGGCGGCGCGCTCGGCGTGAAGGCCGCGCGTGAGGCGCGCGCACAGCTGCCGGTACGCGCCCAGCGCGTCCAGCGCCAGCAGCGTGAGCTCCATCGCCTCGTCCTCCGCCGGCTCGGGCGGCGTGTCGCACGTCTCCGTTGCTAACCTACGATGAGTGAGAGTTTCTTTATTAGACGTGTCACATAATGGTGGCTGGATACGAGGAGTATGGTAAAGTTGTCAAGAAGCCAATTTTAAGTATAATTGAAACTGCATTCAATTATTTCTAAGTCTTAATTTCGCTGTCGCTGTTTTATACAAAAGTTGACAAAAAATAACAATTTCCATTGCGAAAATTATACTCGCCATCCCTAAAGCCGTTCCCCGAGAGCCATTTACGTGTCAATCGGGTGCGCCTGACTTGCGCCTCTGCCGCGCTCCCGGCGGCAAAACGTTTTCCTATATGGATATTAGTCCATATTTTCCAATTACAGCACTAAAGCACTTTATGCGGCATAATGTTCAACTTCAAATTATTAAATTACAGCAACGCTCTGCACAATCGAGCACTTTGAAAAGTACTGCTTTGGCGAAACCAACCAACTCAGTAGCATAAAAATTATAAGAAATGTTTTTTATTCGTGTTTGTGGGCCGAAGTGCTGCATTATGCTCTGTAATTGAAAAACAGGGAGTAACACTAGAGACGTATACATAACATTATAATGTATATTCCCCCACTGACCGCGCGGCGGCGGCGACCGAGTCGCGCATGCGCGCCCAGCGCGGCGAGTCGGCGGGCGCGCGAGCCGCCAGCGCCGTGAGCGCCGCGCCCAGCTCGCGCACGTCCGCCCTCTCCGACGAGCACCGGCTCTCTACTGTGGAGTTAAATTACAATAGCATCTTGGAATTTTATTAGAACGATCTTGTCGGATTTTATCGCGGATTTATTTTGATTTTTGGTTACCGACGTTGCGAGTGATTTACAGAGACTAGATAATAGTTACATTTAAAATGTCAAATATTCGCGTAAATCTTAAAGTAAATCGTATTACCTTAGAATTTGTCTTCCCTAGGTATAGTTGGTATAGGAACACAAAGGACAAACATAGAAAGGTATGTTTTTTTAAAATTGTAAATAAATTACAAAAATATTAACTCCAATTTAATAATTTCAAGTTAGTACACATTAACAACATTAATCACAATTATTTTTTAAATATTTGCCCAGATTCCTCGATCGAAAATACATAATATGCTCTGCTCGTGCACATATTTTTTTCATAATATTACTAAAATAATTAATTAGAGACATAATAATAACATTATTTAATATCAATTATGTAATTAATTTAGTAGCGTCAAAAAAAAATACTTACTATAAAAAAAGCTCAAAGGACCAACCTTTTTCAAAAATTTTGAACAGGCGACCCATTCCCAAATGCGTCAACCGCAATTCCTCTTGTTCCGATGCGAAGGCCTCTTGCATCTCGTCGGTTGTCATTTCATTCTATAAAAATGTCTATTATTTTTGGAATAATTCTAAGTTGACAAAAAATACACGAATGTTTCGAACTTATAATCCCATTAATCTATATTCTATATCTTCTATATAATAAAATTGTAACTAAGTCGAATCTGTACATTAAATATTTTTTGGAAAATCTTATTGAAATAGACATTATTATCGATACAGAGCCCGAATCTATAGTTTTTAGAATTTTTGTCTGTCTGTCTGTCTGTCTGTCTGTTACCGCATCACAGAAAAACTACTGGAGGGATTTTGATGAAATTTGGAATGGTCACAGCTGGTTATCCGGGTCAACATATAGGATACTTTTTACTGCGGGAAAATATCTCTATAAATATTTCTGAGAAAAAATACAAAAATATGCCAGAACCGCTGAATGGATCTGAATGAAGTTGGCCACAGAGAAAGATTATATTCTGAAATGGCACATAGGTTACTTTTTATCCAGGAAAAATGTATGGTTCCCGTGAGATAGATTTCTTTTTGTTATTTTCTAGGGACAAACCCAAGCGAAGAGAATAGGAGTAGCTAGTATGAAATAAAAATTGTATAAAGATATTATTTTACAAACAAATTTGACAAACAAATGTCTTATACATTGATTGACATCTAAAATTCTTTACTTACTCGTTGTTCCAACTTGAAGCTTGAAAAAAACATATTTGAATTACTTATGTACACTGTTAATATAACAAATAACAGTACAAAAGAAAATTGCAGATATTTTGATAAAATTTTAAGAATGTCTTTACAGCCAGCACTTATATATAGATAACATTAAAACACTTTAGAATTATATTTTAATTTAGAATATTATTTATCTTACCGGGTTATCCTCTTGTGTACCAGCAAGTATGAACTCATCATGTTTTGGCTTGTCCAGTCTCGGTGAGCTCTCACACAGAAACATTCTAAGATCTGCATCATGAGCCAATACTGGATGCCTGGCGACCAAAGTTAACCAGCGCTGGAGAGCCGCGCGACGACGTTGTAGGAATAAGGGACTTCCCCCACCAACTACTACACGTTTGGGAGGTAAGCTGCATACGGCTCTAAAAAGTTAAATAAAATTCTAGAATGTATTTCTCAACAGTGTACAGTACACCACACCTTTTTATATTAATGACTAGCGACTCACCGTCGCTTCGTTTCGGGTTCGTCCCTAGACAAAAACAAATCTATCCCACGGGAACCGTACATTTTTCCGGGATGATATATAGCATATAGTCTTCCTCAGTTAACGGGCTATATAATGCAAAAAATGAAACCGGATTAGTAGTTCCTGGGATTATCGGGTCAACAAACAACCAAAAAAACTCTTCGGCTTTATAATATTAGTATAGAAGTATAGAATAATAACAAGCCGAAACTACACGAGTAGCTTCGTTTGGACGAAACGCCCAACTTTTCTATCTACGAAAATTTAATTGTGATAGATACAATTTTGGATTGATATGGAACATGTAATAACAATATGGTGATTGTGTAAAATTTATTACTAACAGTTTTATAAAACAGATGGCTTGGATCAAATCGTCCTTCTGTCTGAACTTGTTAAAATAACAACGTCATAAAATATATTAATAACCATCTGATTTTCATAGTATTTATTATTAAAAATATGCATTGTTAAATGGTTACATTGTCCTACAAATAAAATGGTAGGATTTCTGTCCTACTCCCGGATTCTATCTCCCATATGGTGCTACTCCTAAAGTTTCAGCTTGTTAAAGGCGTGGTATACTCCAGACTACAAGTGGATAACAAAATCCGAAAGTATGAGGATCAGTGAAATAAATACTGCTCTAATGAGTCATGGAATGAATTTTGATAAAAACTAAAACAGCAAAAATTTTAAATTTTGAAAAAAAAATCTAAATCATAATCAAATCATAAAATAACATGGCTAAAGTATGATCTAACTATTTCAATGAGATAAGCTTAACAATACTAACAACCTTGGCCAAAGAATACTTGCAAGAGGAGGGGATAACATTAAAATGTTAGAAACATAGATATTTTATTACTGTGTCAAATCATTTTCACCAACAGTCCACCAAAGTCCACCAACCAGTATTTATGTCAAGGTGTAAAAATAGCCGAATTATTAATATCTGGGCAACCAAGCCTCGCTTGGCATATCAGAAAAGATATTAAAATTGTGTTTTTTCAGAGAAGGCATATATATAGATAAAAAGCAAAATGTTATCTATATACAAAATTTGATGCAAATCATTAAAGCTTTTCTAAGATACACGAAATAAAGATATTTATTTACAAAAATTGTTCATTTAATATTATACAATAAAACATGTTCATTTCTATTATGGTATTATCTATATCTAACAATATAATAAGAAATAACCTATGTTGCGAATTTTATTTACCGATAGGGATATTTTGCATGTAAGACATCATAAAGCTGCACAAATTCATTGTATCTCCTTGTAACAGTAGTGCCATATCGCCGAGAACTCACATAATATTCACAATGTTTTAAAATCAAGCCTTTTCTTTCAGGAACTAGTTCAACACTAATTACATCTGTTGATTCTAGTTCTTCAAATGTTACTTCTTCTGCGTCTCTTGACATTTTAACTGAAATATTTAATTTTGTACAATTTAATTTATAGTAAAATTTCTCTTCTAACTCATTATAATTACAGCAGAGTAATAATTCAGTAATAATTATTTTGATAAATATTATTAGACTATCACACAGGACATAAACAAACTGATAACATGCAACATCTGTTTGAACTAATGGAAAGATTTAACTTACAAATATGAATGATAATAATGTGGTTTGCATAGATTTACATTCTTAATGCTCTTTTCTACAATATAAATATAGTTTGCATGATATCATACAAACTACTTTATTTTTGTAAATATAAAATAATAACGAAGCTTAATTAAATAATCTAACAGTTCTAATACAGTTAAAAGTAAACAGTGTTAAGTTTCATACAGGAAATACATAAATTGAATACCTGTAATTTAAATTAATTTATTAGAAACCAAAATTTCTGCTAGATGTAAGTCGTATATTGTATCAATTTCTAGACTCTCCTGTGACGATACTTCCCAAACGGTGCAGCTGCAAACATATTAATATCCTTCTAGTTTTATCAGCTACTTAATTACGATGAGTTACATGAGAAATAACAATAAAATATACGAATAGTTTTCCATTATGTCATAATTCATAAACTAGTTTGGAAAAGTTGCCACGTCCGGAAACCGGAAAAGAAAAACATACAAGCTTTAGACTTTGACGTTTCCGTGTCGTTTCACGAAACAAGAAAAGTGATTTGATATAAATAGATTTATAGTTTCATAAAATAATCATGCATTACTTATTATTTTGTAAATAGCCATCTATGATCAGTTCTTTTCTTGAAATATAAAAGGCTCCAGTTTCAATGAATTCACCATTCCAATCCTGTCTCCGTGGACGACTTTTATATTGAAAATTTAATGGAATTGTACCAACAATAGCATAACTCCAACGAAGTTGATGAGATCTACAAAATATAAAATAATATTAAAACAAACCCTCTTTTACAGATTATTTTGTCATAATCGAATATTATTGTAAAATTAATACCTTGTTATTGAAAAGACACAATCGAAAGGCTTTGGATAATTCAGTTTATGGAAAGAAGAATATAAATGTTCTGCTTTGATAAATGGTGAAGTAGTCTGAAGGAGAATTAAAATTTTAACGTCCGGCCTACTTTGGATAAATTCCTGTACACCCCATATAGAAGGAGCCCAATCTGATGATGTAGCATAACTTCTCTTTAAAATAGTCGTTTCATCTAAAATAATGCATGCATAATTTCATTTTCCATTATAATATGTTTATACATGAAATCTTTGTAACACATTATCATAAATGTTTGTAGTTATCATGCATTTTTACTTACACTTAAGAGCTTCTAATGCTATCAGAGGATGATCTGTTGACACAGTTATATCAAAAAATCCAGCCCTCTTTGCAGTTAGTATGGTACGAGCAAGAAGGGTAATACCACCTACTTTTTGTATATTCTTCAAAGGTATTCCTTTCGAACCACCTCGAGCAAGGATTAATACTGATGCGGTTTGCATAGAGAAAGTAGGAGAAACACTGTATTATAAAAAAAAATATTTTTATTTATGTAATATTTACAATATTAAATATAAAAAGAACATACATTACAAGAAAACAAAGTAATTTTATTAACATTGTGACGGTCTACAAAACTAAACTGCCTAAACTCATGATTAATCCAGGATGTTCGCTTTAATAGAACATTTCCGTGATACTTCTTACGAAACTGTGTACCTATACTCAGTTGACTTGATGGAAAATTAATAATCGTTGCTTTTATTTAAATATTATGTTTGTGTAGATTACATTCGTATGATAAAAACCAATAATAAAGGTACTGATATAGATAACTTAGTGCATTTATGCATTTATAAAAGTGGGTATTTATTGCTATTATTATATTATTAATACGAAATTATTTTAACTAAGCAACGTATTATACTAAATGTTAAGTTGGCAGAGAGGATATTATTGATAAAGAGCTATTTATGCATAATATTAATTAAGTAGATATAAAAAAAAAGAATGATATACTTTTTTTTTTCATCGATGCAATAGACACTATCTCTACTCAATATGTGCTTCGAACCTACCCTACCCCAGCCTGCAAATTTATGATATTTGCAATGAAAAAAATACTAATCGATAGATTTTCAATAGCTCAATTTAACTACGTAGCCCTTTCAAATTGTTCACCTTTAATTATTTAATTAAAAATCAATAAAGTCTTTGAAAAAAAATTAATTTATCTGTATATTCAAACTCCTATATCTTTTGATGTATACAATATTTCAAATTGCTCAAAGTTCTAAAACACTGCTCAAGTTGCATTTGTAATTGCTCAAGTAGAGTTTTTACCAGCTCCACTTTCGCTGATTATTAAATAATTAAAAGTATAGTTGTAATAAATGTAACGTAGGTTAAGTGAGCGTGCGCATGCGCACCGCGCATTGTCGGTCGGCCTCGGCGGGCTTGGACAATCGTTCCAATTCAACGTCTTAATTCTGTTTCTCGGTGGATTTCTTTAAATTTATTGAATTTATGAATTGTTCACATTACGTGATTCCACTTCAGATATTATAACATAAAAAACAGATCTGGAATCTACCAATAAATGAAAATTAATACCAACAGATAAATTAAGACAAAATCTTATGTTCAAATGCTTATTCTATTAAGGTAATAGCCATGACAGGGATCATTAGTAAAATGTTATTAACATCAATACAAGACGGAACTTTTTTTATTTTTAAATATACATATAGTTTAATGACATTTTTATTTCAAAGAAACAAACTTCAAGAAACAAACTATTCAAACTATTTATATTTATTTAATAATTAAGGAAAGTGGAGCTGGTGAGAACTCTACTTGAGCAATTACAAATGCAACTTGAGCAGTATTTTAGAACTTTGAGCAATTTAAAATATTGTATATATCAAAAGATATAGAAATTTGAATATACGGACAAATGAATTTTTTTTCAAGGACTTTATTGATTTTTAATTTTATAATTAATGGTGAGCAATTTAGAAGGACTACGTAGTTGAATTGAGCTATTAAAAATCTATCGATTAGTATTTTTTTCATTGCGAATATCATAAATTTGCAGGCTGGGGTAGGGTAGGTGTGCTTCGAGCTCTACATCACTCATCTCATAGATAAAAAAAATTAACGTCTGCATCAACTAACTACTAGCATAGAGTATATTCAATATTGTTACATTATAAAAAATTACTAGTTTAAAAAATCGAGTCGAGTGTTAGGGAACGAAAACATAAAACTATGGGTTTGTCGAAATATTTGCCAAGCCACTATTATTATTTTAGTTCAAAGTTGGTTTAGAAAATGAGGAAGATTGAAGATATAGAAAAAGAAATAAAACTTGTTGACAGAGAACTTGCTCAGGTCGATAAAGAATTATCTAAATGGCGAAATAAACAGCGCGAATTACAAGAGAAGAAGTCTTCGTTAAAAAAATCTATTGATAAAATAAAATCAGAATCCTTAGCTAGTGTTGATTGGTCTAACAATACTTATGAATGGTCTGAGAATGTGGAGAAAACCCTTAATAATGTATTTAAAATTGAAACATTTAGGCCGAAACAGTTAAGTGCTATTAATTCTACTCTTTCTGGTCAACATACGATAGTGGTAATGCCAACAGGAGCCGGCAAAAGTCTCTGCTATCAATTACCAGCTCTGGTCAAACCAGGCATTACTGTAGTTATATCACCTCTTGTTTCATTGATGGAAGATCAGGTTAGATCACTAAAAAATAAGAATATCTCAGCAATGCTTATGACAAGTACAAGTCCAAAAGAAGAAACGGCAACTGCTCTTAATGCTTTAAAAGATAAAAATACTAAAATTAAACTTTTGTATGTTACACCTGAAAGACTTGCAAAGAGTAAAAGATTTATGTCAAATTTACAAAAATGTTTTGCTGAAGGACGGTTGCAGAGAATTGCTATAGATGAAGTGCACTGTTGTTCTCAGTGGGGACATGACTTTAGGCCTGATTACAAATACCTAGGAATATTATCTAACATGTTCCCTAAAGTTCCAATTCTTGGTTTAACAGCAACTGCTACAGCCCATGTTTTAACAGATGTTCAGAAGATGCTTAATATAACAGGGTGCTTGGTGATAAAATCCACATTTAATAGGCCAAATTTGTACTACAAAATTTTAGAGAAACCCACATCACAAGAAGAGTGTTTGACAATATTAGAAAAACTTTTGAAATATAGGTATAGGGGAGAAAGTGGCATTATATATACTAACAGTATTAAAGACTCAGAAGAAATAGCTCAGGGTTTAAAAAAAAGAGGTTTAAGGGTTGATTGTTATCATGCTAACATGGAAGCTGCCGCTCGATCTAAAGTACATTTAAAATGGCATGAAAAACAATATCAGGCAATTGTTGCCACTGTTGCTTTTGGTATGGGTATAGACAAGCCAGATGTTAGATTTGTTATTCATCACACTATTAGCAAATCTATGGAAAATTATTACCAAGAAAGTGGAAGAGCTGGTCGAGATGGTCAAAGAGCAGAATGTGTAACTTTATACAGATTGCAAGATATGTTTAAAGTTAGCTGTATGGTATTTTCTTCAGTTGGCAGTATTGACCATTTATATGGCATGGTAAAGTACTGCCTTAATGGAAGTTTATGTAGAAGATTGTTAATTGCCCAACATTTTGATGAAGACTGGGGAGATGCAGATTGCAATAAAATGTGTGATGTTTGTTCAAACCCTAACATTAGTACTCGAGAAATTAATCTTGAAACCCATTGTAAAACTTTAGCAGGCATAATTGACAATGCAAGTCAACAAGATACAAAGGTCACCGCCCAGAAATTACTAGATGCTTGGTTCTTGAAAGGGCCTGTACCTTTACGTCAAAAAGGTAAAGAACCCAATTTTTCAAGGAACATTGGTGAAGATGTAATTGCCTTTTTACTTGTTGAAGGATATCTTGTAGAAGATTTTCATTTTACTGCATATTCTACAATTTCATATATTAAAAAAGGTCCAAATATGGAGGCAATAGATGATACAGATTTCACATTGAAAATGCAAGTAAGAAAATATGCAGAGTTTCACTTTGATAGGCCGGCACCTAAAGATTTTGATCCAATTGTAACAAACAATACATCAGAAACAAGAAAACGGAAAGCTAATACTGAAATTAATCCTAAGAAATCAAAGACTATAGTTATTGATGATTATGATGATGATGATAATTAAAAGTTTTATTATTAGTAATTTATTTATATTCATAATGGTAGTGAAATTAAATTTTTAATAATACACAAACTATGTTAAAAAATGTAAATTTATTTTATGCAATTCAACAACAAATTCAATTTTTTAAAACACAATAGCTGTAGTTACACTCTAATTTAATTGTGTGTTTATTTAAAATTATGATTAAGTTACAGTTAAGTTATACAGAAAAATAGGCCACTTGAAATTGTGCAGGTACTATTGAATGCACAATTCATATATTATTAATTAGTTCTTAGTACTTTTGTAGATCACACAATCTATACAGATAAATAAAATTGAAGTGTCTGTTTGTAATGTCAAAATAAAAGCTTTTTACTAAATGCATATGAAATTATATACGGGATATATAAGGAAAACACATTTTTTTTGTCTGTTTGTCTGTCTGTCTGTTCTGGCTATCTACGAAACGGCTGGACTGATTTTGACGGGACCTTCACTGGCAGATAGCTGATGAAAAAAGGAGTAACTTAGGCTACTTTTATTTTAGAAAACGAATTAGGGTTCCGCTCAGAAATAAAACGTACCCAGCGGCGCACCCAAGTGCAGAATGGCTATATGTCGCTAGTTTAAAAATAACAGATTTTCATATACTTCCAAAAATCCATTTTTAGGCTGATATATAGGTACGGCATTTATAGTTTCTGAGATTTCGTGATTAACGAGTGCCAACCAATACATTATGTATAGTACTCAATTGTAGATCTTAACTTTCTTAATGTTAACTTCATTTATGGCGCATTTGATTTGCTCAATCGATACAATTATTATTTATTAAACTCGACGACGTGGAGAATATTGTAATGGCGATAATTTTTCATAGGCAGCCACATTTTCTTCTGTAGGTCTAGACTTTCTGACTGGGCGCGTTGACTTTTTGTTCCGTGACATATGTGATCCATTTGAATGTACTGGAATATTTGTAAATGTGAGTTATTAAGTATTAAGTAATTAAAAACGAATTTAAGCATTTCAACAAACATAATATAATTATAATTCATGCTTAATAATAACTTACTAGTCTTAGCACTGCCATTTGACCGGGCACTTTCATTATATAGCACGCTGAAGCCAGAGCCTGCAGACCTGGCGGAAGAACACTGGCTGTCCACACCTAATGCATCGAGAGTCCTCATCCTTTCAGCTATTTGGTCCTTGATGAGTTCTCTATGTGGACCAGCATGGCCTAGATCTTCCATCTCTGCTAGCCATTCAGCTCGCTCACGGATTTGTGTCACCACTGGAAATTGTAAACATAAAGTATACCTATTTATATTATGAATGAAAGTTTGCGAGTGTACTGAAATTCAGTATGGAAATAGCTTATACATATATTGAACTACCGACTCACTCGCGCTTCACTCGGGTTTGTCCTTACTTACGTTTTAACGTTTAGTATAGCTTTCTCAGAGATGAGATTTTTATCCCGCAGTAAATGTTGACCCGGTTAACTAGCTATCATCATACAAGATTTCATCAAAATCCCTCCAGTGGCTTTTCCGCGATGCGGTCACAGAGACAGACAGACATAAAAACTATAGATTCGGCCTCCTGTATCCATAATAATAGAGAGTTTTACCATCAAATAAAACTTACCTATTATTTTTTCATCAATATCCGGAATCCATCTTGAGTCAAGCACCTGTCTTTCTGCCTGTTGTCAATGTTTTTCTACTTCCTCTCCGCTGGTGGCGCCGCCTATACTTGCATTTTGGCGCCAATAACCGGCAGCGCGCACCGGGTGACCGTATGATTTAACCATTATAGAACTCATGATGCACCAGGTAGACCTTACCTGGATTCCGGATATTGATGAAAAAATAATAGGTAAGTTTTATTTGATGGTAAAACTCTCTATTATTTGTTTTGTATCAATATCCGGAATCCATCTTGAGTGATGTGTTTGTTATCACCTGGTGCGCTGAACCCAAAGACGCTATAATGTGTATGATAATTAAATATTAGGTTAATAAAACGCCATGTTTTGATGTACATGTATTAGAACAATTAAACAAGTATAAAATATTTCATATACTTACAAAACACCACTTCATATAAAAGAAGAAACATATATAATGTTATACTAATATTCTCATTTCACAGCATCAAAATAATTAGATAATGATACAGAATTATTCACAAAATTAGAATCATTGTAAGTTATTAATTCTCTTTGATAATAGTTTTGAAAAGTATGAATCATTTTCCAGTTACTAGTTGCTAGAATTTGATCAATTGAAAAGTTTTCTACAAAATTGAGAGAAGCCACTGCAGATCTTACTGAACCCGGTGTTGCATTAATACCACTATCCTTTAAGAGAGACCTCACCCATCCACCAATAACAGTTCTAGATGCAGGCTTTATATCACCTCTAGCTGTAATAAACAAGTGATTTAAATTTTTTCGACGGTTAACAGTTATACGTAACAATTGTCTTAACCAATAAATGAGATTTAATTTTTTATCAGGGTGCTCTCTAAGCCTCCATCCAGACTGTCTATGGTTATGGCTATCTGTCTTTGAACCAAATACAGGCCAAAGCACAATAGAGGTTCCTTGATCAACTAAACTAGTGCTATCAACTCGCAACAATGTAAGGTCGTGAACCCTGCGGCCTGATGCTAACAGTAAAAGAGTAGCAACATGCCTTGATACTTGGTAGAGATTATTTTCATTAAAATTATAAGAGCTCATGTATTGCAATAACACTTTAGGATTCCAAATAGGTGGCTTAGCCGGCTTCTCTCGTGCTACAGAAATAGCTCTTAATACATGTTTTATAAAGAAATTATTCGACAAGTCAATATTACCTGTTAAATGTGTGAAGGTTGAAATAACAGATTTATGCACCAAAATAGTTCTGTATGCAAGACCTATATCACAATGTAAATGTGCTAGAAACCGAGCAACTTGATCCGGGGTAGGATATTTATAATCAATTGAATGAGACTCACACCATTGCCTCCATCTGCGCCACGCGGGTTTTTATGTATTGATCGTAGAGCATCTCCAGCTTGACATGAGAAGTTGTTGTTCTTGATCTGTCCATTCTGTCAACATATCTGGCCACCCGAAATCAGCCATGCCTCCAAGTGTAGGTCTTGCACTCGTGGCGGATGCGTCCCAGTTCTGGTATCTATAAGAGCGTGTGCCAGATCTGAAATTAGATACGGGGGATGTCGAGCTCGCTGTTGAACGTCTGCTTGCCAAAATACCTTGTTCCACTTCGGGGCAATCAATATGTAGTCCCCGCTGGCGTGGTTCAAGTGTCTGAGAACTCTGGGTATCAGATTTGGGGGCGGAAACAACCAAGCTAGGTCGTAGTGCCACTGATGACAAAACGCGTTGTGGTGTTGTGCTTCCTGATCGTCTACGTCCAACGATGCATACCTTGGTACTACGTGAGCTGTCTTCGATGCGAATAGGTCTATCTCTGGCGTGCCCCACATTCGAAAGATTTTCTTGGTCGCTGACCTCGTGAGATGCCATTCTGGACAAGTTCTCTGCCGAGACAGAGCATCTACTTCGGCATTGAATCTGCCCGGGAAATAATGCGCTGTCAGATGAATATTCCGCTTGTCTAGAATTGCCAGAAGTTGTCGAGTCTGTTGAAGAAGCTTCTTGGATTTGGTGCCACCCTCCTTGTTTATATATGAGACTACTGTCCGATTGTCGGTTTGCAATAGTACCTGTGCATTCTGGAGTTGATGTTGATTCTGGCGTATAGCAGCATAAACGGCGAACATTTCTTTCTTGTTGGCATGCCAGGCCCGCTGTGAATCTGCCCAGGTCCCCATAATATTTATGTCGCCGAGCTGGGCACCCCAACCGATGTCTGATGCGTCTGTTGTCAGTAGGTGTGTCACTGCGCTTACGTGTATCGGCATAGACTTTCCTATAGCTTGGCACCACCACTCCATCTCCGACCGAGCAGGTTGAGGAATGGTCATGAACCGGTATGGGTGTTTCGCCGGCAGCTGTCGGCTGTAGTATTGCAGAGTACGACAGTGCAGGCGACCTCTCGGTGTTACGAATGTTGCAAAGTTGAGTCTCCCCATTAGACTTTGATACTGTTTGAGGGACCACTTGCTTTTTCGAAGCTGTTGATGAAGTGCTTTGCGTAGCGTTAAGCACTTCGGTTCCGACAAGGACTTTGCGTTGCGTTTTGTGTCCCACGTTATGCCAAGAAACTCGAGGCATTGTGTCGGAACCAGAACAGATTTTTCGAAGTTGATCGTCCAACCTAGTAAATGCAGTATGTTTATCGTGAATGCGACGTCGTCTTGTAACTGCACCTTTGACCGATTTGCTAGGAGAAAATCGTCCAAGTAAACTACGCACCGGATCTTGTGACTCCTCAGAAATTCTGCGACCCAATTGGTTATCGAGGCAAAAGTTCTGGGTGCCGATGAGAGACCGAACGGTAAACAAGTCATTTGAAGCAGTTGATGCTGATGTGTGTTTTGGTGATAATTCAGTCTCAAGAACCTGCGATGTTGTCGTGCGATCGCTACGTGGAAATAAGCTTGACTCAGATCTAGCTTGGCCATCCAATCTTGTGGTTGTAAAAACGATGGTACTCGGAAGTGGCTGAATAGTTGAAATGGTTTGACTACTACGAACTGATTTAGTTGTCTCAGATTGAAGATAGGACGAAAGGTCTGATCCGACTTGGCCACCAGGAAGAACGTGGAAAGATAACTCGGTGTCAGTTCTGCAGGTTCTAGCACGCCGGACTTCAACATGGTTTGAATTTGTATGGTCATATTGGGCGAAGTCTTGGTTCTGTATAATTTCATGACTGTGGGGCTCGGAAATATTAGCGGTGGTTTGAGGATGAAGGGTATACGTGCACCATTCAACAGGCGGCATATTTTGTCTGGCGCACCCAGATTGCTCCAAGCACATAGAAATCGTTTCAGACAGCCGCCTTGAAATATCTGATAGTCATTCGCGATGCTTGTTTTTAAAAGAAGCCTGCGATTTCTTTCCTCTAGGTTTGACCCTGGGATTGTTTGTCTTGTTTTTGTTTTGACGAGACGCCTGCGGGGAATGTTTTTGACTTCTTGTGAAGGTATCTCGACGAAAAAATCTATTATCAACTTGCTTACTAGTAGATGGCTTCTGGTTTTGATAAAAGTTATCCTTTGAATAAGTCTGAGGAACTGATTTTGTTGATGTAGTTAATTTATCCGGCCCGCCTATTTTTTGAAGGTATGATTGAACGGCTTCATCATTAAAAAGCGATTCGGTACTAGGAGGAATTTTATGTAAAACATCACGATGAAAGCCTTCAGATATCTGGCGTAACATAGCCTCGCGACGTATATTTATAAAATCAGCTCTTCTACCGCACACTATTTGTAATAAATCATCGGTCACCTTACTATATGAAGATTCTTTAGAAAATAATTTTTCAACCTTTTTAAATAAAGAACTAGGCGTCAAAGAATCCCTAGACTCATTTGACCAATCCACCAAAGATTGTAAAGTTTTATGCAATTCATCTTTTTGACAAAGTATAGCATTCGTCAAAGCCGCAAAAGATCTTTCTAATAAATATGAACGTGAATCCTCCTTAAGCATTGCCGATTCAAAACGCTTTAATTCGTCATTAACGCTTAACTCGACAAAACCGGGGGTAGCTAAATATTTCTTTTGTGCATCCGAAAAACGAACGGCATACCAATCCTCACATTTAAAACGTTGTAATTCCGATAATTTTTTAAGAAACGTATCATTTGCCTTAGGGTAGATTGGGTCTTTTACCGTCGTACTGATTTCCGACAAAATTTGAAGTTTACCATTCTTATTTATATTATCTTCAGGTCGCCGCAGATTTAATTCATTTATCGAAACGGACGTAGTATTCTTATTAATTGAATTTGTATGTTCAGTGTCGGTATTTTTAGATATTAGGTTAGCTAAGAAGGCTATTTGCTGCGATAAAAACTCAAAGTGTGCATAACTCACGGTTTGAGAGTCCCTTCTTGATTTACGTTTCTTTGGTCTGGATCCACTACTCGAAGAAGAATCACTATCACTATCTTGAGCACTTGTTACTGGCGAATGTAATCGCTTACGAGATGATGAGCCACCATTAACACTCTCTGACTCCACATCATTATTGAGATTTTCCATAATAACAACGGAGAGGAACAAAATTTAATCGAACTATAATTATTTTATAATAATATAATCAATTAAATATTATTTAAACTATAATTAAGAAAAATAAGTAATTTCGCGAAGTTTAAACAACACTAACAACTGAACGGCGCGAAAAACGACGCTATAATGGTTAAATCATACGGTCACCCGGTGCGCGCTGCCGGTTATTGGCGCCAAAATGCAAGTATAGGCGGCGCCACCAGCGGAGAGGAAGTAGAAAAACATTGACAACAGGCAGAAAGACAGGTGCTTGACTCAAGATGGATTCCGGATATTGATACAAAACAAATAATATCTATTTCAATAGGATTTTCCAAAAAATATTTAATGCTCGTTACAATTTTATAATTATTGTTTAGGCTGATTATTATGAACGAGTTAACTGAATTTATTGTACAATACGAACGTCAAATAGATACTTGTAAGTAGTGTTATACCAAACATTATCCTTGGTCAATATTATATTTTAAACAACATGGAAACCTTTTGTGTACCTGAAGTCATACTAATTATTTTTGTATGGCTTATTTGAATTTCAAAAGATAGTTTGCATCCCTGCTATTGCTGCTGCCATTTTAACGTTTTAAAGGAGAGAGATGTGGAGTGGCCCTTAATTGAATAGGATACTAAAAATGTATAAACTAGTAGTGACGTAGTACCTTTTTATTATTGAAACTATATTTTTACATTAAATAATATTTTTTCACTTAGGTAGAGTAAAAAGCGATCTCGATGCGTACCTAGCATCTTCTATATAAATAAAAATGAATCACCGAAATGTATGTACCTACGCGCATAACTTCCGATCGACTGCACCAAATTGGGTTATTCTTTTTTTGATGTTATTGTCAGGACAAGCTTTGTGTAGCAGAAAATTAAAATATTTTCTTTTTTACTAAAATAATATATTTTTTAATCTCATGATATGAAAAGTGAATGAGTGAAATTGTTATTATGGATTGAGAATGGGGATGAAAATTTGTATGGGGGAGCAACCTAGGGACGAACCCGACCGAAGCGAGGGTGAGTCACTGGTTTCTATATAGTTTGTGACATGATCACATAGACGTATGGTATATTTAAATAAGGATTTAGGGATATGATAAACAAACTTACAATCATTCCATTGTTCCTTTTTCGTTGGTAATTTTGGTTTTTGTTTTATCAAGCGCGGTGGTGACGGTGGTTTTTGTTCGACGTCCCCGTAAGTCATTGTATTGGCTAATCGTTCTTTTAGTTTTTCTCGATCTTCGCCTCTCTTCAAAGGCCGGAATCTAAGTATATGAGTTAGATTTGATGTCATATAAGCTACTCACTAAGGGTCCATGAGTATAGACCACCGGTCTTTCAAATAATATTTTATATTTTAATTTTTAAATAATTATAAAATATTATACTTTGATCCTTAGCATAGCATGGAGCATAATATTCATTAAGTGTACAAATACCCCGCACTCATAATGAAAATTATGCTCTTCAGTTTCTTTTATTTTGAAGTTGAAAAAATCATATGAAAATATCTATCTAATCTATATCTATCTAACTTAGTTAAATATTTTTAGACCTACTCATCGATGTTTAGAGCTTCTGATTCTCGTATAGCTGAAAGAGAACGTCGTCGAGATGTCCGAGGTCGAATTAATGGTGCTTGCAACCGAGGTTTAGTTTCCACATTGGTTTCTTCTTGTCGAAGAGCAAAAGCATTCTTTTGCCCCTGTGCAATAGTTAATTTAGATTCCTCCAGTAATACTAAAAAACATAATATATGTAATATGACTATTTTAAACATTCAAAAATAAAATATATTCAGAGACATTCTTAATGCACACTATAAATAATTAACCTTTTAAAAACTCTTGCTGGGCTGCTGAAGGCTCCACGACTTTTGTGTGAAATATTCCACCGTGCGGAATAGTTTTACTCGGCCATGTTATATTAACATATCCATTTGTATCTGGTTTTTCCATTTTATGAACATAAAAATAAATTAATTAATACGCTAAGTAAAAACAATAAAAATTGACATTTTTTTTAAATATCCCGGGTAACGGTATTGAATAAACAGTGGACTTGCCAGTAATTATTAATGGTGCTGTCATTAATAATAATTTAATCACTTTAAATATAATTAATTAGGTACAAATATTATATTATCATTTAAAATGATAAGTATTTAATAAAGATAAAATAGACGTTATAATGCTATAACTATTTGTTGATATTATTATATTATTTATCTCGTGAATTTATTGTAACTTAGGTATATTAAATAAATAGATTATATACAGTTATTAAAAAAAACCATAGGCGGGAATACTCACTCAATTATTATGAAATTAGGTCCATATTGAAGTTTTACTCTATTTAGCCTTGCAAATTAATATACGATCTTTAAAAAATGAATGACTCTGTTGGTTCTACAATAGAAAAGATTAAGCTACAAGAACAAGATAAAGAAATAAAACTCAAAGAGAAACGGGAATGTAAGTATATATGTGTAAAAATGTATTTGATTTATTCATATAATAAATTATTTTATTTATAAAAGAAACATTACATTGATGAATTGCAGATGAAGTAGCAATAGCTTCTCTGCAAAGGGCCATTCGTGAAGCAAAGTTTCAAACTGAAAAATCTAAACAAGAACAGGAGTCTCTTTTAAATAAAACTGACATTCTACGTACACAATTAATGTTAGAAAAAATCCGTCGTGATGCTTTCTCTGCTCAATTACATGCCATGAACAATGAATTAGAAGAGTTAAAAAGTAAATCGGTACTAATATATTTTATAATTGTTTTATTTTCTGAAAACTTTTCAATATTAATTATTAGGCAATTAAGTTTTAAGGCATAATTTCTTTGTTTTTATAGAATATAGATATTCTTAAAGTGTGGGAGCAACGATCATCTTATTGTAAAGAAATACAATCTGCTTCCGATAAGTATGATATTTGGGGTCTCCTTATAAAGCCAGTTTCTTCAGAACCTATTATAAGAACAGTGAAAGAATCTGATAATAATGATCAACAGTTGTTAGTAAACCAAGCTAGATTAGAAGCTGCTATTGTGAGGCGTAATAAAGCTATAGCTGAGCGAGACCGATTGAAAGCTGAACCCGATAACGGTGAAGAATTTATTCGGTAACGTGTTTCTAATTGAGTAATTTTTATTTTTTTCTGATTTAATGCTGTATACCAACTTGTTTTTAAAATTTGCTTTTATCTATTTTTAGCATAAAAAACGCTCTACGATATTCTTTAGAAAAAATTGAAGAACTAAAAAAGGAAATTTAATATGTATAAAAAACTAACTTATAATTTATTAAAAAAATGCAAGCGTGCAATTAAATTTTAACTGTGACAATTGACAATTCACTTTAAATATTAAAATCAGCTGTTAATGTCAAGATTTGTAATGTCAAAAAATATAATGTGAACTACGTAATTTTTCTGCAATTTAATATTTTTATATTAAAAACACAAAGATGAATCGAAGCACTAATTTAATAAGGTACGAAATAGCTTTTTCCACCTTACATCCTCACAGACAGAATTAGATTACGTAGTATGTTAACTTGCTTGCCTGTCTATAAATCATACTAATGCTTAGATACTCTCTTAATATTATTATATTTAAACTTATTTTAATTTATTATATACATTTCATGTATATAATGTCAGCAATTTTTTTAAAGTACATGAAGTTAATTTCCAAAAAAATCTCTCATTAGACAATAATAATATAGTATAATATTATTACAAAATGTTGGATTCCACTTAAAAAATGGTCCAAATTATTAAAAAACATATGCTTATTTTAGAAACTAAATAAAAAAGACATTTTATGGTAATTTTATTCAATACGAAATAAGATGTAGGTTGTATTACATTTATTGATTACTTTATTTGTAATAAGAGAACAAAATAGCTATGAAATCTTCGATCAACAAGTAGTATGAAATTAATAAATATTTCTCTGACTAAACTACTATAGACATAAATAGAGATGATGGTACTCTGTTCAGTATTTATGTGTAATTTTTATTGGATTATAATTGCTCAAGTAAATAAATTTTAAATTTCTTTACATGTATTGACCCATTAACACTTAGAGAAGATACATTATGATTTAAATATTGGAGCAAAATTGTTAGTTTTTTCTAATAAAAATAAGACTAACTTAAAGTAAAAATTGAATTTATTATTGAATACTTAAAATTTCAGAAGTACTATTAGAAATATCAAGCTACATAGATTGTATTGTACAGAAATAAAGGAGAATGAGCCAGTTAAATTTTCAACAAGTGAGGCTGCACGTCGACAAATGCCATCAGTATTTAGAAACAAAAAGGTAGAAAGCATGCCATGGTATCAACCATACAGTGTAGTCGGAAGTATTGCAGTTTTCCTCATCTACTTTTGTGTTCTTCGCGAGGAAAATGATGTAGATCTTGAATTTGATAAAACATTGTATGACAGAATAAAAGGATTGGAAAAAGAACAGTTACTACAAAGTTATAGGTATAATAAGGAACAAGGGAAAAGTGTGACAGAAATAGAGAAAAGGTTGCAAGAAATAGAATTAGAAGAGGCAAAACTTGTTGCATAATATAAGATTAATGTTGTTTGAATAGTGTCATAGTAATAAATAAATTATTTTAAAATTTAGCTTTTATTATATCATTTCATAATATTAAGGTTGCACAATTATCCCAGATTTAATATATTGTCTATAAAATTTGTTATTTAGAAGGAAACTTATGATTCATAGTTTACTATAATTAGGATGACTCATTTTTCCTAGAAGTCAATATTGCATAATATTAGCAATTAAAAGCAAAAATTACAAAATCATAACCTGGAGTAAAAAATTAATTATCCAAGCCAATATTTATGAAAATCTCATCGTTCAATATGAATGGGTACCTTAATGTTTATTTTTTATATATAATATGTATTGTAGATAATAGATATATACATATCATCAGTAGCTTTAGCTACTTCCGCTTGGGTTCCCCAGAGTCCAGCGCCATGCCCTGATGGCGGTAGTGGGAGACCTTTCTTTACGACGCGTGGTGGGGGCTATATTGCTACGCGGTACGAGGTCCTGGTCGGCGATAGTCTCTTTCAGTGAGACCGTCATCTCAGAAAGGGAACGCGAGGCTTTTAGAAGGAAACTAAAAACGCCTTAACAGACCCTCTTCATCGCCGTCGGCTGGGTGAGAAGGAGGCGCTGGTATGCGCATCTTCTCGCGCGTCCTAGAGGAGCTACTGGGAGGTGTCCCTTGTTGATTCCCTTGCACGTCATCGGGGCGGTCGGGATGCTCTATGAATCGAAGGTATCCTGATTTGGCGTGGTTCTGGCCGGCCGCAGAGGTGTTGTAGTGTGTGCGCAAGCGATCCTGCAACGCCCCATTGCACTGCGGCGACGGATTCCGCTGTGGGTTTTTGTAAGTCTCACAGTACCCTGCCCGTTGACGGCCCCATGACGGTTTTCCCAGCGTAATAAAAAAGAACCTATAGCTATTTATTTGATGGAACTTCACTTACTAATATTTTATTAAAGCATTAACTAATATTCTAGCTAATTGTTATAACAGCTATTTAATTAAGTATTACTACAGTAATAGTTTTTTTTCATTCATTTAAATATATTAAATAGTTAAAGAAACTAAATTTTATAATATGCAAGACAGGAACATTTTCAACAATATTTTTTACATGAAAAACCATTATTGAACAATTATTTGTGATAGAAATCAAATTCAATAACAAAAAGTTTTGCTCTTATATTGATTAAAAATTGGAATATTATTTTACATAGAATGAATGAAAAATGGGTATTATGAAAGAAAAAAGATATTTATTATTCTAATTAAATTTATTTAACACCAAAGTATCTCATTACACATATTAATAGTGCATCAAATTACATACACATGTTTCTTATAATGTGGTTACAATATTGCCTAATACACTACCTAGACATACCACAAGTCACTAAAATACAGACCTATGCTGTTTGTACAAGACACTAAGACCAAGATAAATCTTAGCAAAGATGATTATGGAACAATACAAATAAATGTACTATGTTAAGTGCAACTTGTACATACAATATAGCAACTTACAGAATACAAACATATTTATTAAAAAATTCAGTTCTGCTGCCTCCTTACAATAAATGATTTTTGATGTTAAATGTAATGAATTAAATGTGAGACAACATAAAAAATGTTATAAAATTAATGTCTATTTGAATTACAAATAATTTAAGATTAGGTACGCTAAAGCTAACTTATGCACGTTCTCCTCGAATCCGTCTGGCCAGCTGGATGTCTTTAGGCATGATAGTTACACGCTTAGCATGAATGGCACACAAGTTGGTGTCCTCGAATAGCCCCACCAAGTATGCTTCACTGGCTTCCTATAAACAAACAAGAGAGAAAATTAAAACAAAGTAATAACATTTTCTTACAGTTTAAAATGATTAAGTATATAATAGAAATATGCAAGTAGATATACCCACCTGCAGAGCGCCGATGGCTGCTGACTGGAAACGAAGATCAGTTTTGAAATCCTGAGCAATTTCTCTCACAAGACGTTGGAATGGCAGCTTACGAATCAACAACTCAGTAGACTTCTGATAACGACGGATTTCTCGGAGAGCCACTGTACCAGGACGATAACGATGAGGCTTCTTCACACCTCCAGTACTGGGGGCTGATTTACGGGCTGCTTTTGTCGCCAATTGCTTACGAGGAGCTTTACCTCCAGTAGATTTACGGGCAGTTTGCTTCGTACGTGCCATTTTTTACTGAAAGAGAAGATGAGGAGATCATAATAAACAACTGATGTTACAATAGCGTACACTCAATTATTATCAATAATATTCTCATTAAAGGTTGTGGGAAACCCTATTTTTAATTGAAAATAAATATTTAAGATACTTACTTTGATCAAAATATCACACAAAACACTACTTTTATCGAAAAATACCTAATATACACTATTTAAAACAGTGAACTCACAACAATGATCATATGCTCAAAGACAAGTTAAGATGGCGTCGAGAGAATGGCGGGCGAATACTGACGCCTTACATTAGCGTCCGGATTGGTTAGCCCCGTTTATGAATACTAAAAGTGATTGGAGGAAAAGCCCCGTCTACAATTGGTTATTTAATTGCGTCACGTCTTAAAAGGTGTGCTCTTATTGGTTGTTACAAAATTACAGTGTTGCAATAAAAAAGATTTTGATACAAAGAAAAGACAATAAATAAAATACATATGTGAAAGAAATTTATCAAAAGCTTTTTAACATTCATAAAAATTTCATTTATATTATAAAATAAATTTAAACTTAATAAATGTTTGACTGGATTTTAAATTTATGCATAAATCAATCTAAAATAATTGTATTAAAATTTGAAGAATGCTACATACTACATACTTTTTGAATTTGTTACTAAAAATTAAATTAAATACATTCCGAATTTATTATTTAATGTATTATTATTTCATTAATATTCTAAAACAACTTTTATTTTTCATTTTAAACTTAAGTTATTATTTATATTAGTACATTTTTTATACTTTCATTAATAAAAAAAAATTACCTTGGAAAAATGACCTGTTTTTTGTCTCATTTTTTTTCAATAGTGTAACCTATGTGTGTACGAGACAAATAGAAAACATACGACGTGACATTTGTGTCAAAGACAATTACGTATAATATGTTAAAATTATTGTTCATCTTGAAAAGCTTAAATAGAGATATGCTTACTTTAAGTTCAAGGTCGTTATAATCTGAAATGTGTAGTGAATCTCATAGCATTTTATTATTTTTTATGTTGTATTTACAATTTTTACTTCGTGACAATATTTTGTATCACGTGACCCTATATTGAATTTTAATTGGTCATCGGTGAGCGTGCCCTGCGCGACGCGAGAGGCGCAATAATAGTTCACCAAAATGCCGTCGGAATCTAAGCCTTTGTTGACAGCCCAAACAGAAAAACCAAATCATTATAAGTAAATACACTTTAAACATCTATTTGTAGTGAAAAGTGATTGTGCTTGTTATGTAGTTTCTTTTGGTATGCGTTTTATGTAGTCCGGGGATTTTATTTTCCAGATATCTAAAGGAATTTAGAGTAGAGCAGTGCCCATCGTTCCTACAACATAAATGTACACAACATAGGCCTTTCACATGTTTTCATTGGCATTTTAATAATCAGAGAAGAAGAAGACCAGTTCGGAAAAGGGATGGGACGTTTAATTATAGCGCAGATAACTATTGTACCAAATATAACGAGACATCGGGAATATGCGAGGATGGAGACGAGTAAGTAGTTGGCGTTTTCGCTTTGTTTTGTTCGTATTGGTAATAACTATTTTTACATATTATATCAGTAATATTACAAGCACTTATCTTGAAAAAATATATACTTAGAATAAGTAGGTACTCTTGTTATAAAATTTGAAGAAATATTTACTAACTTGAAAATCCGACTAAATAGAAAGTGTACACAACGTCAAAGTAGCTAGTATTTGGATGATGTATTCATATTCGTCTAGTTAACATTTATAGGGCCCATTGTTCTAAAGTTCTGTGAGTAAAAAATATTCTAGTGTTTAAAAAAAATATAATGCAATATTATTAAATAAAATACTAAATGTGAATAAAATTTGCTTTCACTTACTTTTGGGTTAAATTACAAAAGGGTTTAATTACAAAAGTAATTTGAAGATCATTTAAAGTTAGTCAAATATATAGATAAGTTGACTCAATTTGTTGTTGATTCTACAGTTTGTACCTTGTTTTTTGTTTGTCTTTGATTATATTATATGTAAATAGATGATAAAACATTATCAAACTAGCTTAATACATAAATTGTAACATAACATAACTTTGAGTGAAATGCATGAAAATTCATATTTTGTTATACATATCAACAACCCAGCAAAAGATTTAGAATTATAGAAGTCTATGTTTTCTAAATAAATCATAATATATTGGTCAATTAGATATGTATGTATATTGAATAATTCTATTAATATTATAAATGTGAAAGGTTGTATGGATGTTGTTTGTTATGAATGTCAAAATGGCTGAATGGAACTGGATGAAGTTTTGCACAGAAATAGTTTATAGTCTGGAATAGCACAAGGTTACTTTTTATCCCAGAAAATTGTGCAGTTCCCGTGGGATAAATTAGTTTTTATTTAGGGATGAGCCCGAAGCGAAGCCAGGGTGATTCTCTAGTAAAACATAATACATTTTATTAAAATCATTTTTCCATGTTTATTTTGTTATTATATTATTATAGGCTATTTTTTATATATTATATATCTAGATCTACTTTACTTCTATAGTTAGGATAATATGTATACTTAATTATTTTTCTTTATTATTGAAACTACACACTATATACATTTAAAACAGGTTAAACTGGTATGGCTTCTTATGGTAAACTGAATTAAATATAAAATAAAACTATCTTTTCGGATTATTTAGTGTTAATTGGTTTCCAACGTTTGAATATTCACGTAAATCTAAGAAAGTATTAAATATAAAAGGTATTATTTCTACATTATATTGTTACTGTGTTTGATTTTTTCTTACCCTCTAAAAGTGACTGATTGGTGTGAGTGGGTATTATAAAATTGTCTGTTTTCATTTTAATTATTGAGACTTTATTGGTTGATCAGTAGATTATATATTTTAAATAAAACTATCTTTTTGTAGATAGTTTTATTTAAATCTAGCGACTCACCCTTGCTTCGCTCGGGTTCGTCCCTGGCTTCCTTCAAAATATAAAGTTTCATCCCAATTTTCTCTCTCTGAAGGTATGATTTCCGGGATAAAAACTGTCGTCGATTGGTTCAGTAGATGCAGATATTACCCCCTACAACGTCATAAACTCATAAACTTTACCTCTTTATAATATAGTATAGATGTCAAATATTTACATAAATCTAAGAAGGTATTAGATTATATATTGTATATATCAATTATTATGTTTAAGCATACTAAATTACTATATTATAGTTGAGAATGATTTTTGGGCCAAAGAGTTGTGATTCATGATTTAATATTGATTTTCTAATAAATGCATAAAGCTGTATAGAAGATAAATCTCGAAGTGAAATTTGTCTTCAATAACAGTTACATTCTCATTAGGTCTTCTTCTTTTGTTAAATTTTAGTGTAGACACAGATTCAATGTGGATATGCTAGATAAGACCCAGAATATATAAAATATTAGACAAAAATATATGTAAATATGAATATATTGTAATTATAAAAGGCGACTATACAATAATTTGAAAGTAAAAGAACAAGTGCGAGTCGGACTCGCGCACTAAGAGTTCCGTACCATTATCTATAAAAACGGCAAAAAAATCACGTTGTATGGGAGCCACCCTTAAATAATTGTTTTATTTTAATTTAATTATTTATTTGTAAAGTTAATATATTACTAACTATTCTGTGAATATTTCAAGCGTCTACCTGTTGCCGTTATCAATATCGAGCAAAAACGAGCCAAAAAATCACGTTTGTTGTTGGTAGTCCCCTTAAATATTAATTTTATTCTGTTTTTTTGTATTTGTTGTTATAGCGGCAACAGAAATACATCATCTGTGAAAATTTCCACTCTTAACTATCACGGTTCGTGAGATACACCCTGGTGATAGACAGACAGACAGACGGACGGACAGCGGAGTGTTAGTAATAGGGTTAATCTAATATATAAATAATCCCGTTTAACTCTTTGGGTATGGAACCCTTAAAAAGGCACTAAAAGGACCTACCTGTAAATAATACTTCGTTAATTTTGATTTTAAACATTTTTAATAATAAATGTGCAGTTATACTTTTATATTTAGTGTCTGTGTTGCTACTAATATGATTCTTACAATTTTTTTAACTGTCTGTTTTTGTCTGTCTGTCTGTTTGTTGCGATTAATCTCTGAAACGGCTGGACCGATTTTGACGGCTTATTAGCTGATGTTATAAAGAGTAACTTAGGCTACTTTTATTCTAGAAAAAGAATCAGGGTTCCGCGCAAAAAAATTAAAACCCATGAAACCCAAAACCCAAATGCGAACAAAATCCGCGTACATAGGGACGCACCCGAGCGAAGCGAGGGTAAGTCGATTGTAGTAAATATAAATTATTTTTCTATCATTTTATCCAAGGAATATATTTGTCTATCTTAGATGCCCGTACTTACATCGTACAGCCGGCGACACAGAACGTCGATATCACCTACGCTACTACAAAACATGTATGTGTGTTCATGACACGGATGCTAGGGGACTTTGCACCAAGAATGGGGCTCACTGTGCCTTCGCGCACGGAGCCCCGGACCTTCGTCCCCCAGTGTTGGACATGAGGGAACTCCAAGCTTTAGAAAACCCAGATGGAACTGATGGTGATGCAGCGGCACCCAATGCGTTAGATAGAGAACGAAATTTAATGAATGAAGATCCTAAATGGCAAGGTTTGTAATTCCTTTTTTGGACATTATATGTTATTGTTTTAGTATAGATAATTTATAATTTTAAAAAACTAAAAAATATTTTTTTGACCAATTGTAATGTATGTGACTCGTTAAAATTAATCAAAAAAGTTAAAACTTTATACAAAACGAAGAATTTACTAAAGAGTAGTCATTAAAGAGTTCTTCAATCCAATCTCCTGACTGCATCAAGATATTAAGTGATCTTTGGCTACGAAAATTTTGTAATCTATATAAATAAATAAAATTGAAGTTTTACTAAATGCATATAAAAGTACTAGCGACTCACTTTCACTTCACTCGGATTCGTCCCTAGGTTGATTCCCATACAAACTTCATCCTTATTTTCACCCTCATAAAGGATGATTTCCGGGATAAAAACTAAGTCATTTCCAGGGTCTCAAACTACTTACCTTACCATATTCTTAACAAATTTCATAAATCGGTCCAGTAGTTTTTGAGTTTATTCATTACAAACATACAAAAGTACAAATCTTTTCTCTTTGTAATTCTAGTGTAGATATACGGTACTTATAAGAAAAAAATAATAATTTTTATAATTTTTGTCTGTCTGCTTATTCCGACTTATCTCCGAAACGACTGGACCGATTTTGACGGGACTTCCACTGGCAGATAGCTGATGTTATAAGGAGTAACTCAAGCTGCTTTTATTTTAGAAAAAGAATTAGGGTTGCCCTCAAAAAAATAAAACCTTTAAATAAATTGAAATTGTGACCAATCTCCGCGTATCTGCGGACGCACCCGAGCGAAGAAAAAGTAAATCGTTATGATTAAATATCTGACGAGAGCTATTTAATATGCTTGGATAAAGGTTGCCTATGTCACTTTAAGGCTCACAAACAATGTATATATTTACAAAAAATCCTGTCGATCTGTTGCTGTATTAAATAGACATATCAAGCACAATTTCATTTTATAAACATTTAGAACAGTGCATAGTTACCTTATAATATATTATGATTTGCTTTTAGATACAAATTATGTTTTATCATCATATAAGACGGAGCCATGTAAGAGACCACCTAGGTTATGTAGACAAGGATATGCCTGCCCTCAGTATCATAATAGCAAAGTGAGTATAGTTTTTGAGATATGGTAGATATAATAATAATAATAGTTATTGCAAAGGTATAAACCCAATTTATTTATTTTTTCTTTTTTTTAATAATAATGTATAATAATAATTATTAGATATGGTTGTATTAAATGTATATTAACAGCTTGACAACCTTAACATATTAGGTTAATATAAAATCCATCCGAACCATCTCATTTGCTCATAGTCTGAAAGAGCGATCGCAAGATTTAATAAAAAAAAAATTAGACAAAAGTTTTAGCCAAAAATATAATGTATAATTGTTTATTTTTTTAAGTAAGTTTCAAGTTCAAATGATGACTATTTTTTTGTGTTAATTTGTTAATTGTTGTATATTTTTATTATTTCAATTGTCCCATGTTTTTGCATTTAAAATTTCCCACAACATGTGACGTTTGTCGGAATTGTTGTTTCCATTAAATTAACTGTAGCAGTATAAATACTGATTTACTTATTTAGCAGTATTAATACTAATTTTTGGTGACAAACAAAATGAATGATTGGCATAAAATTTTCCCTTAATACTTTGAAATAAGTTATTAATACTTTTATAATGTGAATGACATATTAATATTATTCTTCATTATTATTTTGTAGTAGAAGGAAACTCTAGTGATGTCAACCAAGTTTGGGGAATCACTTGTTTTGTGAGTGGGTAATGAGGAAAATTAAAAAAAAAGTATTTACTATGCTTATTACTTAGAAATTCATTATCTTGTTTTCGTTATCATTATATTAATTTATGTATTAAGGGATAACCAACAATAGATACATTAATACAGTATGATACTCATATGTTAACAATTAGATAAATGTTCTTTTAATTATAGGTTATCACAACATGCAACATTATTTAATTAAAAACAACTAGATTAATTTAAAAAAAAAACAAGTTATTAGATAATTAAAATAAAACAACAAATTAAAATCAAATAATTAATGAGTGTAACAACGTCAAAGTTATAAAATAAAAAAATATGTCAATTGAAAAATAATAAATTACATAATCAGGTATAATATAATAAGAATAAATTAGTTAATACAATTTAAATAATAAATTCAATAAAAACAAAAATTACAGTTTAGGATTTAAGATCAATTATTAGTAACACACAAAACATTGTAATACAAAATAATTTATCACAATTATGTAAATTATTATTTTAATTTATTTTCGTAAAAAGTATTATTGTTGTATTTTTCTTTAAACATCAGAAGCCACACAACGACTGAAGTTCAAATCCGCAACCGTTTCAGGATAAGCGCAGATCCCCGCGCAAGTACAAGTATCGTAGCACGCCCTGCCCCAATGTGAAGCACGGCGAGGAGTGGGGCGAGCCCAGCAACTGCGAGGCGGGCGACGGCTGCGGCTACTGCCACACGCGCACCGAGCAGCAGTTCCACCCCGAGATATACAAGTCCACCAAGTGCAACGACGTGCAGCAGGCCGGCTACTGCCCGCGCGGCCTCTTCTGCGCCTTCGCGCACGTCGAGCCCGAGGACTTGCCGGGCGCGCGCGATCTCACCGCGCCGCTGGAGTGCGGCACCAACCTGGCGGAGCTGCTCTCCTCCGCGCTGCCCGACAAGAAGGACACACACGCGCACGCCAACGGCTCCGGCGACGGCTCCGAGTGCGCCTCCACCTCCTCGGGCGCCTCGCGGCCCGCGCTGGAGCCCGAGCGCGCGCCCGCCTGGCCGCCGCGCGCCACCTTCGACGCCACCGTGCTGCAGGAGGTGGTGGGCAACGCGCTCGACGACCTGCACATGGACGACCCGCGCAGCCTCGTGGCGTCGCTCGACCGCGACCTGTCCGACGGCGAGGGCCTGCTGGCCGCCTCCGCGCCCGTCAACATCCCCGCGCGGCCCGCGCTGCGCGGCTTCAGCCCGCCGCCCTTCCTGCGCTACGCGGCCGCCGGCGACACCGGCGCGCTGTTCAACTCGCACCTGAAGGCGAGCAGCTTCGGCGCGGCCGTGGAGAGCGCGCCCGGCGAGCTGTCGCGGCTGCGCGAGGAGGTGGGCGCGGCGCGCGCGGCGGCGGCGCGCTGGGACGAGCGCATCGCGCAGGCGCGCTCCGCGTGCGAGGCGTGGCAGCGCGAGGCGGACGAGGCGCGCGGCAAGGCGGCGCTGGCGGAGCGGCAGCGCGACGACGCGCGCGCTCACGCACTGCAGCTCAAGCGCGAGCTGGAGGCGGCGCGCTCGGCCGCCGCCGCCGCAGCCACCGCGCGCCGCGACCTGCGCTCGCTGCCGCTGACGGCGCTCAAGGCGATGCAGGCGACGGCGCGCGCCGAGCTCGAGGAGATAGAGAAGGTGCTGTACCTGGAGACGGCCACCAAGTGCATGGTGTGCGAGGAGCAGCCGCGCAGCGTCACGCTGGCGCCCTGCAACCACTACGTGCTGTGCGACGCGTGCGCCGCCACCGCCAGCGAGTGTCCCTACTGCCAGACGCCGCACACGCCGCACCAGTAGACCACCGCCCCCCGCTTCCCTCGCGCCGCGTATCCCGCCGACCGCGTCGGCCTCCTCGTGTTTGATGTGAATTTTATTCTAAAATTTAGTACTAAATATTTTCTACGAATATATCTACAATTTTATGGCGAACTTTACGATTACCTCGTTTGACACCGACCGAGCGTCGGTCGCCACGCGGTTGCCGCGCGGCCGACGGGTCGCCTCGGCAGTAGCTCTCTACTCTATTTATTGAAACGGAATATTTTAAAAAGATAAATTATGTTCTGAGCTATCATCTATGAATGCTAAAGTTTAAATCTCTCCTTGATAATATTTTTATATTTGGGTACATTGAGGTGTAATATCAGATAATAATTATAGAATATATTTAACGTTAGTGAAGAGCAAGACTTATTCTGGTAAACTTATTGAAATCTATGTGCGGGATTAGGATTTTCAAATGACTGCCACCGTCGCCGGAGCGTCAGCGCGGACGCGCGGACGCGACACTGATCACATTGAAGTGTAACACTTAACGAATAGTAATCATAGAATCTATTATGAGACGTTTACCTTTTTCTACTATATAATATATTTATGAGAATTCGATGTCGGGACGAGTTTATACATCGTCCAGTACCTGGGCCAGGCCGCGGCCGCCACGCCGCCCTTTACACCAAAGCTGAGGTATCGAGACGAGCGGTTAAACAAATACATACATTTTTATATTTGTCTATTAAAATATAGTAATAACTAAATATTTTTCATAAACGATACATATTATATGTAGAGCATGATATGGTAGGTTTTAAAGTTTCAGATTTAATATGCTTTTGATGTTGATACGTTTTGTTTAGACATGTGTATTAGTGGACTCGTTGCTTTTTTACAAAATATACTAAATACTAATATACATAGATATATATACGAGATCTTATATTGAACATGGATATTTGACGAACTTTTTTCATCAACATTATGTTTATGTAGTGTAGTTTGTGAGAGATAGCTATTGAGGAATGAATTGAAATATGAACAAAATATTATTATATATTAAAAGTAGTAAAATAAGTAAGTTATATGGGTGATTATTTTTGATTTTTTACATTACTCTTTGAAAAATGTAATTTTTCTATAGGTTTATAAAATTTGTTTTATAAATTTCTGGTCAAAATTATATCTTAAGGGTTGTGTAGTTGTCCAATAATCAAAAAATGAAATCGCCCATCGCTTGGTTATTTTTATAGCAATATGTCAAATGAATACAGTAAAAATATAGTAAATTTGAACTATAATCTATTTAAGGTAACCTCAGTACAATGAAGTAAAAATTGTTACAAAAAATAATGTTGATGAAAGGACGGAAATAAAATAGATTTAGATATATTGAACTTTCAAATACATGTTGGGGTCAAAAAGTTGTCAAACTGGATTTTAAGCCGCGTTGACTCGATCAAAGTCTACTTTGAAAAAGAAGTCATCAAAACTACTTTGTCAAAGTAGACTTTGATCGTGTCAACACGGATTTAATAATGCAACTTGAGATATATATTATACTAAATATGCTTTTAGTTATTTCATACAAAATAAATAAAATAAGCAAGTATCACTACTGTCGTCATAAGAAAGGAGGTTCCTAACTAACAATTTGGCCAAAAGTGACATAAATGCAGATTCGGAATCAGCAAAAAAAAATGCTAATCGATAGTGTTACTCCTAAAGCTCTAAGTCTTGTGAATCCGGAGATACCGTAACCATTTTACTACTAAGTACTAAGACAAAACTTAAGATATCTCGAAATCAACTTAGACGAAGTTGCGGCCTTCTTTTTTTATGACGGCATGTATGTATGTATGTCAAGAATTTGTTGACCCTAATAGTGTGTGGAAATTGTAGTTTAGTTTTATATTCAAAAGTTTTGCATGATCATAGCACTAATTAATACCTAATCGAGATTGGTTGTTACTTTTTTATAACTTTTTCCAACAAACAAACTAGCTTCAGGGCTCTACGGACCAATGTCACATCCCTATGCGTCATCAGCATTTTTATAAAAACAGCCAAATTTATTTATCATTTATATTTGCGATGACAAAAAATATATTAAACTATAATGAATATTCTAATTATGATAAATAAAATTATCAAAGAGAAAAAAAAGTATTTCCGATAAAATAGTAGTGTTTAAAAGTTTACTAAACAAATTATATTTCATATTACATAAGTACTTTTGCATACATACAGTGTATCTTACTCGACTGCGATTGCTGTAAAGGAGGGTTCTTTTTTAAAATTTATTATATCGGACGTTATTAAAAAACCTCTTTGGATATTTAATAAAGTTAGAAGTATTCTATTTTCAAGTCTTGCTTATAACCTAAATTAAAGCATAATACGTAGATATTTTTAATATCGATTACGATACGATTATTTAATAAAAAAAAAAAAAAACGATTTGATTAGATTTGTAGTGCATTTTAATGTGTACATTCCCAATTAACTTAGACGTTTTTGTTTTCACATTTAAGTTGTTAATAATTAATATTGAGTTGACTGCATTTTTGTAGCTTAATACATTCGATTTTTTTATATATTTTAAATAGAAATGGGCATTTTAAATTGTAGATTCGCTTTGAAGAATGTTATACTGAAATCAGAATTATTTCTCAATTGAGGAGGTATTATTAAGATTATATATTTAATTTGAATAATATTTTTTACATACTAATTATGTAGGTGTCGTAACTTTAAAAAGCTTGCAACAAATGTTTCTCAGAAAGTTTAAAGGATAGATTTAATATTATCACAATATATTATATGAGTTTCTCTTTATAAATTACATACAAAATATTTATAATTACGGCTACGGCGAGCACTCGTAGCGTGAGCTCAGAAGAGCCCATTTTGTTACCCGAATGTTTAACGAATGAATGTTTTTTTTTTTTTAATTTTATATTTTAAAACGTTGACTTTAACAAAGTATGCATCGATTATATAATCTATTGTTTTTTTTTCTTTTTACGAATATAATATTTTGGTTGATATATTAATTTATATCCTCTATATTAATTGATAAGATCCTATAATGAAAAAAAAAATTATACTCGTAATATTAGCTATCTTTATAAACTAACGCATTTTATAGATTTTTTTCTAATTTTTCTACAATTTAAAAATATTAATACATAAATATTTATATATTTTGAAAAATAAAATTAATTATTAGTTGGTTTTTTGTATCGGTATATAGTGATAGTAATAACAAATTGAATTTAGAATAAACTTTAGATGTAAGTAGTGTTTTCAAATTGTATTGGACATTATTTTAAGTGTAGTCGCGAGCATCGTGCATTGTAACCGGAAGCAATACAACCACAACCGCCTTTTACTCAATAAACGAGATATATATTTATTAAGGCGATCGCCATTCGTGTTATAGATGTTATAATGAACCTTAGTAGCAAAAGGGAAAGTCCTAACATACAAGCGCTGCGGTTGTCGCTGCATGCAGTGTGATCGTTCGGAACTACATGTTCGATATTACAAAAATAATTTTAACTAATAATTTACGTAATAGCGTAATATTTATGAAAATATACAATAGTATATATGTTGTTGAAAGCTTGATGATTTCCTATTGTTCGTTCGTTGGGCGACAACCGCAGTGGTGTTATGTCGATACGGTACATTTTGTCACGGTCAGGAAACTGGAATATTGGATAGTGCACGCTTTGTAATCGTCGTGTGTTAAGGATAGTTGTGTAGGACGTGTATTCGCTAAACAATATAAATTACGTATTTTCATCTACATTGTAGGCCAAAATTTAACTATACTTTATTTATAATATTATGATATTTAATAATTATGTTATTTGAAGTGTAACAAAAAAAAAAAACAAATATCTAATCGCTGTCTTTGTATTCTGTTAGAGATCACGATACTTTCTATATCATACGAAACAAATAGCATAGAAGTGTGGTAGGCCTAAATCGTCACAAGTGTTTTTACGGAGTCGCGTGGAATATGTAGGAGTGATAAGTGTAGCAATGTCATGGCATATTGTAGATTTTTAAGGAACAAGTTAATTTTGTCTTTAGATCGATGTGGTTGACTATTCGATGCCATCAGCGCCACTTTGCTTGCATTAATATAATTATATCACCTCCAGGTAAATTTCTAAGAAATTAATTAAATTTCTAAGAAATCTATTGGTAACTGTAACGCCGGCGTGTCTGCGGTCGTGGAGGGAATATGCAGTATGTTAATGCCGGCAAAGTGTTTTTGCATTCTTATATCTTATTATGATAAGATTATGGTTTTATAAAAATCTGCAATATGTGGTACTCGTAAGTGTTGGAAACAAAATGTTCTGTGTTGCCATCGCCTATAGTAGCTTGCTAGTGTTTGTATTTCAAATAATTTTAAAATTAGATGTGTACTAGAGTCACATTATTTTTATATAGAAACTTTATCACATGGAGATCTGTCGTCGGTGAATTGTTTTGTTGGAGTTAAAAATTTGCACTGGATTGTTTTTTTTTTTCAATATTCATTTATAGTTAATTTGTATTCTGTATAATTTCATGGTTTAATACATATCAAATATTTCCATTAGTTATGATGTGCACAAAGTAGATTTTCTTAGTTCTCATTACAAATCTAATTTAACTTATATTGTGTCAGAGCAAAACTATTTATAAATGTATGCAATGTGCAGGAATATAGTAATTATGTATATGCGAAAGTGACCTCTGAAGCTGTATGGGCGTTTCTGTCTCTCGAGTAAATGCACATCTTTGTTTTTATCACAGGCGTGGTGTGGCTCTTGTTATTTGTTTTTATAATACAATTGTACTAAGCAAATTATGTATTTAATAACGCTTTACAAAATAATTTTACAGTTCGCATTTTACTTTAGGGTTTTATTTAGGACCAATTTTGTTTATCTCTTTAAATGTTGTGTAAGCATAATAACTACTCCTTTTAAATATTTTTAATATAATTTTAATTATTT